AATTGAAAAGTAAAGTCTTCTCCCGACGAACGAAAATCAAACTCTACAAGTCCCTCATCGTTCCCGTCCTGCTATATGGTGCGGAAGCATGGACGATGACAGCATCTGATGAGAAGGCGTTAGGAGTTTTCGAGAGAAAGGTTTTGCGTAAGATTTATGATTTTTAGCGCGTTGGCTACGGCGAATACCACAGACGATGGAATGGTGAGTACGAGTGCGGCGATTCAAGAATCAGTGACTACACTGGATAGGTCACGTGATCCGGATGGATAAGAGTACTCCAGCTCTGAAAGTTTTCGCCAGTGGAAGCAGAGGAAGAGGAAGACCTCCACTGGAAGGAATAGATAGAGAAGGACGTGGTTGTGCTTGGTATTTCCAATTGGTGTCAAACCGCAAAAAGAAGAAACGAATGGCGCATTGTTGTAATTCGGCTATAATCGCGTAAGCGGTGTCTACGCCAGTAAAGTAAGTCGTATTTATACTATAGTTGTCAGATCTGGAAGGCTCCAGCAAATGATCGTTTAATTGTAAAGATTGGTTGAAATACCTCGTAAACAGACGAAAATGGCTATAAACCGCCAAATTTGATTTATTGTAGAATTTACGCGTGTAGAAATATGGAAATTTATAAATGCATCTGTACTTACTTGATCACCGTTTTTACGCCTGACGTTAGCAAACATACGCCACCGATGACGCCGACGACAGCGCTGATACCGGCCAACAAAGTGCTGCATTTGTTGTATGGCGAAATTTCGGCAACTTGCATTTGATGGCGCATTCTATTGTATGTATCTACGTGTACGTTTATCGGCTTTAAATGTACTGGCATGCAAATAGAAATTTGGTGTCGCAATATTCAAACCCAAATCAAACTCTACACATATGAGGAACTGTTATGAAATACAAATATGTGGATGGAAATGCTAGAGTAGATGGTAAAAAAGCTTGGTGGAAGGTTCGCGTGCTCGATAAACGTATTCAGCATTCAGATCGTATTATCAATAAATTGCATCTGAAGATGGGTAACCACGAAGCAAGCAACGCAACATTTTAAAAGAATTTAAGAATTAAGATTTTGTTTAACACATACACACATATGAATGTATTTAGAGTACACTCGCGAGTTAAATTCTATGCATGCACTGAACTCTGTAGTGCAATGACTTCAACACGACCACTTGCCATCTCGCACGTGCTTATCTTCGCCAAATCTTCTGATTTGAGATACGCGGAAATTGAAATTTGTATATAAGTGTATGTATGTATGGTACATACATGCATGTGCATCGACAATTGATTAGTGAACTTGATTATTATAAAATTTTACGTTGATCAGTGGATTGTGTCGGGGTACACATAGACATGAGAATGATGTGTGGGAACGACAAGGTTTATAGAACAGCAGGTTACGACAACAGCAAAATCAATTCTGCGGGTTGCTGAATAATTTAAAATATGTCTTCGTAATTTTATTTAAAACACAGCGCAACATTTTGACTATAAAACTTTAAAGGGTTGCATTAAAATTAAAATCACTGACAATTTAAAGACCTGAATAGTTCTACGTCGAATTGTAAATTGGTCTATCTCTTTTATATTATGAGAATTTATTATATATACATATGTATAATACATACATACGTAAGAAGGCAGACTTATCTTATTGAAAACACAGTTTGTACGAAGAAAACGCAATATATTCTTCTATATCAGACAATTTCCCCATATATATTTTATTGGGCTCATATACATATGTTTATATATGTACATACATATATATTTTGTAAACAAAAAAATACTTTGTATGATAATATGAATTCTCACCCACTGTAAATTTAACGAAATTGGTTCGATGGCGTCAACGGTTGTCGTAACCTTCTATTTCTATAAACCTTGAGAAAACGCCATATTTCAATTGCCACCGACTAGACAACGAAAGTTTGAACAATAAATGTTTGACAACTTCGCAGTTAACTGTTGATTCACCGTACACACTCCTTGCGTTTTGATGAGGGTTCAGTAATGCACTAAGAGTAGCTCCATTTGTCGGAAAAATATCAAGACGCAAAACCACCAATTTGGAGGAGAAGCTCGGCGGGAATTCGCTTCAGCGGTTACAAAGCGCTAGTTATATAATATATATGCTGAAGTTATAAAACACAAAAATACCATTCCAATGGTATTATGAAACTAATCTAAAAAATGCTCAAGGCTGCATTGGAATAAAATAAAGAAACAACTGTGTTTCTTGCACATCGTCCAGTATTTTGGATCGCTTAACACTTTTTGGTTATTTGATTGATTACTCAGTTTCATATGAGCGGGATATACTGCGGTTGTAGTTATCAGCGTAATTGCATAATTTAGATAATAAACAATTTAAAACTCTCTCTACTATTGCGTGCTGAACAAGCTGCCTACGCTCTCTTACGAAAAGTTATTTATTTAATATTCTAAAAAAGGGCGTTTTATAACCTTTCGACTCCATAATATCGCGCAATATGCATATCATATGCTTGTATGCATATGTATATACATTTCTATACATACATAATACTGTTAACGAATTTCTGCTGAATTCGATTAAAATAATTACAATTTGGTTTGACACTGGTCTCAAACTGAGAATTTACGAAACGAACACACAAACACTTTGCAGGCGCTAAATTACTGTTGAATGCGGATTTCGTTACGATTTGGTAACAGTTTATAAATATTTCTTGTAAACTGAATTGATTTGCAATGGGATTAGCCGCGGAACTGCACGAAAAGCGAGAAAATTGTAACGGATGGTCGGGAGTTGTTCACTGCGCTTGAGGTACTTGGCAACTGGTCCTAAAGGTGCCGCAGTGAAGTTCGTTCCCATGTGTGCACATGTTGTGAGATTGAAAGCTTTTTCTCCAAGTTTGATATTTACCGCAATTATTCTGTATTTTTACGTTTCTTCGTTCTTCAAGTACGATAATTAAAAATTAAACATATGAATTCAGGCGGACTTAGGGCTCTAATTGAATGAGTATTTGTGAGAATACTCTTTGTGGTGTATGTAGTGATGCAAATGAATTTGAATATGTATTTGTATATATGTACATATACGAGTATGTATGCTTGTATTCAGTAAATATGTGTTTGTACGAATTTACGTTATCTTTGATAAGCGACAGATTGATAAGCTGTATAACGAAGCAGCGTTCAACTCATTTTATAGCACATACATATGTATGCACATATGTGCATATGTACATACACGTAGATACAATATGTGTGTAACTCATCTGCGTAGATAAGCTTCATATAAAGGTGGTGTTTGGGCGCGATTACGCGTAAGTCTCTTTACTGTTTTATATAATTGATGCGATATGGAGTCAAGGGATGTCGCATAGCTCGAGTACATACGTGTATATATTTAGTTTGTAAACATTCACTTATATATTTTTGTACATACTTCCAGCGCCAATCTACTATTTCCGCTGCTCTGCGTAATTTAATTTGACACTTGTTTTATTGTGTTGATTCTTTCGGAAATAGGTGAAGAACACACACTGAACTTAAATCAAATTAACGGTCATCATGATTTTATATGCAATCAACAAAATTGAAATGTTTGCATGCATATTTATGAAACAAATTTTGCATAAAATTCACAATATTTTACTTTTCTCAGTTCTATGCTTTCTTCGTGTTTTTATTATTATTTTTATTATTATTTTTTTTTAATTAAATATTTTTGAAAACATATACAAGTTTATTTGGTTTTATAATGCTTAGATATTAAAATTTGTATGCGAATATAACGTAAGTTTTCAACGAAGGAAAAAGTGTGCGTTTCGGTTGAACTACAAAGACCAAACTGTTACGAACGGCCGATGTGGCTTTTCAACCCTTTCAGTTGAGCTTTATGAAATATAGATTCTGAATAATTTAACACAAGTGCATTCTTAGCAAATATGTAAGCAATGAGCTCTCTGGAAAACATAAAACCAAATACATTGTGAGGTGACTACAGTAGAAGAAACCCAAAGATAGGCGCAGCTAGAGAGGGATTGTAATATGTTTTAAAAAGTACAAAACGTAATATCTCATTGAAAATACTAAAATAATGACAGTCTAGTACTTGTTGTTACTAAAGAACTTTATTTCCTAATGTAATAATCGCAGCGTCCAATATTCGGTTCACATAGTCGCCCAGCAGAATCGGAAATTCGGTTTAGCACCACGTTTCCACGGTGGATAATGCTGTAGAGAGAATAATTAGTCGATGAATGAAGTCGGCCTAAATTTTTCATTCAATGGGGAGCGATGTGGATGTTGATGTGGAAGGCTTTGGTTCTAATAAGACCGTAATACATGTCATCCAGACATCGAAACAATCAATCTATTGAAGAAGCTTTTGGTGAGCGCGTCATCTCGCGCCGTGGGTTTGTGGTGTGGTCTTCAAGACACGGCTCGACTTTTTTTTAGTGGGGTTGCGTGAAGTTGCTTGTCTACACAGATGAGTCCGGGGCAATGGACACCTTTGAAGAGAATATTTAGCGCGTTATTGCTAACATACGGCCTCAATTGCTCAAAAGTTTTTGAAAATTATGCCTCTCAGCTAGATTTTATTGGAGAGTTCAGAAGTCATTTCAAAAACATAACGCAAAGCCCCCAACTTTAATATTTCTTCTTGCAAACCACATATCTAAAAAAACACCCTTATACTTATATGCATTTATAATCAAATCGCCAAAAGTTAGCAGCACCAAATAACTTATGAATGTATCATATGTATGTATACATGTATGTCAGAACTATCCGAAGTGGCAAAATGTCATTAATACGAGCTTTTAGCAGAACAATTCAGAGCTTAAGTTAAAGTACCATTGGAGATCTCAAACTATAAAATGAAATGTTGTCATCCGTTTTTCCGAGATCCGCCGCATTTTTAAGCAAAACAATTATAGAATACAGACTCTGGCAGTAAGGAAATTGAAGGCCAATTATACATTAGAACTTACCTGAGACGCTCACGCAACAGTCGGTATGGATGTTTTTGACGATCTAACGAATATAATATAAGGCGCCATTGCTGTAGGCGTTCATAGCGTATTTTCTGTCGCATTTGTTCCTCAGCGTTGCAGCTGATGCCTGTGCCAATACCAACGGCTTCAAAAGAATTTCCAGAGCAGGGGGCAGCAGTTCCAGTAGTATCGCTTCCACTACTTTTAACTTCTTTCCGCACCGTTTTGCTGACAAGTTTTATCAATCTTCTTAAGTCTACCTCAGAGCTCGCACCTATGCCGCTGTCGAAGCTATAATCAGGGCTGCATGCGTTCTTACCGCTGTCTGTATCTAGATTCTGTTCCGAACTACAGCAACTGGCTTGGCTACTGAATGCTCTGGCGATAGACGGGCTCTTACTGCTACTAAATCTCCTCAAAGATGGATTCGGCAAAGTGGGTTTCGGTGCTGTAGTTGTTGTACTCGCTTTCGATTCCGCTAATACGGACATTTTTCATTTTTAGTTTTTAGCAAGAAGTTTGCACATAAACATTTGCAATTACACACATGTATGTGCGTGCGTACGCGTATATGAGTATTTATAAATGAGTAATTTCTTCTCTAGCTCCGCGCATGACACTTTGCCTCACACATTTTAATTATTTCATTCACTAACTGATTGGGCAATATAAACATCGTTTCACTTTTCAAATTACAAATTATAATTTAATTAAATTGAATTGAAATATTCGTTTCACTTTTCTACGCACAAGACTCACAAGCGACTGAGCTACTTGGCTGCGCACCTATGTTTGTTGTGGCGATGTAGATGTGGTCTGTGAAAGTGCCGTTGTGCATAGATACCGCCAAAATGTGACTTTAAGCACTTTTTAAGTATGTATATACATATGTACGCGCGTAAGTGTATTGTTTACCAATTATTTGAAATTATATTTATCGGCTATTTGCACTTTCAAATTGCACCGCAATTTTCTTTATTAATTATTTTATTGTTTGTTTCGCCGTATCATTTGTAACTTTTCAAAAAGTTTGGGAAACTAAGCTTTGCTCTCTCTCTCTTATCAGTAAATAATATCAGCATCTTTTACGGAGCTTAACAGTTCCAGACATGAATAAAATGCTGCAAAGAAATTTAAAAGTTTGTTAATTTAATATTAAAATTAAAATATATTTGCTTCTCAAATTCCCTGCAAAGAGAAAACTTAAAAAAATTATGCTGGAATTGCTTAATGCTGCAATGTCGAGCACCAAGCCCCATTTAATTTGCATTTGATTTGATAATAACGCTGATCTCAGAGTATTACGAAGTTAAATTTTGAAGTCGATCCGAATAAAAGTTTTTCAGACACAGTCTTGGTAAGGCGCGCGCCCAAGGCAGATAGGCTGAGCGCTTTAAGCTTTAAATGCCTTATTATCGAAGCAGCGTTTTCATAGTCGGTTGTCAAAAGCTCTTGAAAATACTCAACCAATCTTGATGAAATGAAGAAAAAAAAGTGTTGAACGAGTTCTATAAATTTTTGATTTTTTTTTTAATTATTTAATTATAGTTCATGGTACAATATACATATGTAACCCAAATCTTTCCACTTCAGGTGATCCCGTCATGAGTTCTACTGTCCACGCAGATGCATCTTTTATCCGAGAGGTCACCGGAAATGACGTCACAATGGCAGAGTTAACAACATTTTTCTTTGAAAATTTCAGAATTTTGTTCAAAAATATATCTTGACGGTAAATAAAAGTTTGAATAAAATATTTTATTATTTACACATGTATGTCTATATATATGTATGTATATACAAAAAATGTTTGAAAATAGACCTTTTTTCAAACTTTCCACTGTTATTTAGAGCTGGAATTTCGATGTTCAGTCTGAATTGTACATTTAGGTTAAGATGGCATGACATGAAAGTTTATAGTTTTGTAGTTTTACTGGTTCCATGCAAAATGATTATTCCTGGTTAAATATAATTTAGCCTGAGCTTTTGTACAAAAAATTGATTTAAAAAAATGTTTGAAGAATCTATAATTTTGCTTAGATTTTGTGCTGTAAATGCACGTGCATGTACAAACATACATACATATGTATATGCAAATTTCCCTTTGCCTATATTCCATTGAGTAATTGCCGCTACATTCTTGTTAAAACGACATTGCCTTGTAAATACGTTACACGTGTGTATGTTTTCTACGTTTTCACGTTGATAATATCGCATTTGCTATGACCTACAAATGCGTGTGATGGAAGCAGCAGTCTTGGGCAATGGAAATAACAAGAATTTTTTAATGTATCTGGTCGTGTATCTACAAGTTTAACCGCAAAAACAATAAAAAAAAGTTAAAAATTTGTAAGATGGACAACTGGAATCGACAACACGGGTATTGAGGTTAATAAACTACTCGTAGAAGCCACAGTCGACGTTTAGTGAAAGTTTCAAGTACCGAAACAGGTAAAATTGTTCTCCTTTTTGAACATAAATTTCAATGGATTTTCTAGCATAAAAAATATTTAAAAACGCTTTTTATTTTCATATACATACGAGTACTACATACTCTTATCGTAGAATACGCAGATATGGTTCATTATTAGATGAAAGGATTTAAATCAATTTTAAGCCTGACTTAAGTCGACAATAATCCTATTTTCTGGTTTAACGCATCCAGGACTTGGTTCTACCAAATGTTAGCTGAATATATTGATAAAGCTCGCAGCTCCACACGAAGGAATAACGATAAAAAGCTTTTCTTACGTGGACTATTTCTGGCTGACCAAGAGGGGGTGTCTAAGTTCGCGCCAAAATTTATATTTATATGATCATAATGACGAGTTAATATACTTTAGCCATGTGCGGCTGTCCATCTGTCCGTCTATTTGGCCCGCAGCTTTTGCGATTCTTCAACAAACTTGGTATACTACACTTTTTGACGAGCATTTGTCAGAACCGGAAAGTAGATTTTTTCAGATTTGAGGTTTTGAAACATACTCCGATTTATTCAGAAATGATCAAAACTCGGTCAAAAAATCATCAACAATCGTTGAAAAGAAAATACCATAAATTTGACATGGTCATAAAGGTCATAAAGATTTTTCTAACTGCTTTTGCTCCCGACATTGAACCAACCCCTCCGAGCTTATTTCTGAAATGAAATAAAAGCTTCTTATAAAAAACTATCAGCCTTCGGAGGCAGTTCAGAATAATGTTGGAAAAACATCTCCAGTTCAAGCAGGAGTTTGGCCGAAATTGCTTTAGCTTTATGCAAAAATCAATCATTGACTACATACCTATTCGTAATAAACCAAGTCTTTTAAATTATTGTATTTAGAAAAAGATCAAGACTATACTTCCTATCAGAACCATAGTTATGAAACAATTCGTTAGCTTAAACAATTTCACATTAGCTTAGCTTCCTTGCCTAAAAAGGAGCTGGTGCCCTAGGCCATTTAACATACTCATGCACAAACTCATTTCAACTGCCTATTCAATGAAATACGTATTAGGGTGTACCGAAACTTTTAAGTTTTTTCAAGCTTTGTCATTTATATATATAGGATGTCCCGAAATAAACGCAATATTTGAATAAAATGGAAAACACTGCCTCCAAAACAAAACTCCTGGTAAAAATCCAACGGCCGTAGCTCCTTAAATTTGTTGGAAAACATATTTTTTAAGCCATTTTCACAGGAGATAACAAATGTGTCAATATGTAGGAAAAATGTGTGTATATAAAGAAGAAGCTCCGGCCAGATACAAATCGTCTTCCGACATAAAGCAATAAGAAAATACAAATACATTTTATGGAAAACTAAAACAATAATCGTATTTAGGTAAGTCACATTGAAGCGTGAACTAATTCCCACGACTATATTTTTTTCCTTTGTTTTTCATTTTGCTTGCACGCTTTGTATGCGCATTATGTCAGTACTATTTACCTACATACGTGTACTCATATATACTACACCTGCTAGTTATGTATGCACATAGCGCACAGTTATATGCATTTGTGTTTTGAAATAACACGTTTTCTGGGTTTTCAGTTGATTAAGGGAAATATCATAGTTTTCTGAATAATTGTTATTGCATTGAATGAAGCGAAACCACATTGAGTTGAGCTGGGAAGCTGGTGGGGAAATTTCGGCTGGAACAATGAATGAGCGAAAAGCAGGTAAAGCAAGTAAAGGAATTGAAAGAGCAGAATAATTGAATTGTACCTACAAGAACAAGAATTGCATTAAATCGCCAATAATGAAATCAAAATCGGATTTGGTACAAAATACCCACTTAAGATTTTTCGCATTTTTGATTACACCGTTTTATTAATTTTTATGGTTCCTGTAACCCTAAGGTAAATAAGTTGCAATCGACATCACGCATTTATGCTACCATGCAAATGGTCATGGGTTCGAACCCTGAACGGATGAACATATTCGCGCCGCGGCAGAGAATGTCAAGCACCCAGAATGTATTTGTGGCATGAAATAAAACCTCTTCTTATCAAATTTATCAATCGTTCGGAAGCGGCTTAAAATAAACTGTAGGTCCCTTCATTTGTTGGACGCATTCCGCGGCGCTTGGCCGAAAATCGCTTTAGCGGTTATACCGCATCAATTACATATACGACATATGAAATGTTTCACACCACACCTGTTCTGCTCTTGTCCATACTTCTATTTGTGCTTGCAATACTTTATTGTATTTACATTTTTCAGAATATTTTTGCGTAAAAGACAGTTTCGCAAGGCTTATTTACACTTTGTGTGCTAAAGGGTGTTTTTTTAGACGTGTAGTTATTAATAAGACAATACTTTTCTGGGCAGTGGTCTCTGTGACAGCTGTTACCAGATTTACACTCAGTTTGGCTTGTCGATGCATGACTCGAGAACAACGTATGCAAATCATGCAAACTTATTACCAAAACAAGATGGTCGCGGATCACTAGAAAAATTGATTCAGCGATGAAGCTCACTTTTGGTTGAATAGGCGCGTTAATTAACCGAATTTTCGCATTTGGTGTGACGATTATGGAGACGCCATTAGATTCTTTGGTTCCAACAGCCATCGAAACTTTCGGCAAGGGCATTAACTCGCGACTCGGGTTATGTGAAGTCGAAGTCACTTTTAAAACATAATTGTACCCCTTTATCTTTATAATTAAGCTAAATTCACTGCTAAAACCACGGCTTTTCTGTATTTGAAATTTGTTTCAATTTTTACATCTTTTTTGTTTTGCATTACAGTTGCGCAATATTTCGTATTTTTTTTAAGTTAAATTAGAGGTTGTTTTACACAATTTGACCTAAAAATATATTCAAAGATTATAATTTCCGAAATTATTTGCTCTCGTTGTCTTGTTGCTTTTTTTTCAATGATAAAAAAAATATATACAAAAGTGTACATATGTACATTCAAATATGAACATAGACACCGCCAATTCTTTAACTAAAAAATAAACTTTATCGACATTGACACTCGGGCGAAAACGCGGGTACATTGCCTGCTGAATGGGTTGAAAGTCCCGACCGAAAGGTTACTAACAGTGCAATTGCATTCAGAGTCATTTTTGTTTACGGCACGCTCCGTTAATCTCGGTTTTTTGTTTGTATATTTGATTGCCTCCGTACTTACATACATATAAGTAAATATGTACACTTGGTCACTGAATAGTTTGGTTTAGTAAAGGTAAGTTTTCAATTAAGGAGCGTTAGTACATACATCTGTACATATGTACATGCTTAGTTGGATTTTTGGCTTAATTCATCAATTACGAGAAGCACAAGTTACAATTAGCACCAGCGATTAGTTTTATTGAAAACGATTTATTAGTAATCAACCCTTATCGCTTACTTCTAAATTCGCGGCAAAATGAAAATATTGTTTTATTTTTTCTATACTGACGTACATATGTACTTATGTATGTTCATACACGAATTGTATTATGTACAATTATTCCGTCAACAATTTACTCTTTCTAACGCTTGGCCTTAGCAAGAAACTCGATTTTGTCGCCACGTCCACCCGTTCACAATAACTCCAATCGTTAAGATAACAACTCTCGACATACAATTGCCATCTATGAAAGCACAAATACTAATAAATGCACTTTTTACATAATGATTGAGCTGGAGCTGAAGTTGAAGCCACAGCTGCGACTGAGACACAACCGGCAGCGAATGGCTGCGATAGCTTTCCGCTGTAATGTGACGAACTTCGGCGCGAAGTTTAGTTGAGCCTCACATAGAGAAGCTGACATGCTACGAACATACTCGTACATACTCGCATACATATGTATGTATGTACATATGTGTGCACAAGTACATACTGTAAACTCAGTGTCAAAAGCAGCTGTACGCGTTCAGCGTCATGAGGGGCGAAGCCAACAGTCCGTATAAGTATGTAAAAAAGTGTCCACACACACATACTTACTTAAATACAAAGGTAAAAGCGTTAAGCAATATCATAGCATTCGCTTTTTGTTTATTGTCTATTCATCATTCCAAAGGTACAACAACAATTCAATAAGCAAACAGTGGCTGACATTTTTGTATTTACTGATGGGAGCTTTGAAATGCTGTGAAATGTCGATGCCAAATCAACGCTCAGCATGAAATAGCACACATATGTACAAATGTATGTACATACTCGTAAACATATATATATATATGTACATGTATATGTTCGTATGTTTGTAGGTATTTTACAGTGCGCCAATCCATTGCAGCTGATGATTGTGGTATTTCATTCATAATATAAATATACAAAACGCATACATATGTATGTACGTAGATATGTATGCATGTGTATGTACAAATATATGTACACCCGGAAGGAAATGTTTATGTGGAATCTTTGCAGAGGAAAGGTGTCTATGTCAATATTGCCGTAAAGTAATCCGAAAAATATGAAAATCCCAAAATTCACAACAAAAAAAAAACTGTATAATATTAGTTTATAAACCAAGACATTGTCTAAAAGTGATTTATTTGTATATTTGATTGAAACAAATTTTATTGGAAAAAAATGTCACAAATATTTACCACGTCACAATGGACCACAAAATTCAAATAATCGCAATAACCAAGAGGTTAGCACTACTATATGGAGGGTCCTAGACTGGCCAACATCCATAATTACAGAAGATTAATTTAACTTTTTAAATGCGGTCTCTCCTCAGTAAGGGGAATGGCAACTCCTCCAAACGTGTTGGTGATATGAAATAAAAGCTCTTTATATTAAATCCATCACCCGTTTGGAGAAGGCTTAGTATTAACTGTATGTTCCTCCATCCATTGGAAAAAACATCAAGACGCACACTACAAATCGGACCTGTAAAATGTTGTTATTTATTCCTATTAGAGAGTCTTATATTGAAGCTTTGACATACAAAGAAGCTTTTAATCAGGGCTTACACGCAGACATTCAATGTGTTTGGCGAGATTCTGGGAAGTAACAATTGTTAACAAATTTTATTGAACCGCGTTCATTGAGGCAAAAAGCCAGTAATTGTGGTGTCAGTGGTGAGTATTTGAATATATCGTTATTTTGAGTTTAGAGCTGAGCATGATATCTGAAAAAATTGGTATACGGACCTCTTGGATATGGTCTTCCTATTTCGATAATTTTCAGCACCAATGTTAAAATCACGATATGCATATTTGCAAAATATCAAATTTTAAGATTTTTGATGTGTTTATTTTGAGTCAGAAAAACCGTATATGTTCTATTGTATTCCGATCTGGTCGGACCTTGTATGTGCCAGTGTATCTGTGTACCAAGTTCGGTTGGAATATCTCAAAAGCTGAGGGACTATTTTTCGTACAAACAAACGGAGGGACGGACATGGCTAAATTAACTCAACTCGTTACTCTAATAATATCGGTATAAATCTTAACGGGTCTCTCTCTTCTCCCTATGGCATTTATTTGTAAAGTAAAATAAGTTCTATTATGTACAGTAAACTTTATCGGCACATACGGAAAATTAACTCATTCAACATTTCAACATCCTTCTGCGCCTTACAGAGACTAATCGGAAAATACAAAAAAAATATACATAGGTATTTCCTGGTATCCATTTCATTACTGGCTAATTCTTGCTGACTTTTCTCGCCGAACAGAGCTATTTTCTGTCGAGCTTACATATATACATGTATACATTTTACTGTGTGTTTGAGTATGATTAAAGTGATGATTTCGCCAGAGGGAAACCAATTTTGTGAAATCAAAACCTGGCATATGGTATAGAAATACGCTGTATATATATATGTATATAAACGTATATATGTATGTACATTATTATTATTATTAGAGGATGTACATTATTAAAAAGCGTCGATAACTGATGCAGCAAAATACAAGCAAATGCTTAATGTAAAGTACACACCAAAAGAAATTAATCAGTTGTGGTTACGGCCAAAGGGTTATCAACCTAAAAACTTAAAATCATCTTTAACTTTACGACGCCCATTAAGCATGTTTCTCAGGTACAAAATTAATAAGCATATACATATGTATGTACTCGTATGTATAACTTTGACATTTATAGTTCTTCTGAAATCGGTACGATTTGGACTCGAAACCGAGATGATAATTAGAAAGGGTTTTATTTTGAACGTTCTGGTCCTTCTGATTAGTTTTTAGGTTTATAAATGTTAAATTAGAAAAATAATTGAAAATTTTATCGATTTCGACTTGCAACTTGGGTGGTAAACTTTTCTTTGGAAACAATAAAATATTATAACAATTTCACCCATAAGCGATTTCTTGTCTTTGAATGCATAAATGTTCACTTTTTCATTAGTTCAACTCTCGTCCGACGATGATTCGTTGTAAATTCGGCATAAACGCGCCCATTTTTGAATTCGTAAGTAATGCAAATTTTTCAAATTATTGAATTTGGTCGATACTCATTTTGAAAAAGGTAAACAAATGAATTTAAGTTCGGCCGCCCTCTTATTTAAATAACAATTATATTTATTCTGGCTCGAAACTGGTACTTAAAATAGGTATGTAATTATGCCAGGCCCTTGATTGAAACTGTTGCGTTAAACTTCCAGCAAGCGATCGCTGCAAAGTAAGCTTTTTGTTATACACAAATGTATGTATGTAGGTACCGCCAGCCGATTTCAGCGTTATGTTTATTAAGTTGTTGCTTAATATGGGCCAATTTTTATTATGATTTAATCACTGCGATCTTCCGCAAAGTTTGCTCAATCGCTTTAAACGGATCAGTTAACTGTCACTTCTCAAGTGCTCAGCACTGTATCAAGTGAGATTTTAACTATCTTAAAAACATATTAATCCAGAAATGTAAATAGCAACCCTCGTGCAGGAAGGGCTCTCTCTATTATCGTCACCAATTCGCATTTTGGCTGTGAAAATCCAACGGAATACTTCCCTAGTTCCAACTTAATTTAAATTTAAATTAATACGGATTCTATCCAACTTGATTTTTCACTTTCTAAGTTCACATTTTAACTCATTTTTAATATCGCGTGTTAATATACCCGTAATATCTTAGCCATGAGTTACTGTTTGTAAATAGTCTGCAAAAACACTGTTTTTCAAAAACCAAATCAATAAGTAACTAATAAACAAATTAACTAGTCCATTTCATAATGTTATGACTAAAGCAAAATAAACACACTGGAATAAAATTATTTCTTTGTGCAAAGACCGCTTTGTTTACAAATTTATAATTTGAGAGGCATAGCATTTCATTCGATAGCCAAAGAGACACAAAGGCTGCAACTACCCAACTCACTCTCCAGCCGTCCATAAGTGTCGACGTCGAGGCGAGATAAACACACGAGTTATCGACGCCGCTGAGAGCGGAGAAATGTTGCCAGCTGCCTGTGTGTTTGCACACTTTTGAACAAATTCATAATTTTCGTCAACGAATTTCATAATTTATTTGCTTTAACATAAACACAAGGCAAATATACATGATCTATATAGTAACAAATAATTAGTTACGCATTTAGTTTTCATTTCTTTTGAACAAAACTACGCATTATCTTCGATTATTTAATGTTACTTTAAGAAAGGCTATACTGGCAACCTTGTATAGCAACGAAAAATGAGCCGAGCCGGTTTTACGGAAAAATCAAAACTTCGTTGGTTTCTGCGACACAAACGTCAGCAACGCTATGGTAAATCGGTGACAACTTTGTGTTTACATGGCGCTCTCATAAGATAGGTTACTATGGACGGCTGGTACGCTCGTTGGGTAGTTGCAGCCAAACACACACGGTCACCCGATCTGTTGGGAACTGGTCTGACCTGGCCAGCTAGCAGCAAATAATATTGGTTGAAACGAAGAGCGCGTCAGCGAGTCAGCGAACACATGAACGGCTGGAAGAGCCGTATCATAATTTGACGCTGCGAAGTGAAGCGGCACGACACGACACGACACGATGCTGTCTTTGCTACTGGCTTTTGGGTTTTCTACGACCGGCGATGCAAATGTATCGCTGTTAGTTGTTGGACTGCTGTCGGTGGCATTTTTGTGCTTGCATTTGGCTCTGAGTTTGTCGTCACTGTTTCAGCTCTCTTTTGTTCATGTGATGTGTTTTCATTTGTTGTATGTATTATATCTACCAGCATAAATACATTTACACATATACATGTGCATATGTTTGTAAGCAACAATTAGGGTGGGTTCTTTTTTTTCGGATGCTTCCTCTAGAAAATTTAAATTGTAAAAACAAAAAGGTTTATAAAATAAAGGCACAAACTGAAAGCTATACTATACTATGAGGAGACCTGGTCATCCCTGAAACAGTAGCCAGTTATACCACTTTTTTTGTCATTCATAAAATTATGAGTAGTTAACCAAAAACCATACCTAATGACAACGATTATCAAAACACATTTGATTTCGTCCGCATAAAATTTCAAAATGTATGTACATATAAAAAAATTTTGAATACCTTTTGAACGGCACCAACTTTTTTGAATTTGGTGTACAATTTTCCGAAACACAGTCTTTTCGGATAGGTAGAATATATATTTATAGATCGGATTGGTTAAATTTTTAGATGATATACTTGCTATACAGGGACCGGGATTCGACAAATCGGCCTGCCAGAGATGTCATTCTTTTCAGCTCGACAAGACAAAATAAAAGTTTTTGATTTCTTACATATTTACAATATTTTCAAGCTAAAATGCAAGTTTAAAAAACTGCGTCACTTTTTTCCTTTTCCCTTAGTAAACGGCCGATTTGGCTTTGAGAATGCACGTAACAATAAATTTTCAATTTTCTTAGTCTTTATTTATTATTTATTAATTTGTTTTTAAACAAAATAACGTTAGGCCAGTATGCTAGTATGCACTTCTATAGGCTGATCTTAATAAGAGGGAATCAAATAAAGTAATGGGTTGGTGTACTTAAAATGAAACGAACGCTCCTCATCTCGAATCGCTAAAGCTTTTGTAGTAGTCATGAACGCGGGATATTCGGTTTACACATCTCAACACAAATTGAAGTATTGCTTGTTTGTTTGTACTTGCGCAGTTATCGATGCATTCCCATTGAGGATAATTCCTGTCGGTTCTTCTCATTTATCCCTTTACTTTTCAGCTCCTTTTTACTTTTCTTTTGTAAAAATGTGTGGAGAGCACATTTAGCACTCAAAGAGCATTTATTAGTTGGCGGGAATTATTTTTGTATATACATATATACAATTATAAATGTAACTAAGAATTATAAGTTTTGATTCCTTACACAATCAGACGTTTGAATTCAAAAAGCTAATATTTTATTTAATTTTTTTAGAATTATAATTTTGAACCTATACCTCAAGGTCAATTTGACAAAAGCTTGGACATGGAAATGCTCTTCTTGTAAGATGTTGTCTAAAGGTACATAGGTAGGAAGGCAGGAGGGTCAACTTATCCACTAAGTTCGGTCGATGCACAGTATATATATACTTTCTACATGAAATGATACATACGCTTTGATCCGAAGTACATATGTAAGTACTGTCTGTCCGGCTGTTTGTATTTAAAGTCAATTTTTTAGATTTTTCAAATCTGCGGTTTTTACTCAAAATACGCTAAGTGCGAAATTTAGTATTCTGCATTATATTTATAAAGAATTCGGCAGAACCCAAGAAAACCTTCTCTCTCTCTGCTACATGGATATACAGGCAAGTTTCATTAAGATTTCTCAATTTGTCTGAATCAAGATCTGTACAAGCTTAACATATTTGTTTATATAATTTTTTTTTTCTATAAATAGTAATAATAAAAATATGTTCATAGGAGTGAACGGAAAGAATAACAAACTATCTTAAAATTGAATTTAAATGCCATAAGCATCCCAACCAAAGGTAAAATTAAAAGCTACCCCAATGAAGCTGCTTTATCATTTTTGGCGGATGCTGCATTAGTGTTGAGTTTTCTGAAAGTTAAGTTTCTATTGGCCTCGTGATGCACTGAATGAAAGCAACCACTACACGAGAGAACATAGTTGGAGCATCCAAAATCAGTGTTCGAACTTTGAAAATGCATGGACTACTACATTTTTCCCTACTAAAGTGCTCAAGCAATGGAAAGTTATACATGCACATTTTGTTAAAAGTCATAATGAAAGCGCGCACACATCGTAACTTTTCGTATAAATTATGTCTATACATGTTCTTCATGAACGAGCTTCGTAAACCCGCACGTGAGTAAAGCTTTATTCGCATATCAACCCCTTCAAACGCTTTTTCCTGGGCACAGTAGAACAAATTACTTACTTTTTTCTTCTGCAAGTATATTGTGTTGCTTTTAATGAGGATGAACTTATGCATGTACATATGTATGTGTGTATGTTTATTTATTTTAAAAACGAAAAGAGACTAAGGATCTATTGTTCACATCTACCAAATAATAAAAACGTATAGTCCGAGCACCGCACATTAACGGTCGGTGTCTTACACGCGTACACACTCGTATGTACGAGTTCTTTTTGCTCACATATCCATAATGCCTGCGCAGCGTTTGCTGCTCATCATCATCATCATCATCGCAGCCACCCGCATTTGTGAATCTACCAAAGGTCTGCAGATGGCGCCAAAACAGGAGTACAAATAGTTAAACTCATGATTGTGAACTTCAGTATTAAGTCGGCGCTCGATGGTTCATGAAATATTACATAATGTGGATTGGAATAGGAAAATCGAAAAATTCTTCCACCATTGCACATCAGTGACAAATTGTGTTCTCAGTACGACTTATGTGTGGCATTATTGTTGATGGAGTCAATTTTTACAAATCGTTGAAGTAAAAACACAAATCGAAAAGAGGCCAAAATATAACCGAATGAAAACTTGAAAAAATTACAAAAAAGTGTTCTTGGGTCATTTAGTACCAGTTGCGAAATTACTCAATCAGAGCTAAATAAAACAAAACAACGTATATACATACATATGTAGTTGTTTTAGTGCAATACCCACGCATACGTGTATGCTGACTTTTTATTAAAATGATAAATTTAAATATGATATTAGCAGCAAAACTGAATAAACCACAGTTCACCAGTGGTTTCGCGCAATCATTCAATTAGACGCTCAATTTCCTAATTTTGTAAAATGATAAATTTATTTCCACCAGCAGATGATTAAACGCAGTAGACAAAATTTGTTTACATAACAAATCTGGGCACATACATATGTACATACATACGTGCGTATATACATATGTATTTACTTGTGCACAGGTGAAGGAAAATACAGCATCCTATCGATAGCATCAGCCTAAATTCATGGCCAGGCGATGGAAGGATTGCAAACAAAATAAAAAATACACAAACAAATTACAAACAAATGTTTATTTCTGTTATTACATTACATTCTCATTTAAATGAAAAAAAAAAATGCTACTATGGTTTTATAACGGTGTCGGGCTAAACGTATTTATCAAGGTGGAGTTACCAGAGCTGCGAATTCAAATTTTTTCATTTAACTAATTCGCGTCAGTGTAAGGACTGTTAAAATGTTTGTTATGTGTTGCGTTTTATTTGTTTACATTTAATTTGAATTTCTAATTTGAAAAGTTCAAATTTTGAAATGAGATTTTTTTGTTTTTTTTTTCAAATAAAAAATATGGACCGCTGCTGAGCTGAGTTGATATGGCTATTAACCAACGCACTTAGGCCAACAGGCCCGTTGTGACAACCGCTATGAGGCTCTTATCTTATCCTTCTCATATGTTTACTCAAGGCTACGAGTCTACCACTTCTTGTTGAAGCTAGCTTAGCGAGTCATTCAAAGAAGACTTAGTGTTCAATGGACTCTTTCTATGTAGCCACAATCATTGTAATAATAGACTGTTTCCCGTGAAGCCCCATTGAACAGTTATCTGTTATTACAGCCGTAGTTTGCTAATGGATAACTGGTCTGTCTGGTCACGTTGCTCGTGATCTCATTCAACCATCTAATGTTTGAATTTTTGACAAAGGACAAGCTTAGCATATATTGGTTTAGTAAAAAGTTCGTTCGGCTTTTTTTTTATTGATTTTTCAAAATATTATAACCTTGTGCACATTTGTCCGATTTAAGTCAATCAATCAATGCTAACTTCATTACACCCCTCTCGTAGGAGGTTGCGTTCCTATTTGCAAAAAACTCGGAGATCCAATTTTCACAGACCTCTCTTAAGGCCAACTTCTCACCATTAAGCACGTTCGCCATGGCCAGGAAAAGATGGTAATCACTTGGTGCCAGGTCCGGAAGATGGGTGCATTAGGACCTCCCATCCGAGCTCCTGGAGCTACTGGCGCGTCACCAAAGACGTGTGTGGTCTTGCGTTGTCCTAATGGGACACAATCTGGCCGCTGTTGATCAAAGATGGCCTCGTCTGGATGAGTGCTGCCTTCAAGCGGCAGTAGAGGGCCGAATTGAGCGTTTGACCGTAGGGGAGTAGCTCGTAGTAGATGATTCCTTACCAATCCCACCAACCACACATCAAAACCTTGCTGGCCGTCAATCCGGTTTTGGCCACCGTCGGGGCCGCTTTCCCGAGCTTCGACCACTACCGAAGAGCGCGTGATGTTGTCGTAAGTGACCCATTTTTCATCGCCAGTCACAATCCGCTTCAGAAACGAGCGCTCACAACATACTGAGTCAATCAATCGAAAAACAGTCAAAGACAAACTTTTAGCGCAAATAAACACGTTTTCAGCGCCGTATAGTATGACATGTAACACTAGTACTATGGACAATAACGCCATCTCTTAGATAAAAGCCGAACGAACTTTTTACTTGACCAATACTTTGCCAAGGCAAAGGAAAAAACCTTCATACCTTATAAGTTCGTCTACCGTGAAGTAGCTTGGGGTGTTCCTGTGTAATTTTTCCAAGCTCCACAAGGTGATTGATCTACATCTTTCTGGATTCGTGTTTGCCAAAGATATTTGAAAAAGGGACTCAGTGTGCATAGACCAATGAATTAGTCTAATGATCAACGCTTAACAAACTCCCTTCCAAAAAAGGAGATACTAAGAAAGCTATTCTACTTTTAATGCCATTTAAATCAGCAAACTTTGATTATTAAAGCTAACGACATCAATTGTGTTTTTTGTTTTTCTTCTTCTCTGACTTTTGTTTTGAATTATTGATTCAATTCGACAAAAGCGGTTTGTATGAACTTGCCCTGATTTTGGCAATTGTTACACTGAAAACAAAAACAACATGCACGGTAATTGTTCTTTTTGTTCTCCTGCTATCACCTTAATGAATTCGCCTTGGTGTCGTGCTAAACGAGTTTGTTTTTCAATAAAATAAAAGCTCAGTTCGCGGAGAGATGTCATAAAAAATTAGTTACTAAAGAAATTTCAAAATTATTTTACTGTCTTTTTGCCTCACCGATCGCGGTTCAATGAAAATTGCTAACAATTCATTTAGAGGCACGCGGAGAGTGTGGACAAGTCTCATATGTTAACTTAAATCGGTGAAAAAATTGTGGTTTGAATTTTTTTTTAAATCGAATCAAAAAAATATTACGAGTTATTGGGAAGACAAAAAATGCATTTTTTTGTGTGACACGCACGCACACACGTGTATTAAAAAGTAATGTTCCCTAAAATGAATATTAATAAATATTTCTAGAATATGAAATTATCAACTATTTGGTTAAGGACATCCCTAGGAGGGATGTAAATAGTAGGTCGGCAGTCTAAGCAAGTGTCTAAAGTGTCAGGCATTCATATGAAATTACATATTGTATGAGTAGATACATAATTAGATGCACAGACATACCTACATGTTATATTTTAACTGACAGGTATTGAACTGCCGATCAAATTTGCATATATCCATTTATGATCTGGGGCTCTCCGTTCAAAAGATATATCAATTAGATTTTATATTTTGATTTTTATAATGAAAAATCAGATCATAATATTTATTTTAAAACTCAAAGAGTTATTATTGGATTTTCAAATGAAAAGTTTAACATAGAAATAATTTTTTTTATTATTTCAAATTAAATTTCAAAAAGTTAATATTATATTATACTCGTATAATATATTAATAAATAACGGTCAATGATTTTTCCTATCCAAGGAATAAATCCAGAGTTAAAGAATAATAATAAGGACCGTGATGAGTGTTTGAGAATACATGTAATGATGTATAAATGAAGTAGTTGATGTCATGTCATGGGCACGAGTCCTGCCCATGCTAGCATAGGTCTGGCGAAAATCGCTTCAGAGGTTATAAAGCGCCAATAGCTGAGTGGGTAGTACTGCTTACTGCCATTGTGAAGGCCAGAGTTCGTGTTTTGGTTCGAACAACATCCTAAATTGTATAAAAATAATTTTTCAAATTGCGGGGGGGAAGCTCAAGCTCTCCTTGTGTATTTCTGATATGAAATAAAAACCCATCAGCCATTCGGAGGAGGCTTAGAATAAACTGTAGGTCCCTCCATTTTTTTGAAAAACATTTAGACGCGAGCCATAAATCGGAGGAGGAGCTCGGTAAATATATAAATATATTATATTAAATCTCTAAACATATGTATGATGGGAGTCGTCAAGTTCACCTTATGCTTTTACCTTAACCGTAACAATATATAAATCGTATATATATATATTTGGCTATTTGTAATCGCTGAAGAGCTTTTCGACCGAGCTTCTCCTCTAATTTGTGGTTTGAGTCTAGTTTTTGCCTGTAAGATTTTTAAAAATTTTATTGAGTGGGTTCAAAGCCTTTGGGTTGATTTTTTTTTAATTTTGACTACCATATTGTCTTTATATATATATCTTTCTATCTTTATATATATATATATATATATATATATATATATAAATATGTATTTACATAAATTTTAGCATTGTTTAAGCAATTGTTTCATCAAGAGCACCCTTTTTTAGTTTTACTATTCCGTTGCAACGTAGATGCGTGTGAGCTTATAACCGTTGCATGCACAAATGCTACCCCACGTCTCGTTTTGATAAATCCTATCACAAATAAATTGCAACAATAATTGAATTTAGTTAATTCTAAAAAAATCGCAAACATGTTTTTCACAAAGCAATGAATATTTTATGCTCAAAACGAAAGAAATTTGCACATTGTAGTTTGTGCGCGGCTTTAAAATACAATCTCTTAGTCAAAGGATAGATTAAGTTAGCTTAAACTAACTATGCCCACCGGGTCTGACTTGCTCTTCTTTTTCTCAATTTAAGTACTCATTTTGTCCCCTTGGCCATTACCAATTCAAGATCTTGTAAAATTTCTGCGCTGAGAAGGCATTTGTCTGTCGAATGTTGGACACTCACAGATTAAGTGCCGCACAGTCTCCACACATTGACCACATTTTCATCATCTAACGAAACAAGATTACTTCTAGCATATCACTCACTTCTCTGAATGGAACCAGTCGGTTCATTAATACGTCATGTTCTAAAAGGACAGCCACCTTAGCCAGTTCTTTTTTCCAACAGTATTTTGAACGTCTCTCTTTACATAGCGTGACCACAACCGACTTCCTGCATCTTAGCCTAAACTAATATTAAATAGCCATGCAGTTGACGAGAAGATTAAAGTCTATGTATTTAGAGACGCTTTCAAAGCAAGTACTGAACTCATTTCAGCTCAGCTTTATACACTTTATGTCAACCAAAAACTATCTCAATAAAGTTGTTAATAATTTCCTATGTTGCAGTGACGTAACTACACAGTTGTTCTTTAACGCCTTGAAAGATTCTATACTATTTCGTAACCGTTTGAAGTGGCCGGCACTTATCCTTCGCACTGCAATTAAAATACACCTGCATTGCTTGTAAATATTGATTAGTTGACATCCGCCTTAAATGTATTCATATTTACATACATAAAGACTAGGGCAATCGAAAATTGCACGTACGAATTACATAAGCAATCCTCTTCTCCGACGCAATAACGTTTTTATTTAAGGACTGAAAAGGAAATCATTCAGATCCCGATAGATACAACAGAGCAATGGTAGAGCTAGAAAAAGTTGCGTAAGGTATGAACTCAACCAGGGTTTTGAGCTTTGCAGTAAGGAATTGTGGGTTTCCTATCAAAGATACGAAGCTATTTATCCCAGCAGTGCTACTTCGGTGAACTGTTGGGTTTCTAATTGTAATTTATGGAGATAGTGTTGCGCAAATGAGAATTTTTGCATATTTACAATTATTTTTGACTTCAACAAAAAAAAAAAAACAACATTTTTTATTTTAATTTTGACATACAAATTTACTGAGTTTTATGAAGATTGATTGATAGCATGTGTATTTCTAAAATGAGGCTCCTAATAAAAAACCCATAAGCCATTCGGAGGCGGCCTAGTTGGAAAAAGTTCAAGACGCAAAACCCCAAATTGGAGAAGGAGCTCAGTTGGAAATCGCCAAATGAAGATGCTGGTCTTTCCAAGAGAGTGGAGCTTCCTCTTCCTCTGCTTCCCCCGGTGGTACGAAAACTTTCAGAGCTGGAGTATTTAATCGATCCAAACCACATGACCTAGCCATCGTAGCATCTGTCTCTTTATTCGGTGGACTATGTTAATAACGCCTTATATCTCACCTTGTCACCTTGTCTGAATCCTCATTTGGTATTGGACAGCTCGGATATCCTGACGGAGCTTTTGATGTTGCTTAACGTCATCTTGTACAGCTGTATAAGTTTTAAGGATACTAAATTCAGACTAGTGTCTGCACGAGTATATACATATATATATTTATTTAAGTATATAACAACAAAAAAACGCCAACTAATTATTTATTTAGAAATTTTGTTAAGTAACAAGTAATCTACAGAAACATTTAAGTATGCTTTTCGTGATATAAATATATACGTGTATATATTCAACAAAGGAAAGCTTTTAGTTCGAGCTCAAAAGGAAATGAAAAAATAACGGTTGTAGAAATGTAGCTTTCAGTAAGATATTCGCAAAGTACTTGCATGCATTGCTTGCCAACTCATTGATTTCAATCGCTCTCCGCAGCTTTGAATACTTAGGCTACAGTACAACACCACATCACAAAACCCATTACGGCTTGAATTTAAAAAAACAAAAAAAAACAATATTCGTATTTTGGAAAATAGGAACCATTTTCAGTTGTAAAGAGTATAAATTATGCTCCCTTGATAAAATAAGTTTAGACTTATTTAAGTGCTATTAATTTGCGATTTCAGATTAACCTCCTCCTCCTTCAAGTCGATCCAAATATAAGATGCGCGCTAAAAGTCAGGTAGGGTCAGTAAAAAGAAAGGATGTCAAAAGTTCTCGAAAGCTTGTCAGCCGATCTTGATAAAATTTTACACAGGTCTCCGAGATAAAATTTTCGAGGAACTTAAAGCTGATTTTTTTCTTGCTATCACAGGTTCTTAAAAAACAACAAAATGTTTAGCAAATTTTACCAAGTTTTGTATGTTTTTTAAAAAAAAAGTCTGCCAAAAATACAATTTTAATTTTTTGTTGTTTTTCTACGTCCAAGTTGCTGTTTTAACTTTTTTTCATTTTTAAGGATCCTGACACGACAAAACGCTTGCAAAGTTTCTAACTACTGCAGATTGTTTATTTATTAACAAATCCATTTTTTTTGTGGCTTAGCGTCGCAAAATATGTGTATGTATGTGCAATCCAATTTCAACCTTTAAATGTTGTGGAATGTAATTAGGCGTGGAATACTGTAGTGAAGTTATCCGTTCATATGCTCGACATCTACAGCAAACAATCAGTAATACGACTTTATTTAATATGAGTAAGTCTCTCTTCTGTAATAGTAAAAAAAGGGGAAAATGCTTTCTTCAAAGTGTTTCTGTTGCTGTTCTGTCTTGCTGTCATAAACATACTAATGATTATTTAATGGCATTGTATTAAATTTTTTTAGTTGCGGACGCGTCTCCGTTTGTTATCGGTAATCAGAGGTGTCGATGCTGATTACATTAAAATTGCGCGTTTTTAAGTAATTTATATGCATTCAGTCAGTCTTCCGACCTCTAACAGGTAACGTGATAAAGCGATCATGAACGGAACAGTTACATTGTGTGGCCTTTGTGTGAAAATGTGTAGATTGATATAAAATGTGCGATTAATTTATTGTTCCAAGTGGGTTAGAAAATCAACCATAAATTAGCAATAAATAATTAAGCAGAAAACCTGTTTTGTGTTTGTGATTCCCTTACAAATTTATTACTAATAATGATTCCCGAGTAACAAAGTGAGTTTCTTTCCCAGTTTCGTACTAATACAGATGTGCATGAAGTTTATTTTATTTTGCCACTTGGATGGAAACAGCTGAGCACAGCAATCTCTGCTTGTTTGTATGTACGAGTATGAGTATGTATCCAAAATGTTTCAGCGGAGTTGTGTACAAATCGAGGCAGGGGGGATTTTTATGAAATTGTGTATGCATGTATGAATATGATGATTTCACGTTTTGTCGTTCTTAGAACGGTATGAATCGGCCGTTCGGGGGCGGCTTAGTATAAACTGTAGCTCCCTCCATTTGTTGGAAAAACATCAAGACGCACGCCACAAGTGGGAGGAGAAGCGACGCCGAAAATCGCTTCTGCGGTTGCCAAGCACCAATATACCAAATAAATTTATTAAAAATCTTCTGAGCTTTCGTATGGAGTTACAAACAAATCTCAAATTTTGTGCCGCGCTCCTGAACAATCTGTAAAAGTGACTTTCGAATGCAAATTTATCTGTATAAATTTGAACAATCTCATATCAAAGATAAATATAAACGTCATACTCGTGTTTAATATGTTTATTTACGTAGACATTACGCGTATTGAGTGCTTGATCGAAAACAAGGTGCACACAGAGTGACCAACTTATATTTTCTCATATTTTAAATTTACCAAAATGCCTTTGCTGTTAAATTTTTATACATTTGTAACCGCTAAAGCGATTTTTGGCCGATCTTTCCCGCCAATTTGTGAAATGCGTCTTGGTGTTTTTCGAACAAATGGAGGAATAAACAGTTTATTCCAAGCCCCCTCCGAACGTCCGATGGATTTTTCTGAGTAAATTTGATTTTCATGTCAGAAGTACACTCGGAGCCGAAGTACACTCGTGCCTAGCGACAACCGCAATTAGAAAAATAAATTTCTATAATTTTGAATGTTGATCGGACCAGGACTCTACCCTGTCCAACCGAATGTTAGTACGCAATACAAACTCCTCGGCTACTATGAATAATGCCCTTCAATTCCGAATCCAGCCACTGGAACCTTAAGCAAATTCATCAGCTTCATCAAATGTAATATATATTATATTTTTGCTTGTATACTCGTAATAGACGCTTTATAACCGCTGAAGCAGTTTTTGGCGATCTCCTCTTTTGATTCCTTGTGTCCTTATTGTTGTTTGTCCAAAAAATGAAGGGAATTTTTTTATGTCAGGATCATTGACGAAATTTAATGTTACTGGCTGATCGATACTCACTGAGCCGAATGCTTGGTAAGGTTTACAGCGTGTCAGTGATGAATGGACATTTAAAATAAATTTTTCTACACAGCAACTAGTCAGCAAAAAATCATTGCACAAGCGGAGTTTTTATTTGCATAAATTCGGAAATGTCAAGAAGTAAGTAAAACACATTCTGATCACCCCATAATAATACCATATATTGTACATATTGATACGAGTATACTGGTTACTGCTCACTGCTTATCTTACGCCACAATTTGCCAATCAAATGACGTGTTTTTGCCTTGTTTACTTCGTTGCACAAGTGCCTATTATTAATATTATTAATATAGAACTATTACCACTAAATAAGCCTAAACACGAAGAGTCAATAGAACAAACTACTTTTCATGTAGCCCGAATTGTTTGTAAGTCAGCGTTTATTAAGTAGCAGGGATTTCTAGATGTAACAGGTTAGATCATACGGCTGTTATGCCTTTTGGCGCCCTTTGGGTTGCCAGATGAGGATTCAATTTAATTCCAGCTATCTGATATTCAATATTAACAATCTCTAGTCCTTTGAACATTTAAGTTCTTAGATATTCGGACAGAAGCACAGGAGTGTCCTCAGGAGGTGTCATTCCTGTTGTTAGGCCAACAACTGACATATGCAATCCTTTTCAAACCGACTGTCATTGCAAATAATCTTGGGGCACGTGTATGCTGTATATGCATTCCTTCTCACCCAAAAGCGTCTATCAGCTCTCCCTTTAATTGTCGCTCAGCTATCAAAATTTGTATAGCGATGGTTTTTATTTGATTTCCTGCGCTGTTAGGTACTTAGCCAACGGCCTAATATTCCATTTACACTTATCTACTGAAATTATTAAAAAAATCGAATTTTTTTTATTGTTAAAAATTAACCCTTTTCCCTCAAATAAAAAAGAGGACTGCTTTTGTTGAGAGATGGTATTTGTTATTTATATTTAAGCGCCTTATAACTGTACAATTTATTTGTGTCGAGATTGTTCTTCGATTTGTGAGCTGAAACAAAAGGTCGGTTTACCTAAAGCATTTGTGACAACTTTTGCGTTGGTTTGAGTTGAGTCGGCAGAGCGCTGTTTGAAAAATTAGGTGTATTCTCTGAATCGAGAAAATACGTGAATCAGCGCTGCGGCACTAATTGACTGTCATTGTTAATGCAAAAATTCTTTCAAATAATGTTAAGTGCTGTTTATTCGTTTAACAAATAGTTTAGAACATTTTTTCGGGAAAATGAGATTAATGCGAAGGCAACATATAAATTTGAGTGGCATGATATTTTTTCATCTAACTTTAATATTGGCGTGACCCGTCCGTCCATTCCTCCATTTGTTGGCCAATGTATATGCGAGCTGGTCTGGAGATTTTGATGAAATTTATAAATATTGAAGTTAGTTACTATAAGTTCGACCATCTTGGACAATGTAGTATAGGGTTGCCCAAAAAGTAATTGCGGATTTTTTAAAAGAAAGTAAATGCATTTTTAATAAAACTTAGAATGAACTTTAATCAAATATATAATTGCCATTTTGTTCGATAACCTTTTGGCAAATTTAGTATTCCACGCTCATAGAACTTCTGGCCTTTATCTGCAAAAAACTGAACCAAGTGCGATTTTATAGCCTCATCATTGCCGAAAGTTTTACCATTTAAGGAGTTCTGCAAAGATCGAAATAAATGGTAGTCTGATGGTGCGAGGTCAGGTCTATATGGTGGATGCATCAAAAGTTGCCAGCCAAGCTCACTCAGTTTTTTGGCGAGTGACCAAAGATGTGTGCAGGACAACGCTACCTGGTGGAATATGACACCTTTACGATTGACCAATTCTGGTCGCTTCTCCTTGATGGCTGTATTCAATTTGTCCAATTGTTGACAGTAAACATCGGAATTAATCGTTTGGTTCCTTGGAAACAGCTCAAAATATACGACACCCTTCCAATCCCACCAAACAGACATGCGGGCTGGTCTGGAGATTTTGATGAAATTTATAAATATTAAAATTAGTTACTATAAGTTCGACCATCTTGGACAATGTATTACTTTTAAGAAGCCCAAACTAATTGGCCTTTCTTTCAAAGACACATTAAATAATAACACATTATTCAGAGAATATCTTACAAGGATATTATGTTCCAAACTCGGCTGTAGCGGCCGCCAATATATGTATAGTACATAAATAATTTATTGTCGTGTTCTCATGCTCCTGCTCTTTAGCAGTGCAATGCAGACCAAAAATTGTCAATCAGAATTTGCCAGTAATGAAATATCAAAATTGGGCTCTCTCGGTATAAGTTTTTCTGGCTCCAGTGAAAACAATAAACAATTGTTATTGCGCATTAGCTCACCGAACAGGATTGTATGGTTGCGAGTCCAAAATATCCTTTTAATAACTTGTTGCTCGTAACTTTTGAGTGAAGCTATGTCGTTTCTTTCTATTACTTGCATTCGTTTTTCCAAGGAGCAGTCTGGTATGCCTGAGGTAAGCACTTGAGATTAGTTCAAGAAACAATTATACAACCTTGTTTCAAGGACAAGGTTTTTTAGGATGATCAAGGGATTTCTTATTTTTTGCTTTGTCTCGTATCCAGCACTGCCTCCGGCCAATCGGCCAAGAGTTAATTTTTTAAAGTGATAAGTGAAGGTTGAAATTCGGTTAACTTAGGTGAGGGATTAACTTGGAGCGAGATAACTTTTGTGCTATTCTACTGTGCACACAAATAAACATATGAACATAAAAGCATAATTACTGTTACGAAATCGGAATACGCAACTTACATTATTAGCACACGAATAGAAAGACCTCGGCCAGTAATGCGTTCTTGAGAGAATTGAATAAATCCCAAACAATTATAACGTTCTGTGGGAAAAATTCAATTGTGGTGTAAACAGCGGCAGCTCCCAATATGTGTGTGCGTGCGCAAAGCTGAATTTGAATTCCAGCGCTTAAATACGAATAACTTAATTAAACAATGTCAGGGCTTTTCGAATTAAATTTATGCACTATGCACACACGTATGCACACGTATTTATGTACGTTCAAACAATTAAGGAGGCCGCAATGATTGCTTTTTTTTAAGAAACTTTATTTCAATATTAATTTATATTTTTGCTTTTGTTATTTCAGCTTTAATACGTTTATTATGATCACACGAAATCTGGAACCGAAAAAGCTTTATTAGAAAACTTACAATTAACAGTTGTGGTGCAAGCAATTAGGGAAAAGTGGAATTAATACATATCTATGCAAAATTTCAATACCACCGACCAATAATACACCGTCCCCACTTAATCGAGAGTACGATAAGATTTGTTATGAATTAATCAAGGAACGACATAAAAGCCAAATAACCCAAATAAACCAAATATATGAAGTTCTTATGATAAAACGAAAAATTATTAATTAAAAATGACTTCTTCACAAACTGATTTGCAGCCGGTTAAATTTGCCGGTAGCGAATATTCTGTTGGGACGAGCACAGATGCAAGAAGAGTTGAAGGTAAAATATTTACATATGTATATACGTAAAGTATGAATATTTAATTAAGTATATTTTATGAAATATCTGCGGTACACAGGCGTGTTTCGCTACATCAAAGGAAATTTTGTAAAATCTATTTTTAACCATTTGTTTTAATTTATAAGTGAATTTTCGTCTCTTTCTCTCTCTTTCTCTTTTTAACAATACCACTATGCACTCAGCCAAATTAATTAGCATCATTTTACAATTTTTGACTTCTGCATTTCGCCACCTTCCTATTTCAAAGGTGTAGCAAGAATAATTATAATTATGTTTCCCTGAGAAACTTCTTGAGTTTCAAAATCTTTCTGAAATCTCTCTGTCCCCTTAATATTTTAAATTAAACAATACATACGGAGTGCTCTTTTCAAAAAATTGCTTATGTTTCAAGTCTCCCTTATAAATATGTCTTCCGCTTGTACTGCTTATTGTATTAACATTTTAATTGTATTTGAAGTGATATAAAGCTGGCTTCCCTCCCTCGTATTGCTCTGTATGCCTTCATAATTCCTTTTCCATATACGTGTAAGTATGCCATGTAAATTTAAACACCTATAAAAGAAGAGATGCCACTCTTCCTTTGCAGAAGTTCTGTATACCTTAACAAACACCTTCTGAATGATACCCCAAACATGTTTCAGAAATTTGGTTGAATTTCGTTTAGACGCTCTCAAGCTGCAAAGTGGCAAATCAACTGTTCACCAATTTTTAGATTTTTGTCAGTATTCTTGTCAGAATTCGGGCAAACTTCACGAAAACCCGAATATGATGCATAACTTTTGTTGAATTCGGTGAAAGCGTTTTCAAGTTATGAGAAAACACCAAAAACGTCCACTTATTTTTCTTTAAATACAGGCCTACATATAAGATGAGTTTTCTGATAAACAAATCTTTCGAAAGGGAGTTGGCCAACACGAAAGCCAAATAAAAAACCGTATTATCGCAAAAAAATTAATTTTCTTTTCAATTCTGAAAATATTATTGCAATTTTTTTTTTAATGCTCAAAATCAATTCGTCTGCTTTGACCACATTATTAACTTGTGCACCTATACATGTATCATATCTCAAGGTTGGCGAATACTTTTTCCAACCAAAACCCAAAATTCATTATTAAATTGTACATACTCTACTACTCTTCTCGCTAATAAATAATCCGTTTTTTTTTCACACCACGTTAACTTCCACAGAGATCAAAGTTTACAAACGTCGCTGGGTCGTTTTATTCTTATTTATATTTTATTCGGGAGCAAATGCTGCACAGTGGATTCAATACAGTATTATCAACAATATTATAGTGAAGTAAGTTGCATTTACTATATGCCAGCATCTCAAACTTGTATTTCTAAAATTTGCCTTTAAAATTTGCGAACCATGAAAACACAGTATCCCCTAGAGCTTACAATATATACGTGTGTGGACAACCTGAATTCAACTGATCACTAAAGTGAATTCGACTTAACTCGAACGTTGATTGACTGAAGCAGTGCTTGGATCTTAATAGAAATTTACAGCTTCGTTGATTCGATTAATAATCGTTATTTAATTTTAGATTCCTCCTAATGTTGATTTTAGAATTCAGAGAAAGTCGATTAAATTTTAGAACATGAATTTTATAAAGTCGTTTCAGAAAATTTTAAAATCTTTGTAACGGGCTATGTATGACAAAGCCCTAAGTGATGTTTTTGTAAAATGTAATGCCAGAACAATAATTTTTTAATTAAATTAATTTTTATCGAACTTATTTATAAAGGGTGTTTTCTTAGACATGTGGTTCATAAGAAAAAAAATAAATTTCAGCCCAAAGGGCACTTCTTGCTGCCTTTGGGGCCGTATGCGCTCAACAAAGGTTCCTTCAATGAATTGATTCTTTCGTTGGCTGTATGGCATGCAGCGCCGTTTTGTTGGAAGCAAAGGTAGTCCACAACAACTTCCACCAATTCAGGCACAAGAAGTCATTAATCATGGCTCTATAGGCAGACAAAACATTGACTGTAATAACATAACGGCCGATTTCATTTTTGAAGAAGTATTGACCAATGATCCCCATCTGCCCATAGAGCCTACCCAATAATGTCTTTTTGAGAATGCAACAGTGTCAAAACTGAGTGTAAATCAAGTAACCGCCAAGTCAAGTCAAAAGGACCAACTCCGAAAAATTATTTCCTCACTGAAAACCACACGTCTACGAAAACATCCTTGATTGGCGGAGTATGATTTGAATATCTGTTTCGTCTAAATATACGTGTACGGCCTAAAATTTTTACTTAGGGGATACTGTAACTCCATATCGATTTGGATTAAATCAACTATGTCGGAAGTTGTATACCTTTCATCAACGGCAATTTGTTTAATGCCTTCCATGTTCATGAGAGGTATAATAAAGATTCTGGTTTCCAAAGATTGGTGACCAAGCAAATGCCAAATATGGGCTTTCATTCAACTAATGTAAATTTTATTACTCGCTTTTTAGATATTACGGCATTAATGACAAATGGGTGGATTGGACTTCAATGATATATATGATTGTTTATATTCCACTCATTTTTCCAGGCAGTTGGTTTCTCGATAAAATGGTAAGATTTAATATCTGTTAGTTTTTCTTCATTATTTCTTATATATTTTAAGTCCACGAGCACACTAGACAAGTTGTTGGCAGTTCAAAACTTAGTAAATTACCCGAAAATTCTTTCCGACTTACGTATATTTACAGGGTCTCCGCATCACAGCCCTCGTAGGCATTGTCGGCACCTGCATTGGATCCTGGATTAAAGTCTTCTCTGTGCAACCAGATCTCTTTTATGTCACATTTATTGGTCAAACATTTGTGGCCTTGGCTCAGGTTTATATTACATGAATAATAATTATATTATGTTATTAGTAAAGGTGAAAACTTAAAATCAACAGTTTATGAGAAAGGAAATGCGGTCGTTTATAATGTTAAATGTTAAAATTTAAATGATAACGATGACAATTTCATTTCGTTAGGTTTATTCTTCATATTAACAAAACGGAATGACATCGTTTCATTAGTTGAGCATCTCTCGCCTATACCATACGAAGAAAAATGTTTTTTTTTAGCAGAATAGTGCTATTTATATTCACCTACAATTTTTGATTTAATTGGACCATATTTTAATACCGACTTCTTTTTTGTAGGTGTGTATTTTGTCTTTACCTGCCCGCATTGCGGCTGTGTGGTTCGGGCCGCATCAAGTGTCTTCGGCGTGCAGCTTAGGAGTTTTTGGTAATCAAGTAAGTAAAGAAAACCCAAGTCGTAAATAATACGTCTAGAGACCAAAAAGTAGATGAAATCCTGCAAATTGTATAATACATCCACTTTAAATATAATGCATCAACATTTGTGTGGACTCTCCAGACTTTGTAGGTATATTTAGTGCACTTGCCACATACGTGTGGTGGTAGAAATGATCCACATTTTAGGACAAGTCTATTTGCAAATATGGACATACTTCATGCTCATCTGCATACATTTGCACATACATAGTAAATATATGTAAATACACTCTGCCAATCTGGCTTATGTTCTGTGTATTCAAGCGTACAATAGACACTTGAATGCAAAGTGTCAACTGCAATGTTACTGGCTGCTGGTGTGACCGATATGCTGTTAATATGACCTTGGGTTTTTCATAACACTGCAGCGAATTTTCTCATAGATTTTTTGCATCAATCCGTACACTTTCCGTGAATTGAAAATTGCATTATACTATTTATAACTTGAGTCCAAAGTATATAAAAAATACCTGAAATTGAAATGAAATAGAAAGAAGAGACCGTGTAAGTTGGCTGCTATAGCCGGGTAGTTCCGTACGGTACGTACTACCATTCAGAAGGCCACGAATTAAATCCTATTTTGGACATTATCGAAAATTTTTTTTCTAATTACGGTCGCTGCAGTCATATTAATGCACTCTTGCCCTTTCGAAGGTGCTTAGAATAAGCTGTAGGTCATTCCATTTATGTGTATGTGAAAAGCATCAATACGCAGGAGGAGCTCGCCGAAAATCGATTCAGGTGTTCAAGTTATATTTGGTGAATGGTGTCTTTTTGTATTGGGCTTATAAATTAATTCAGTACCTTTTTTTGTGAATAAAAAAAGTATTTTTTTTTATTGAAATAAGTTAAAAATGGGAAAAGAATAGTATAACCTATTCTGAGAGCTGGGCAGTGGCAGAGGTAGGGCTCGATGGACTCCTCCTTTTCTTCATTCCTACAGCTGCGGCAAAAATCATTAGAGTTATAACATAAGAGTGCGAAGAAAAGGAGGAGTCCATCGAGCACTACCTCTGCCACTGGCCAGCTCTGACATATGTCTGACACAAATTCCTCGGAAAACACTTCTTCTACCTACTATCCAGCTGAGTTGGGCCTGTTGGCCTAAGTGTGCTTGGTAATGGCCAGCAGCCGCATCAACTCAACTCAGCACAACTAAAAAATTATTATTTCCCATAACTCAACAAAAATGAAAAGCACTTCGAGACTCACAGATCCCTGTTTACTGTGTTTTATTGACGTCACACTAACAAATCGAAGAGCTAGCAAGAATTAATGAATGAAATGTTTTTGTTTTTGACAAACTATTTCGATTTTTTATGAGTATTCTTTGTGAGTGTGAATTTTTAGCGATGCACATTATTAGTTTGTGGCAAATATTCCAACACATGAACTACTATGACACATTCACAAAACCGTAATTGAGTTAAAACAATATAACAATTGAAAAATGACAATAAATACCAGGTTATTTTCAACTCCCTAAGTTGTTCCTCGTTAGCTTTTTATTTTATCGATAACTTCCATTATTCGTTCACTTTCAGCTTGGCATTGCTGTTGGTTTCGTGCTACCTCCAATATTAGTGGGAAACTCAGATGATCTAGACGCAATTGGGAGTGATTTGCTATTTATGTTCTACTGGTTTGCGGGATTTACGACAGTTTTGATGGTCCTGATGATATTTCGTAAGATGCTAACACATGATTTTCTGATTAATAACAATATACCTAAGTTTAACAGTATTCTCCATTATTTTTATCATTTATATTTGAAATTCTTCAAAATTATGATATTATCTTATAAAGTGGGTAAAATCATTGAATTCGAATAATCACAAGCTGTTTAACCCCTTGGACCCCAGAGTTGCATATAAACAACTTCTGTGTTTGAAATCATTTAAAATAACGCGAAAACAAAAAAAAAAAGAAAGCGGGACTCACCGACTAAGAAGACAAGTACAACAAACACTTTAGCATTCAGTTTATTGTGACGAAATTGCACGTAGAGTAAAAAATTTATAAAAATAGTGATGAAGGTTTAAAACTAAAGGCTTAAAGAAAAATCGTGCTTTAGTTAGATTACAGGAATTTTTTTGTTGCTTATAAGCAACTTCCCATATCTCGTTGCCTTTTAGGTGGCAGACCTTGCAACCCTTAATTAGGATCCTATTAGCCCGAGTGTAACAAAAACTATTTTTTTGTTCTGAGCAGTCGTCTCTGAAACTCAAACTCTCAAAACTACTTTCAAATATATGCATTTTGAGTTTCTTCGCCTATTTGTTTTGCTATGAACTAACTGCTTTCTTTAGCCATTACAATAAATCAAATATATGAAAAATAAAAAATATTTCCTTCGTATTGTATTTTGCTCTAGTGTTTAAAGATAAACCGCCAACACCGCCGAATCCAAAGCGCTCAGGAGACCCCACAGCTAATTCAGCTTCCGAAGAGCCTTTTATGAAATCGTTGAAGAGTTTGGCTCTCAATCGTAACTACATACTACTTCTTATTTCCTATGGAATGAATGTTGGCGTTTTCTACGCGATATCCACTTTACTTAATCCGGTAAGTTTCATTTTTCGTTATTTTTTTGAAGAAGAGGCTGTAAGAAACTGAAGATTTACCTTTGAAACAATACATTTTAGGTTGTTCTCAAATATTATCCGGGTCACGAGGTTGACACTGGACGCATCGGCCTAACTATTGTGCTCGCAGGTATGATCGGCTCTGTCGCAAGCGGTATTGTGCTGGATCACATGCGTAAATTTAAGTAAGTTTTATTCATAGTATTTAAGTTACTAAATGAAGTAATAATACGTCCATTAGAGTAGCACTGCTTTAGGTCTAAATTCAAAATTTAATGGTCAGCTCATTTTCACAATTGGAGGCAATATTCGTAGACAAGTTCTTCTCGGTTTAAACGCTCTAATCCCTTTAATGCCTAGCAATATATTCAAAAATATTATATTCATTAAATTACTAATTATGTATATACTCGTGCATACATATTTACATTTTTATAGAGAAACAACGCTCGCTGTTTATGCCCTCTCTATGGTTGGCATGTGGATATTTACCTTTACATTAGATACGGGGCATATTGTTGTGGTCTACGTGACGGCCGGACTTCTAGGGTAAGTGAAACTGTAAGGTGCGCAATAAGTAATTTAAGTTATCTTATATTTCTTTCCAGCTTTTTCATGACCGGATACTTACCTGTTGGCTTCGAATTCGCTGCCGAACTTACATATCCCGAGCCAGAGGGCACGTCTTCCGGTTTGCTTAATGCAGCCGCACAAGTTTTTGGTATTGGGTTCACTTCCCTATACTCAGAAGTATTCTACACTTACGGTGATATTCCAGCCGATGTCATTATGTCAATTATGTTGATGTTCGGCACTTTAATTACCGCATTGATAAAGCCCGATTTAAGAAGGCAAAAGGCAAATCAAGAAAACGCAATATCTACGCCCGGCGTTTCAGCTGAATCAGTGCAAGTGCAGTCCTCAAACATTGCAATCATCTCAACCCGCAAATTAAGCGATATTAATCCCTAGGATCGTATTGATTTTGTTTAAGTGTGTTAACTGTCATTGCAATATATACATACAATACATATGTATATGTTTACGTACGTGTACATATGTGTATGTAGATTTTTTTAAATTTACATCAAAAGATGTTTGTTGAATGAAAAATATTTTTTTTTATTTTTTCTAAACTTTTTTAAAACAGGAAACTTTGTTCTTGTTGTTTGGAAACTGCACTTAAACAAATTCAGAGCTTTATACGTACATATGTATACATGTACATATGTATGTACATACCTAAATAATTATGTACGACGCTAGGATAAGGATGTATCTCTTCCGCAGCGAATCGGTGATATCGGGACGGTTGTTGATTATGTACAATTTTATTAACATAGAAAGACCAACGTTATTATATGAGTAGTTATGTATTTGTAAGTCTCAAAGGCAAATTGTTAAATTATTTTTAAATGTTTTTAAAGGAAAAGCACTAATTTACACATATGCACGCAAATAATAGAACTGGCACTTAGTATCTACATACATATATACTATAGGCGCGTTAATTACGTTACTAAATGTATACAAATATAAGCAGATATACATATGTACATATATGTATGTATTTAGACTTTTAAATGAACCTTAATTACACAAATCCACAAACAACTGTTTCTTGTAAATGCTGGATCGCTTGTATGAAGGACAGTAGAGTATATATGTACATACATACATATGTATGTGTGTGTAGATGACGAACAATTTTCACTTACAGTCTGTCTAGTAGTCTAAACAGACAACTGTTATGGCTTCACATCCAAATTCTGAGCGAATTTTGTAAGTTTTTCGGCTCACAATAAGTCGCATTTGACGTGATAACTGTTCAAATCATTTCATCTAGATAATACAAATCATATAAAACTTCCCTTGAACTTCGATGCTCTCAGGTATTTATACTTGGAACTAAATGTAGTGACCATGATTTAACACTCGATTGGCAATCTCGATTAACTCTGGAGTGATGATAAAATATACGTTTAGTATGTAGTTCGAACCCCCCCCCCTTAAATTAGCTAAAATTTTAGCCAAATCGGTCTAGTCATTGTCAATTCAGGAAAAACTATAAATTTTATTCACCAATTTTAAAAGATGTTTTTATATTAGAGAGAGGAGCAGTCTTCCCGTTAATACATACATATATAACATATTATTAATCTTGTGCATCACAAATCCTTTTATCAACATCTGACTTAAAATATATTGTATTCAAAAAGAATAGAATCATTGATGGATCCAGAAACGATTAATAGAGTGCATACGGTAAAATGCACCGAATGGTATGCCTGATAGTGACAGTAAAAAGTTTTTCCCTAAAATTTTAACGTTTTCTCAACAACAAAAAAAGACATATGTTCATACATACATACATAGTAAATGCATTCCACACCACCCACCCATTTTTTCCAAGACTTTACCATTCAATTTGTACCCACAACGGTTCTTTATACATCGTATGAGCATCGTTTTTACTGTTATCATTCGTGTTTACATGAACTGAGTTAACGAAAGACGTTAAGAATTGTTGTTTGTAGGTTGACAATCATGTAACAGAAACACCTGGGCATCTAATGGGCGATTCATAGCTCTTCCTTATTTATTTCCCCTTTTCAAAATAAAACGAAATTAACTGAAGAAACGAAAACCAATATCTAGGAATATTTAGTCTTATTAAGGTATTATTCTAAACTACTTATACATATTAAATTATAAATGTAGAGAAAATGTGGAGAACTGGCATACATGCATACATATGTACATATTGGTATAAAAACAAGAAAACAACAAGCAAATAAAGAAAGGCTTTAACCAAATTTTTAATTGTTTCTAGCTCATTTGGCTCTTAAGGACATTCCGTTTTAAATGGCCTTTCTGTAATAAGGAAAAACGAATAACAAGAATAACAAGAATATAACATATACATATATATACGATATATACATACATATATACGTTCGTAGGTATTTATGCACACAGACAACACAATAACTGTATAAATTAAATATAGGAACATATATAATTGTAGCAATGCAAGACTTTTAATATATAATATTTACATATATGTACACATACAAAAAAATATCGTGTATACAATATTAACCAGCTGGAGCTTATTCAATAAAATGTTGTTATTAAATTAAAATATACATATGAATTAAGATTAAAATAATAATATTATACAAATATATAATATACATATATACACATATGCTAGCAGAACCTGCCGCTCGTGTGCTTTCTTGTACTTCTTTCAATTGCTATGATAGATATGATCGTTTCTAACGAGGCGGAGGTGATAGGGAAGGAAATAGCAAATGCCGCAACTGAGCTTCGAATAATGCGGTGGCTTTGTAACAAATAGCTTATACATACATATATTGATATCACAACGCAGCAAACATATCATCATATATTTAGCCGATCTGTCTCGAGTCCATTTCCCGGAAATACCATATATACACACAAAATTTAGACTAAAATTACATATTCACTTGAACAGGCCCATCGAAAGGGTGACAGCCATGGCCGAATATAATCCAGGTCAACTTCTCAGCTTGGAGCTGTCTGGAGTGAGAGGCACAGTAAAACAGCCGTAGATTGTCAGGGCCTAATTATCGGGTCAGGACATGTGCAGTTGGTAATATAAATATATCCACCAGAATTGTTGGCAATTGCAATTGCCTGACATAACAATTACTAGTGGTTGCGTGATAAACAGCGGGAGCAGACTCCCTCTCTAAGGTATAGAGTTTTGCCTTCGATCACACTAACAATACCCGATATGTGAAAACTGGACAGGGTTTCTCGTTCTGAGTGGTCGACAGTCATTAATAGTAGCCGGTTGTTGTTGTAACGTTTCTCCAACCCCGCTTAGGAACAGGCTAGTTAGTCTAAGTCATCGAGGTCATCTAACGGTAGATCCAGGAAACGAACTATTTTGACTGTTTTGGTTTGGACCAGAGGGAGATGGGGGTTAGATGAGTTGGTTTTAGGGGGAATGCAGAGAAATGGTTGAGGGCTTGTTACACACGGGATATACGTTAGGTTTACTACAATATCCAGGCATGAGTTACGCCAGTATTACGCTGGGCTCTCGAGACAGCTCGAACCCTTCTTCTGCTATGGGTGGTGGTTTGAATCTGAAAACGCTTTTCTCAGGGAGAGAGTTCACAAAGGTATTAACAGACTTTTGGTGAATGGCGTTATGCACGTGTCCCGACGCCGTCCTGATGATGAAGAATTTACAAGTATGTCAGAACACCGCCCCTAGGACCGTGAGAGGACAACTCATTATTCAACTGATGGAACACGTACGCAATGAAATATCTATGCCCCCAGTTAAGCAGCAATGTTATGTTGTGTAAGCAATATCTGCTGGGATTCTACTGTATATATAACGAATATCCTGCACGCAATAACCTACGGTTCTAACCTATAACTTTTTCAAATGCTGTTTTGTATCCTTAGACATTAGCCATTATATTAGGAAAAAAACAATCGAAAATACTTACATATTTCAGCAATTTTTCACATAATTTAAAGAAAACAAATAGCTGTTTTTTTTTGTTAGGAAAACTTATTGAGCTTTTACGAGTATATATTTTATTGACAGGCATATATAATTGTTATAAATATGCATATAGTGGAATGTAAAAAATACATAAATCGAGTGTGTGAAATCCATAATTAATACGATTAAATATTAAACGTCTTCTAATAGCTTAGAACAAATATCTACACACATACATAGCAATATATGCTTGCTTAAATAGTAGAAAATGAAATTTGGTTTTGTTTTGTAAATTTTGGGTAAACGCTGCTTATATGCAAAATAAAAATGGATCTATTATCTAAAATGAAAATATATTTTTTGCGTGAAAACACAATAACAATATATGATGATGCAATTTGTTTTCTTTAAGAGTGACACAACATATCTGTATCCATGGGAAATATATCGACGTAATACTTATATTCTTTTTAGTCCATCTTGGAGTAATTAACTCAAACTTAAACGGTAACCAAGCTTGGCATTTAGTAAAAGTTTGATTTAAATCGTCATTATTGCGGTCAGGATCTTATTTCTCACTACAAAAATGTGCTACATGTAATGCACATGTATAATTAAATGTTACACGATGGTTTCTGTAAACCTAAATTTAAGACAAACATAACTGAAATCAAAAAATGATAAATAATATGTTGCCTTGATATTGTTAAGGATCAATACCTAAGAGTTACTGCGGCTGTCCCCAAGATCGCAGCAAAAGTAAAACTTTATTGAAATAGGCACACCATAGTTCACGTTCTTCTTTTGTATCAGCAGACAAAAGATACCGCACAATAGTGTTGCGTCCATTACGTACTATAATGAGTGATTCTTCATCTGTCTCCTTGGCGGGCCGCTCAAACTCCAACAGCATTGTATTGAGCCGAGCACATATATCTCGTGGTGCGACTGCCACTTTTTGCGTGCGACAAGCATACAGATCGATCGTTCCAATAGGCGTTTTCTTCCGCTCATCATCGGGATATTTCCAGTAGTTAAGTACACTGCCATTTAAGTAGCACCAACGTCGATGCCATGCTCCGAAGCCGGAGATATCTTCATACATAGTAAGAAATCCACGATGCTCCACCAATACAGACAATTCGCAATTTACTTTCATGTGCACCACACCCTCCAACGGACTAACTCCCAGAACCTTTATAGCCATGGTAACATAAAGAGGTTTGAGAGCAAGAAATAAACATTAACTTTCGGCTATGCCGAAAGATTTATACCTTTCATAAGCTGAAGCTCATTTGGTTCATGTTATGACCATAATTCCATTAAATTTGCCAGGTTGTAACGGAACCTGGCAAATACAAAAGTTCATGCCTAAACTAAGTCAGCTCGTGAAAGGTATAAGAACATATGAGTAGACACCGAGAAATCATACCTGTGTTAGCGTCCATGTAGTACGTTGTATCTCACGAAGTGAAAATATAGCAAACCCATATTGTACTAAAGCCGGGGTGCGCACAACATTAGGTCCAGCTGGGCTTTGCACAGGAGGCATAACTAAACGATTTTCTCCAGCTTTCTTTTTTGGCGTTTTAATGCCCGATTTTTTGTTTAAGTTTATGTGATATTTAACCTCGTGAGGCAAAATTTCTCGCTGTGCAGTCATGCCGTAAATCTCTAAAGTAACCTGAATGTTTACAACAAAAAAGTAAGTTTCATTATAATTAACTTATTCATAATAATAAAAATCAATAATAACGATATAAAAATAAAATAAAATATACCCGAAAGTCCGCATAAACATTATTCATTTGCAATACATCGGGAAATTTAACTGCTAACAGTCCGGGAAGCGTTGGCACTGTCTTCGTTGCCAAAACATGCTCGTTGTATTTAAGCAAACAAACTAAATGATGTCCAGATATTGTGTCTGCTGCTAGTTTCCGTATATAATCCTGACGCAATGGTATAGTTATTTCCTTAACTGTAAGATGTCCTTTGTCCCGTAACGAACCGACTGGTCGCAAACACTTTTCCACTCGTAAACGTTGTATTTCATCTAAGCAAGCCTGCCTCCGATGTGCTGCAAAACAAACATTTTTAACGTGATTGTTTTAATAAAGTAGAATGCGTAGTTCAATGTGAAAAAAACATACTTGCTACGAGTAGATGTCGTTCGCCCTCCACAGACTCAGTGGAGCCGGAAAATTCTATAGTAGCGGCACACAAGTTCAAAGCTTGACTGGTCTGCGCAATAATTGTTTGTTGCTTACAAACTTCATCCAATAGCTTTTTAATTTTTTCCTCTGCTAAACTCGAATCATCTGAATCCGCATCCGGTATATTGCCAAGAGAGTCACAGTTATCTTCCATCAAAAATGTTGCATTTTGCTGTTTATCGCTTTCTTCGTTTATCTCCTGCTCCTGTAGGTAATTAAGATTCATGGCAGCATGTCCGTCATTCTTCATAGCAGAGCGCAGTACTTTCTGCTCGGTGCACACTCTACGCACTGGTGTAGAACTGGTACTCTTAAAAGTTTGTAAGGAAGAATTTCGATATATTATTTTGATATTTTAAATAATTTTCGGCAAAGGTAATAGTGAGAACTCAATTGTAACTTTTCGAATTTCAGAAAGGCTACTATGAATTTTGACTTCTCGCATAAGATTGTTCAGGTTATTGAGCATTTATAGTAAATGTATCTGATAGTTAATAAAAAAAGTTACGTGTGATGTTTTCATAATTATATTAAATAGTGTCAACTATACATAAACCTTTGCCTGAATTTTAGAATATATGAAAATATATATTTACATTTCCACTCTGTTGTCTTCTATAGAAGCTGACCGTATGTACTAATGTAACCATATTGTCTTCGCTGTCCCGATTGATACTTAATTCCGATTTCACCGGTTGTGGTGTGTACATTTCACTTGCTGAACTAGGAGAGGGTGAAGCGATATTATCCTCAGGTATAGTTTGATAGTGTTTGTATCTTTTTGATGATTGTCGGAAAGAAAAGCTGTTAGAAGCGGTTGTGTCCTTGCTCTAAAATATTGCAGATTACTTAAAAAATATCTATAACGATTTTAAAAAAGAGCTCACCACTCTTGAATGCTGACTTGTATTTCCTCCATCTGTTTCATTTGCGCTTTCCTGTGTAGATTCATCATCGCCCTCAGCTTCTAAAGCCTCATCTAAATAATCATCAACAGCCATTGAAGCTTCAGAAGAATTCATTGAACTATCTGCGCCGCCAAAATACTGGTTATCCGGTAACACCTATTCAATTAAATTGGTCAATCAAAATTTAAAATGGTTATATAAAATATTATCTTGTTTGAATACAAACCTTAACATTTTTCATTTGCTCAGTTCTTTGTTGTTTATTCTCATTATTTTGTACCACTTGCATTATTACGCGGCCTAAAGTGCCGTTGCAAATATCTATACTTGAATCATCCGTATCCTCCGAGTTTGCGCAGCTACAAATAATTTGAATTCAAAAGTAAGCAACGCAAAGTTTAACTTTAGGCAATAATTTATTAGTGTTACAAAGAATATGCATATGCAGGGAGTGTTAATTGAAACTAATTTAAAAATATTTTGAACTGAATTCTTTCAATAAGAATTATTTCGGCCATGAAAGTTTAAAGTGTATTGCAATCAGATATGTTTGTAAATTATTCAATACACAGCAAGCATAGTAAACACGAATAAAAACGCTCCGCCCACCTTTCATTTCTTTCATCGGTGCTATTACCATCCACGTTGGCGATTTCATTTTCCACAAGCAATTTGCGCGTTTGATCGTCTGCGGTACTTTCACCCGACAATGTAGCTGTAGTGCCTTCATTGCCCTTATCTATCTCTGACTCCGAGTTGTCCGATTCCAAGTCTGACAACGCTGGATAGAGACGAGCTGCCGCTGCTCCTGGTCGCGTTATAATAGTCGCAGATTTACGTGCTCGTTTTTTTTCGTCTTCAATGATATCACTGGCTAAAATTTTTAAATTTGTATAAGTATTTTAACATTAAATATTGGCGTTTTCCTTTTTCGTTATAAGAAGGCATATTGTATTATTTTCAAATAAATATATAGTCGAAGAAAATATCCAAATATTACGACAAAAAAGGAAAACGGCATTAATGTGATCAAAAAAAAAAATAATATAATTTCTCACGTGAATGACGTTTATTGTTTACTGCTAATGGAATTTTCGGCATTGGTGGCGGAGGTGGTGGTGAGGAAGGATGAAGAGAAGCCGAAGTCTTTTTCATTTGTGTTTTGGGCACTTCCATCTGCAAATTTTGCTTCTCATCTTGTGAGAAAATATTTTTGTGCGATTGAAAGCGGTTGGAAATAATTTTCATATCCTCTTGTCGTTGCTTTTGTATATCGGCTTTAATTTTGCTCTCAGCAATGGTGGATGTACTAGAGGCAAGCGCTGCTACTTTTTCTCGCAGTTTGCTTTCGCTATTAACCTTTGCGGGCTGGGTTATTAAATTTACATTAGCAGATGTGACTACCGCGGTTGTCGCTGTAATTTTGATTTTTGTTAATTTCATTTTATTAAATTACATTAAATTCCTACCTTTGAGGCCATCATTCCTTTTTGGAGCGTTTTGTTCTTTTTGAATTTTACTTATAGATGGTGCCATACCCAGTGCGGCTTTAGGTGTAAGCGCTTTGTCTTTGTTTCTTTCGAACAGTTGCATTCGCTCTTTAAGTGATAATTCTGTAGGATCTTTCTGCTGCCGCTGCGTTTCTTGATTACCACTTCTTTTATTCTCAAATGCAGCTGTTCTATCCGAAACTAAACCAACTTTAACATTCCCCAATTTCCGCTCGTGAGTGTTAATTGAGTTTTGATTATTTTCTAAAACTTTCGAAAATGTGTTAGTCAAGTTTGCTACTTTGACTTGATTAGAGTCAATTTTAATATTATCATTTTGTGTTTTTTCCATTTCTGTTTTTTCCTGCTCGCTTGGGTAAGCGTAAGCTAATTTAACGGTAGATGAATCACGTCTTTGAAAACCTTGTGCTTCCAAAGAATTTATGACCTGTGGATCCCAAGTCAATTGTTTAGTAATTTTGACAGTAGAAGCAGATGTGCTTCCTTTATTTACCATATCACTTATAGACCTCTCATTCAAATTAGTTTGTGATTTATTTAATATTTTTCTACTTGGTAGATCAGGTTTAGGCGGCGGGACTGCTTTCACAGGGTGTATGTTATGATGAGAAGTATCATCTTCCCACTGATTAATAGAACTTGCTAGTTCAGCTAATTTTCCAAAATGTGGTTTTGTACGTTTCGCATTCTTTACTTCAAGGTCGTCGACAGGAGGATCTGAATAGAAGTCACCCTCAGTTCTATGTATTGGCGATGAAATGTCATTGGGATTAGCATAAAGGGCCCCAAGACGTTGCAGTCGGCTACGCGATGTGTCACGTATTTTTGCCAAGGGCTGTTCAGTCACTGATTTCATACTATTAAGGTCATCATCATCATTGGCTATATCTTTCTCTTCAACTTGAACCTCGACCTACATAATTATAGTGAAATACAATGGTTAACTCGTTCCCAAATATTTAAGTAATATTATAAGAATTACCTCAACATCTTTATTTGTAACAATATTAATCTCTATTCCTAAATCCAAATTTTCTTTACCAACAGCGGTAAACTGCCGGTGGACTTTGTTTTCATTGGATGACACTGTTTCTTCACCTAATGGCGTCGTTTCAACTACTTGCATCTTGTTAAAATTCTTACTGCTTTCGTTATTTGTCAACGTTTGCGCACACGTAGCTGTAACACTATCCACAACTTGCTGCTGCCGATTAGATTTGTTTTTAACAGGTAGCTGTTGAGATATTTGCTCCGTTGTAGTAATTGGGTATTCGCTTGCTTTAGAAATGCCTAAAACACGACTGCGTTGCTCTGCCTTTTCAAGCATTCGCTGAAAGATACGTTTACAAATACAAACAATTAAAGCCAAAACAAAAATTTTACGCATTTCGTCGCGTTGGCTCGTCTGCCCTCTAAAATAAGAATGCATATCGGTGGTCTACCTGTGTAAAAGGATCCATTTTTTTATTCCCTTCCTTTCGCACACTCGCAACTGGTATTGTTGTTTCTTCAATTTAATATCTTGCAAACAAATCTCCTGTTCTTTTAATTTTATAATAATACAATTTGAACTGTTTCCCTTTTTCTGTTCACAAATTAACATGAACATGCAATTATGACAAAGTCACTACACAAACTTTAAGAAAACGTCGTTGACAGCAGCCGCTAATTACACTTTTTGAATTTTCGTTTATTCAGCAGGATTCAGCTTAATAACAAAGGAAAAAAGTATAAGATATGTTTCATGATTCAGTATCAATGATGCCATATAGCAAAGAATGTATATGAATATACGTTCTTTCATATCGTTAAAAAGTTGTTTCATGGAACGTAAATTAATCTCAAAGAAAGCTCTCTTTTGATTGTAAAGTGTTGATTGAAGTGGCTGGTATGAGCGATTTTCCATTAAGAAGCTGTACGACAATATGATAAAGTTTATTTAGAACCTTTGTGATCGAACTCGAGAAAATCAGGAAATATTTGAGGTGGAAAATATACAAACAGCGGTAACCACGTACAAACTTTGCTACTGTAATGGCATATGAATTCGCTTAGATCAAAACATATGGAGTGAATTCGCCTGGTTTAGGTTATTGTGATAATCGTACCGAAATCGTAACATCGTAGAAATGTTAGTAAATTTTATACGCAAATTTTCATCCATACCAGGGAATGTTGCACTTAAAAATGCATTGGGAGGTAAAAGTTTGGTGTCTAAAGTTGCAATAACTAATGATGGTGCGGTTGCAGTGGCTTGGCATCCAGATTTGGAGTTTCCCTATGAATTGACGAAACCTTTACCAAATGCAGCAACCATTCAAAATGAAGCATTGGTGAAAGAAAATTCATTAAGAACAGCTATGAGTGCGTTCAAAAACAAAAAGCCGGAAATAGCTCGACAGGAGATTATGCAACTAACTCATACTACCAAGCATCGCTGGTTTCCAAGATCACGCGATAAGCGCGCTAAAAATACCCCAATGGATAGACCGTACTTGTAAAATAACTTCAATAGCATACTAAATTTTAATTGTTAATCTTTAATGTTAAAATAAATGGTATACAATTTTAATCGACGCGTCGTTTTTTCAATATGCTGCCAAGAATCGCGGATATGGATGGTAGTTCAGGAGCATTTTGATGACTAGTTGTTTGTTTCGTATGTGTTAGATTGCGGTGTTGCGGAAATGTGGGCATCAATTTAGGATCACATGCTGTAAGAAGGATATTTAATAACAATTATGTAGCGCAAAGTTTTTGTAAATCTTACGCAATGGAGGTTCCTTGAAATAGCTGCTCTGTAAACATTCTTCCGCAGTAGCTCTTTTTTTAGGATCATACATAAACAAAAAATTTAAAAGCCGAAGTCCGGCTGCAGTTAAATATTGAAACTTCGGTTTCAGATTATTATAAGGCTGTTGCTTAAGAGTAAAGTTTTTTAAAGCCGGCATTTTTGGAAATTCTGGCCATATGTTCTCCGATGGTGTTCCAAGCAGTTCTATAATTAAATCTAATTGCCCCAGTTCAGTATTACCAGGAAGCAACGGCTTATGTGATAGAAGTTCCCCTAAAATGCAACCAACCGCCCACATGTCCACTGCTGTTGTTTGATTAGGAGATCCTAATAATAGCTCAGGTGAGCGATACCACAGTGTTACAACTTGCGGGGTCATGGGTGTAGTAGGTTCACCAAAAAGCCGAGCAAGGCCAAAGTCAGCTGAAAAAATTTTCATAAATAAACAGTAAACAACCGTAGCAAATGATGATACCTATGTTCGTAAGTAGATAGTGTCTTACCTATTTTAACGCAGCCTTTGTCAGTCATTAACAGATTAGACACCTTCAAATCACGATGAATAATATACCGCGAATGCATATATTCTAGACCATGTAAAACTTGTAAAATAATGCATTTGACTTCTGATTCTGAGAAGGGCTGTGCCATATTATCAAGCAATGATGCTAAATCCTGTTCACAATATTCCATAACAAGGAATATGCTACAGAAATACATATAAATAAGTATATATTTTTGTTTTGCCAAATATCTACCTTTCCAAACTCTTCCCAACCACGACATCGATAAGATTTACTATGTTTTCATGGTGGCATGCTTTAAGAATCATTATTTCTCGTAATCCACTGACTGGTAATCCATCTTTTTCTTGATCCATGCGCATTTTTTTCAGAGCCACCACAGTATCGGTTCGCGTATCTTTAGCCCTATCTAGAACATCATTAACAAATATACAAAATACTTTAAAATAATACTTACAAACTATGCCATATGTGCCTTCACCAATGCGATTTAATTTCTCAAACTCAGTAACTGCCCGGCATCGTCCATACTGTAAGATATATTTCTTTTATGAACTAGTAAATATATTAAGTTCGTTCTACAAACTGCATCCGAGTCCTTTATGTCAATCGGTTCACCACTTTTTATTGATATTAAGTAGCCTTTTCTTGTTACCGGCGCTTGGGGATCTGAAGATTTTATTTGGTCAGCAACTTCTGTTATTAGATTAAGAGTCAGTGAAATTTAGTTATGAATTAATTTAAAAGATGGTATTACCTTTACTCATTTTTCTTATAATTATTTCTTTCAAATGACAATTTTATTTATAAAAGTTTTATCTAGTTTAAATATTAGTAAAGCAAATTATTTGTACAAAATACAATTTCTGCAAAAATAAAAGATGAAGAAATATTTGTATACAATCATCGATGTATAATTTTTTTATCGAACAACGATTTTTTGGTAACATTAGGTATGTTCGGTAGTAGCACTAGAGCAAGAAACAATAAGTATTATATCACGGAAAGCTAAGATATTTGGTTTTTCAGTTATTGCAAGTTCACTAATTTCAATTATTTTTAGATGTTCTATTTTTGTTTCAGGCGTTACTTTTCTAATTTTATAACTGCATTTCAAGTTCATTCGACAAAACAAAATATTCTTGCTATTCAGAATCATGTAAAATGTACTCAACGTAGATCAAAAACCAACTACAGTTCTCAGGGACCATGTTATGCAGTTTTTCCTATGCAATTGAATAAATTAATTTATCAAGAATTCCTTACTTTCTATGCTCCAAATAAAATTACTTCATTTAACAAAATTTTTATCTGAATAAAATTACATAGCTTTGCTTGCACCTCCTCTTGGACGAGCTAGAGTATCTCATATCAAACATAAAACTTATTGCGTACTTTCAGTGATTGGAGTTGCGATCGTTAAAACACAAATGAAGGCAATATAGAAGCCCATAATGGAAGGCTATTGAAAGTACAGTTTCAAAACACCCATCTATAGGTTGTGTTAGGATAACTCCAGATTTGACCGGTCTATCATCTACATTGCAAATTATTTACGTTCACAGAGACCCAAACAGGACGTCAGATCTTACACCAAGTCCACTGGAAGGGATTTTTTGTATTGCTTTACAAGTGACGTTATTCTGTGTAGCTAGTTCATTTATTTTTATTCAGATTCAAAAAGTAGACGAAACGATTTTTGTTATATGTACATCCATCCACATGTGTACACATATATGTATGTGCATACACGTATACACTAGTATACGACGAACTTTACCTTTAAAGAGAAATTTAACTCTTAGATTTTTTAACAATATAAATATAAAATATACATAAAAGCAACAACAACTTATTGCAGTGCATTGCTCTGCCAACAACATTGAGTGGCTCGCTGATGAGTTGCACACGCTGGGCAAAATGTGGTGCGCACGTCCATGTATTTGCGATGACCAAGATGATATTTGCCTAACAATTAGACGACTTATTATCACCTCATATTTAAGCGTTTCAACTAAATTTAGTCAGATATAAAAACAAATTGTACTTCCTCACCGGATGTCAGTGCAGTTGTGGCTATTACCGTTAAAATTTGTTTGAATACTCGTATCTGCTAAACAAGTTAGTAAAACTTGAAAGGAGAAAAATTCAACATTTAACTTGCGTGAATTATTAGTGATTTTAAAATGAAGAGAAATGTATTGTGGATATTTGCTTTTATTCTCGCATTGCATTTTACATTTGTGCTCAGCGAAGGAACGCCAAAGCCAGAGGAGAGCCGGTCTCTGCAAATTGGAGGCGTTACAGACCTGGAGTCTGAGGGAAGAACTAGGAAGCACCACCACAAATTATGTAAGAAGTTATAAGAACTGCGCAATTTACCGTGGAAAGTATCCGCTTTAAAGGCAACTGTCCTTTTTATGATCACTCATGATTTTTCAGTTTTTGTCTTATATAAATTAAATTAAATTAAATTTAACATTTGCGGAAGAATGGGTGAGGAGAAGGGCTGTACGCATATCCATTATTATCGATTAGACATAATGACAAGGAGAATAATTTCATTCAACATCAAGACAATGCATGGAAAGCTAAGTCATGCATTGGTTATAACTGGCATCTTCAGATTCTGTGTGCGCCATGAAATCAGAAAAATTAATGCCTTTTTAGGTATTCAAAAGCGTAGTTTATATTCCAACAACTTCCCTTACTTCCTCCAATATCATTTCGCGGTAAGATTTTAAATGATTAAGTTAAAACGGGAATTAGATTACAAAAAAAAAAAAACAATAACAATTCAAGTGGGTTTTCTAGGGACTCCTCCTTCAATGTGCTTGGAATATTCATGTCCACTTCAAAGTTTGAATTCGTATACATCAACTTGGGCTCGTTGCATAAATTGCTATCCACTTTCGGATCCTTCAGTGAAACTTCAAATCGTCTTGAACACTTTTTTTACACCTTTGCATATACATACATCTGTACATACATAGGTATTTGTATCGTGTTAATGATGAAAATTTCTAACAGCTTATTTAATTCATATCGTGCACATATACACACACATATATAAACTATTAAATGACGGTCACTACACTTACATATGTATGTGTGTATGTTGTGGGATTGGTAAATTAGTACATTGGTTAATATCGTGCCACGATTACGAATGTCTATCCATGTATTCCTAACAATTATCACTTTTCACTTTCATTCAAGTTGCTCATACTTTCTTACCAATGTAAATAAATAAATGTATATATGTGCCTACATGTGCATGTTAATCTGTAAACAAAATTGAAAATATATGCGATTTCTTGAGTCCCTTTGAAAGTGATAAGTAATCACATACATACGCGACTAGATAACGTATTTAGTATCGGATAGTACATGCTTTTGGCAAAAAGGTGTGAACAGTGAAAGTAAGTTAGTTTACATGAAACAATAACAAATGAACAAACGAGCATAATCAAAATAGGATTGCATTATTACTAGAAACAGACGCGATGCGGTAACCTGCGGCACAGCTAGATACATATGTATGTGCTGTGGTGTAAGCGCTGACTCCAAATTAAATACGATATAAACTAACATTAAAAAAAATTATTTTGCTATATTCCAGCCTATGTATGATTGTTAATGCTATGATTCTTGACTCGATTGTTGTTTTCATTTTGTAATTTATTTTAGGGTACCTTTGGGGTTGGCATGCTCTTGCCATTGCCTATTGGGTCAAAGTGAAACTTGTCGTTGTGGGCTTTTTCGTGGGCAGCGCCATATTTGTCGCTTTGCGATACGCATGGCCAAACAAATGCTCAACAGGCGTCGTGCATGACTCTCCCGCAATTATTTACGATCATCCCCCGTAAGTGGTATCCAAAACATATACTAATTACGAAATAGTAACGAATATGAAATATGAATTATCTTATATTTGTTCTCTTTGTAGACCTTCTTTTGCTCATGACCATGTGCCCTATTCCCTAGACCACTCCAACTTTTTCGATCATTCATACAGCAGTTCGGACTCTGTCGATCCATATTCTGCTTATTCAGGCTCGTTTTCTCAAGATATTACAGCCACTGCAGAGGAAGTGCCGCCGACAGCACCAGGAACTCACAGGGTGTGGCGACGTAGTTTACAACAACAGGCAAATTATCGACGCCAAGAAACTGAAACTACAATGAATACGGAAGAGAGGCATATACTTTTAATCACATATTTTGATTTGACTTAACACTAAATTTACTTTTTAGAATTGCCGAATTCTTTTTCGACTTCTTAGGTTTGGATTCATCAGCGTGTCGTCGTCGTTTTATATGCGAGATGGAGTTTCGATCTCGTTTCAACCCGATCAGCGCAATGGCTTTTCGCATCGTTGGTCGGAGCTTTTTTGAAAAATACACAAATGCGAGAAATCCACTCGGTCAGGCGCATTCTTTTGGGGAATGTGCGGCAGTTAACCCAGAATGTGAATTTATAGAGCAAAACGATGAGGAAACAAACTCTCCTCCAAAAGAAAGCGCAGAAGAACATTCCTCAGCCTCAGGTGTTGAAAATGAAATCGATGTCAGTTCTGCTGAAAATCACAATACCGACGATGGCATTACAGTTAATGTGGAAAGTCAAAATGAAGCGAATTTGAAGACGGAACGTCTGACCAAAAAATCACTCATACACCGATTTAGAGTGTAAATCATTGGCAGAAAAAATTTTCAGGCAAACTCAATTCTGGTTGAAAATATACCGAAAATTTTAGGTTTAGTTTAGAGCTAACGTTTAAAATATGTGTATGTAAATATTTTATATATAAAATGATTTATTTATTTATTATCTACTTGTAATAGTATATTTATTGACTTGGCCTTACGTTGACTGACCACAAATGAAATATGTTTATATAGTTAACTATTAATAAAATTAATAAAATAAATCACTATATTATTTAAAAAACATGGCTCCCTATGTCAAGAAAATTTATACTTCTAAATTCAATAAGAGAGAGAATTAGATTATTTTCAAAAAATGTTGAAACTCTTATATTCATTCGTATAATTAAAATTTATCGACAAAACATTTAGTTCAGACAAATTGGACAAAAAAAAAACAAATTGGACTCCAATTGCGTTTAGTTTTTTTACACTTCTTTTCGTTCTCTACTATGTACTATAAATATATTCCTTTTAAACTAATATATTATATGCTTGTAAAATAAGTAATTTTGCAGTTAATAAATTTTTTTTCACGTACGATCTATTAATTGAAATTAAATATTTCTTTCATCTGAAGAAAATTACAAAACATTGCTTTCTCCTACTCCCCCTGACCATTGTGTCAGATTCAAACCAAACCCGTCCCCCTCTTCGCCGAGCTACGTGGTGTACGGAGTTAAATTAGTTTTGAAGGTTATATTAAACAAAGATAAGGGCTGTCTAACGTAACATGAAACTTATATTAAGTTTTTCTGTAATTTAGTTTATTTCACAATAATTTTCCAAAAATCTTCTTATGAAATACTCAATTCCTTTGGCAACACCTTGAGAAATTGGGCAACCAAGGCAAACCGGCTGTACGAAAGCAATAAAAAAAGCGAAATTTCTTCGTACTTTTTTAGTATTTTTTATTATTAATTTATAGGTTTGTGAACGAAGCGACATTGGTTTTACGTATTTTAAATGTGTAAAAAGGTTTTATTGGTACATCTAATTAAATACAATTGTTCCAACGCATATAACGTAATACATGCTGATTAATACATCATTTCGCTGGAAATGAAACTCGTCGTATTCGAATATGAAACTACATTCAATTTGTTTCCCAGAACAGTTTCTTAATTCGAAAACCAAAATTTTTCAAAAATATAGAAATACATTGAATAACGTAATTTTTTATACAGATCGATGCAAGAGGGTTAATCCACAACGCTCGCTTTGGTCGATATGCTCCATTTAAATAAAGTACTTTTATGAATTATGTTTTAAATTTAAGAAGAAAAATTTAAAAAGTTAACTCAAATTTTTTTAGACTTTTTCTTCGTTACTGCATTTATCTGATCAGCCATTTTATCAATTTTTTTCTGATTAATTGTCTCCACATTTCTCACCTCCTTTTTGTTGTTATTTTTTTGCTTTTGCGCAAAATCCTGCGCGATATGATTTCCCTTATTCCAAATAAAGTTTATAAAGTCCATTGCAATATCTTGTTTAAAGAAAGCAATCGACACTAACGCCACTAAGATTAGAGCAGAAATAGAATTTTGATTCATATCGGCTTCTACTGTACGAACATTTGGTTTAAAATCTAATTCAAGAAATACAGAACTGGTATTTGCAACAAAAGTTTCCGATGGTAGAATATAAGTGTAAGTTTTGTCCGAAAGCGTCGACTTCAGTTCAACTACATAACTCTTTCCGTCCAGGGGTATGCGAGGGAAGAACACCATTATACCAGGATTGACATTTGACTTTAGATTTAAAGGAGTTTCAACGCGTTGTGAGTAAATCGGTGAATCAGAAGCTCCTTTACGGTACATAACAATACGGAAGGTTTTGTAGTGTTCATTTAAAGTAGCTGTAACACGCGCTACAACATCCACAAATGTTATGGAACTTATAGCAATAAGATCAACTCCACGGACATCGCTTTGCTCTACTTTCACTTCTCGTGAGTTGGGGATTGATCGCGCAACATTAGCATCAATTTTACCAACATCTTTCGGTTTCACAAAGTAAGTGCAGCCAGGTTGTAGACCTCTCAAACGATACTGACCGTTAATTTCGCTAGTTGTTTCTTCCTGTTGATATTGGCAAAGCTCGTCGGAGATAGCTTCTATGTTTATTTGTGCAAAGGGATCGCCGTTTAATGAGTTTATCGAACCAAAAATTGAATAAGCCACTCGTTTGCCGCTATAAAAAACATATGAAATATTTATAAATATATTTAAATATATATATATTATAGAATTTTTAACTTATTTAAGCTACTTACACAAACACCAATTCCTCGGTTTGTCCATCCTGAATGTCTATAATTTTCGATGTGGGCTCAAATTTGTATTCTTTCATCATTGGCCTCAAAAAGTATCGTGAGGGTGAAAGCGAATGGAAAACAATTGGCTCTTCGCCAGTGACCAAATTCTTGCGATAGCTTTCTGACCCACTTAAAGACAACAAAACACCGCTTAAGGTATTGCCTTCATCATCTTTGACTTTCACAATAATCTCACATAATTTGTGAGCACTGAAGGAAGATGTCTCCCGACTAAATTCAGAAAAAACATATGATTCCTTATCTGCTTTTAAATCATAACCGAGTTTTTCGTCGATAGGTCCAAATTTGAATTCACCATTGATATTGGTATGAGTAATTTGAGCAGAAAGCTCTGGATTGTTAGGATAACTTAACGTAATTTTTGTATCCTTTATGGGTGGTTGAACAATCCCACTTATAATCAAACCTTGCTGTGCAACAAAATTAAATGCGACATCTACACAATCATTGCTTCCTTCAATTTCTTTATATAGAGGTGAAAAGAGTAAAGTATCACTGTGTGGTGTAATGCGTAAAATTTCTTTTGGTGGCAAGTGGCTGTCATAGCGGAAAGCAAATTTTCCATCTATTTTCTGTTCCTCAGCAATCGGAGTTACAACTTGCTTGCCCAATGGTTTTGATTCTACAATTAAGCGTATGGAATTTGCTGATGGGTCCGGTGAAAGCACTCGCACTCCAACTTTATGAGCAATTGCATTGATGCTGATAGGATTTCTGTCAGTTGTACTGAATGTTTTAGGCAGATTTTCCTCATAAAGGTGGCACCCCTCTAGTTTAAAATTATATGTGCCAAACAAGGGCACACAAAACGTGTTTACACCTGAAAGCAATTTAAGTGTTTCTGCTGATTGTTCCCCGGAAGTGATCGTATTACCAATGTATGTATATTTCATCTGTTGCCGAAAATCTATATTAGATGTTTATCTAAAATTTACTCCACTTTTTTAACTTACAATAGCACGATGACTTGATATTAAGGACACTTCATAGCCGCGATGAACGAAATGTGGAGCTGATTCACTTGCAGCAACCACGTTAATGAAAACGGTGGTGGAATCAAAACACAAATTGGATTGAGGAATTGTTAATTCATATGGGCCAGGAAGTATGTTCTCGAATAAGTATTTTCCATCTAAATTTCATTATTGTTATTTTTATTCAAAAAAATTATATAAGACAAAAAGTGTTTACCTTTAGCCTTTTGAACTTGCTTCTGTCCTGTTCTCTGACCTACTGAACTTAGAGGGTGTAAAGTAACTTCGACTTCTGAACAAATCTCACTTGCATCTGGTAGGCAATTCACTTCTCCAGTCAAAGTTGCTCGTAATTGCGAGAATATTATATCATTAATAGGTTTATTGAGTACTTCAATTTGATGTTGCACAGGGAAGAATTGTATACCCTTGGTTTTATCAGATTCAGTTGTCTGTACCTCAATAATGTACTTTCCTCTCCCTAAATATATACACCATTCGCCACTTTCAGGTTTGCTTGAGACTGTTGTGTAGAAAGTTGACGATGCTTTAGTGATCGCTACAACGTACGAATCAGTTGATAAAACTTTTCCACAAACTTCGTATGCTTCGGGAACAATGTGCTCCAAACTTTGCGTGGATAGTCTTAGATCTATTTCTTGTTCGCTAAACTGAAATTTCGGGTACTGGACCTGAAGCTTATACTTTCCAGTTTTCACATTTTGCAATGAGTATTCACCATCAATACTTGTTTTAGCAACAGTTTGTCCATTTAATCTAACTTCAGCGCCATGAATTGGGCCTCCGTGGGGTGAGTTGAGGATCTTGCCAGTAACACTAATACCAGTAATCTATGAATCTGGATATTTAAATATGGGAATTGAATTATTTTTTATAGAAACTTACTTTAAACTCATCCTTTAGCAAAAGAGAGTCTCTTTCTACTTCCAGCTCTATGAATGCTGGGGTAATATGTAATTTATTTGTAGGGTTTTTGACAACTGGTTGCACCAAATATTTTCCTGGCGGAACGCCTTTGAAGACAAAATTTCCATTCTTTTCCACTAGTGTATGGCAAGAAGATTCTGTTTCATAGTTTACATTTTTCTTTGTTAATTCTGCAAGGTCACCTTTTTTGCACATCAACGGAAGGAATTGCTTTTTTTTAAATAAAAATTAAAGTATTTTAATTAATTAGCCTTATTCAAAATATATATCATAATACCTCTCTCCTTCTGAACAGTGCCATTCCAATATCCAAACTTATTTGATCATTGATTTCTAGTCGCCCAAGTATATCAAAACCTCCAACGACTAAAGAATTATCTGGCAATTCAGTGTTTCCGCTCTCCACTAAAACATTGTAGATAGACTTCGAAAAATGCCATCTTGGATGCGTGGCACGGAGATTATATTTTCCAGGTATTATGGGTGTGAAAGAAAATACCCCATTTCTATCGGTAATAGTTTGACGCTCTTCGCGACCATCCTCCGAATTCAAAAATATGCTTACACCAAACGCTCCACCTCCGCTTTGACCTACTAAACCTACCTTACCAGTAATCCCAAAACCTTTAAACACAAAGTTCACATCCTTGCCCTGACTACATATATCTGTTTTCCCATCAAAATTTAGTTCAACTTGTTCTGGCTCGAAGCTCCACCCAGGAGGTGGTGATACCTTAAGTAAGTATTCACCCTTATCATAAATAGGTAGGAAATAATAACCATTCGATGGAGAACAATCAGTTTTATCCTTTAATGCCCCGTGCTTTGTTAATCTGGTAAGAAAGATTTATAACCACAAATGTAGGTTAGCTACGATAATGAAATCAGCAAAAAAGCAAATCATGTGAAGAAAAATTTAACATTTATACTTACAATTTCACTTCTACCTTTGAGAAATCAATTTCAGCATGACTTTTTACGAAACCTCCACATCCCAATACTTCGTTCCCCGTTGAACAATTTATAACACATATTAAATTATAAAGTAGAGCTAAATAAATTAAAAAATATGACGACCCCATTCTAACTATCCAAAAGACAGCCGGTACAAATCTTATAGCTAAAAAAGTATCGATGGCACCATCTAAATTATTTCTATCGATACTTTCATCAAGAAATCGATAGAATTATTCCATTAAGGCATGTTAGCATTACTCCTCGAAACTTATTTCGCTATTTCAGTTCCATGACGAATCACCGTATTTTTACACTGTTACTACGTTTATGCTTCATTTGTACTCGGGTTTATTCTACTCGTGATTAAACTCGCAAGCATAAACACTTTTTCACCACAAATTAAGGCGTCTACTCGAGTAGGTTATACATATTTTCTCTACATATGTAGCAGTGTAAACTCGGTAACATAAACGCAGGATGAATTGAAATCAGTTGATTTACATCTAACCAGATTGATGTAGAGCATCCGTTTATCTAACTTTTTACCAAAAATAAAATTGTTTACCTAAAATTTCACAAGTTGGGATTGGTAGCCTTGATGTTATATCCATTCGGAATTCAACTCAAGTAGAACATTTGGCGTTTATGCTTGTAGGCTTAACTCGAGTAGAAATGAAGCACAAACGTAGTATGTAATCAGCAGCTGGAAGAGAATCTAGAATTTGATTTTGCAAGCAACCATACCTGGGGTCCCGATGGAGTCTGTCAGCTCTCCCAATTTGCTGAGGTCTCAGCCAGGCTGCGGAAAACTGCGGATGTCTTGCCAAAGTTTACAACCTTTCTTATTGTAGAGAGGTGAAAGAAAAAACTGATAATGAAATTTAGCATAAATAAAGATTGTGCCTAGACTATTATCAAAGAGCGTACATGTAGTACTCAGTGACTCAGTGATAGTGTGTCCCTTCTAGTAGATATATAACATCAAGAGTGCAGTTTCATTGACATAGCCACTTTTAATAAGGGACTATATTTTTCCGCCTATGTCCAGATCAATCATAGCGGTACTTTCATGCAAAGAGCGGTGCTACCAGGGCCTAATTTGTCGCCATTTTACGAAGGCTCTTTCGGGAATACATTTGATATACGTACCTTTTGTTTGTCTCAGGTATCTTGTTGGAGGTGTATATTTTGGGATATAACTGAATTGAGTTCTGATTTCAGTATAGCGGATCACCTTTTTTCTTCAGAACGGTTAAGTGCTTTCCGTTTAAATTTTTCTGTCCTTTGAGGGGATCAGTTTCTAGGTGTTTTAGTTTACATGAATATATTTAAAAGTTAATTTATAAGTAAATATGTAAAATGACCTGCAGTGCATAGGTATGGCCTGGGCTTGTGACTATGAGCACGGTAATAGCACTAATCCCATTACCGGGTATTTTATATCCAATAATTACAGTAGAACATAGTTAATCTCTCAAAAGAATGAATGTATGTAGGTGTGCCCATTTACTCAAGAAATTTGTTTCAGTTTTAAGCGAGACATTCAGATGCTTGGACGTGGTTTTGACAAAGTTCTCGCAACTAGAACTTTGTTTAGCTGAGGCGTCTTATAGTCCAGTGAAATTTAAATTCCAATTGTCCCCGTCGACTATGTGATAGTGTCGATAATGAAAGTCAATTTCATATTTGTATTGATAATAACAACAAATGAAGATGTGTGTACATAAGTAATGTCATATGTATGTATGTGTGTGTATTATATGGCTTTGGAAAACCTCAGCTAATAGTGATAACAGAAACCATAAATAAATTTGTGAATAAAAAAAAGTGCTTTGAGTGAGCCGGGATTGCAATTACATAGAAATATTTGCACATATTCGTACACATACATACATCCATACATATACATATATCAAATGAGAAGTTTCAAATATTCGACGCAGATATCAGTTCGTGCATGCGTTAAAACCCATCTACACATACATGCATACGCGCAGAATAGTATTGTATATGCATACGAATATATATGGATTTTTGTGATCTTATGAATCAATTTTTTTATTACAATCTGTTGCATCGTCGAAAATTGTGAAAAAAATATGGCATTTGCAAATTGAATAAAAAGAGATTAAAGAAGTCGAAAAATATTAAAACGGGTGTGGTTCGCAGTCTAGATGACCATAGGAACATCCATACATAAATCATAATTTCCACTTCTACTGTTGATAAACTTTGATTTGCATTGAAGTAATTATGACAACGGAAACACTCAAGCCTTTCCTATCAACCTCTCGCTGTGGTGATAACTCCATTTCCATGCCCCTGAACACGACGAGACGTCATTCGCGCAGCATCAACGTTGCAGCTATTACTCTTAGTACGATAGCAGTGACACTAACTTTGTGCCTATTAGTTTTAGTGGTGAGTGCACCCATACGCACACTGGAATGTGTGTTTATCAAAATAATATTTACATAGTTGTTAAATTTGAAAATTTTTGGCATGTGCGAGAACGCCAATATTCATGCGTATTTATATAATACACTCGTACACGTAAATGTAGCCAACAGTGTGTATTTCTCTCGAAACGCTTCGTAGTTAATAAATACTTTATCCGAAGCTTAAGGTAAATTCAAATTATTGGTCCATATTTAATTGCAATTAAAATAATGGAACTGCTGATCAAAAACCAAATTCCTCCACGTTGTAATTGTACTTTCGATTCGGGTTCATGAAAGTGAGCAGGGAAAGAGGAGGGCCTCCACTCCGCTGGAACGACCAAGAGAAGAAAATGGCGCTGTTATTGATAAGGTTAGAACAAAGAAAAAATGCAATAACTAGAAGAAAATTGTGGTCTCGGTTTTTAAAATATTTACTTTCCTTATTTTGTTATTTTGAGCATTTTTTAATACGGTTTGAACTGAGTTTGCAGTCGCCAATTTAAATTATTCCTCTAAATACGGAATGTGAACCCCTCCGATTGTATTTCCGTTTAAAAAACGGTCACTATAAAAATCAAACAATAGTTCGGAGGCGGCTTAGAATTAATTGTGGGTCTCTCTATATGTTCAAAACGTAAGCCTTAAATTGAAGCTAGTTTGAACATCGTTTCAGCGGCAGAAAAAGCCAGTTATATAGATATGTATATGTATGTATTTCCTTTATATCGACTCTTTGTTGCCATGGAATTTGAGTATTTTTACTTCAAATTTGATTATTAATTGACTTTATACGTCATTTATTTTATCATAGCAAATATATTTCCACACTGAAATGGTTGAATACATGCTTATTATACTAGAAACCAGAGGCTATTCTGAGCGTGTACTCTAGACCGTGATATATGCATTATTACTATTATCTCTTATCTCTTATTCTGGGACATATGACAAAGTTTTCTAAAAAGTTGGTTCTCTTCTGCTTACAAGCCTCTCATCCATGGTCCATAAAGAAAACTGTCCTTTGAAAAGCCGCATCATTGTCTTCCACATTTTATGAACAAAGTAAGTTCAATAGTTCCGGAGCTCATCACGCTGTATGTTGTCCCATACAAATTTTGTCCAATTTATATCCCTTCAAATGAAGAATTTCGGTAAGCTCTTTCTTGTCGTACACCAGGAATATATACAGAAAACACACCCTCCAATATCAGCGGCTTAGACTGTGGATTCATCCGTCATAAGCGCATTTTGTAATCAAATAAAACAGTCAAATCAGCAGACCTCCACTAAAATTAACTAAGTCGCTTAAGGAAGGAAAAGTTTATACAAGCCGAACCATCACCAAGATTTTTCTGAATTGATCGTTGTCGGGTTCACTACTCAAAAAGAAAAGAGTTTCGAGTAAATTGTACTAAATATAAGATTTTTAAGGACCATTTTTTGCACGTTAGTCAAAGCGCTGGCTTGCTTATCGGTGGTTCTATGTCCACTTTCACTTAAATTTTTTTTTTACAAACTTTTTTCGGTTAATATTAATAATAGGAACAAAATTTTGCCGCTCTTAATTCAATGAATCACATGCCTTGCTCTGAGAGACAATTTTTCTCTCACTCGGATACAATATTTCTATAAGCACGTAAGCGCACACTATAGGCTTACTCGGGTTTTACGCATGTAAAAGCAAGAAAGCGGATCCCGTTTACATCCCTGACTTCCTATAAAGTTCGAGCTCAGTTAACGTGCAATGCATTCTATCGTACTATAGGATAGACATTTCTAAATATTTAAATATTAATTACATTAAACAAATAGATTTTTATCGAATAGCTCGGCCCTGGTACACTTCACGGAAATAAAAGTAAGATCCCTGCTAATCTAAGCAAATGGCTACTTAAGTATGTACCGAATTTCAAGTAAATCTTTCTATAAAAAAAAATTTTCGATTTCTTTCCTGGTAACATTAACCACGTATTTCATGAAATTCGCAAACAAAATTTAATAAGTTTTTGTGAATTCTTTAACTGCCATTTAATTCGTTTTACTAATCCATAACGACTCTGTATAGTGAAAGAAAACTATATGAAGTATATATACATATGTATATATAATATGGTGGGACCTCAATTTATTCTTTGAAAAAATATTTTTCTATAATTGTGGATGTTTGTTCAGACCTGGACAGAACCCTGACCGACCGAATGTCAGCACCCAACGCTAAACCCTGGGCTATTGCGGCCGGCGGCAGGGTATCGCCGTCTCTGATAAAAGTAAAGGTTCAATTCTGTGTATGAAAACTGAGCTTTCGTTTCGAAAATGCTATTTAGGTAATCTGCTAATCTGTTTAGCGAAGTCAGTGTGCAAATGAACAGCGCACACGTTGATTTACCTTACTCAAAGAAGATGTCACGAAAATTATTACGAATTTTTTTTTATTTTACTCGCCAGATCGTACAACGTCAACGAATTTCTCAGTTCGATGCTGAAGTCGACCATTTAAAGAAAATTATGTGTAGAATGCAAGAACGTTTAGGATTGACGAATTTAGAAGATGATGGGGACTATGGCAATGAGGTAATTACATACACGTACATGTGTATATATGTATGTTGATGCTATATTTGTATTTTTAAGATATTTAAATTTTAATTTGTATTTTCTATACTTTTTTGCGTGAATGCCAAAACTTGTTCATACAAGTGCTTGATCCTTTTTCCCTTTTCCTTTATTAGCATAACCCTGTATTTATAAATAAGCCGAAAAAAATAATCTCAGAGGAGGATACATTGAACATTGAGGATTATGGAAGCAACAAAGAGGATGATGGGGATTACGAAAGTGAAGTTGATTATCAGGATTTCAAAAACGGATTATCCGTAACCGACTACGATAGTGACGACGAAGATGGCGACGTTATTGACGATGATATCATTAATAGTAAAACATATATAGATGAAGATGATGATAGTAAAAACGATCAAGATTTTTACAGTGATTTTTCGAGATTCAATGCCACATTGAAAAAGAAAAAAAGGTAAATTGATTTACACATCTTATTCAGCCCTTTAAGTTCGTAATATGCACATACGTGTATATATTTTTTAAGTGCTCGCAAAACGCGTTCCATTGTGCCAGTATCCTCCAGCGAAGATTACTATGGACATGATACTTCGCAGGTTAGAAATACAAGACAAAACAATGGTGGGGTGGTGTCAAACGATTATAGTCAACAAAAAAAAATTTTGGCCCACAGGTAAATAAAACCAAGTGCTGTTCGGTGAGAAATTTCAATAACAATAAGAAGTAAAATTCAGTAAAAATTGTTACTGCTAATGAGCTCACGGAACCAGGACTTGGGTTAAAAATTACAATAAAATATTTTATTTTTTTTTTAAATATAGCTTACAACATAAATCTTAAAAGCTATACAGCGACTAGGTCATAAGCTCAATACTTATTACATATTTACTTATTATATATACATATTTACATTTTATGACTAAAATAGCTCATCAGAAATATAAAAAATTTAACATATTATACCGAATTTTCTTTTTAGGCAGTCCCTTCGACGCGAAGAGGCAAGAAAGATCGCTTTTGAACAAAGCACACGTCCAAACGTGCAGAGGTCTAGAAAATTTTCTTCTCCATATCATTCATATAAACGTAAACATAAAAATGATAATCTTAAGAGTGGTAAGCGATGTGTGATTTTAAAGAATTTGTCTAAATCTAACAAACCTTTTTAATAACTTAGATAATAATTTGTGTAATAAACCCGGAGCATTTTATAGTCTACTTACAACTGTGAGCCATTCGTTTCATCTGTTTGCTGTGTGGCGTCAATTGGAAATACCAAGCATAACCACTTCCTTCTCTACCTATTCCTTCCAGTGGAGGTCTCCCTCTTCCTCTGCTTCCACCGACGGGTACTGCATCGAAAACTTTCAGAGCTGGAGTACTCTTATCCATCCGGATGACGTGACCTATCCAGTGTAGTCGCTGATTCTTGAATCGCCGTATAACTCGTATAGCTCACCATTCCATCGTCGCGGTATTTGCCGTTGCCAACGCGCAAAGAATCATAAATCTTACGCAAAACCTTTCTCTCGAAAACTCCTAACGCCTTCTCATCAGATACTGTCATCGTCCATGCTTCCGCACCATATAGCAGGACGGGAACGATGAGGGACTTGTAGAGTTTGGTTTTGGTTCGTCGGGAGAGGACTTCACTTTTTTAGTGATGCTGCGTTGGATTTCAAGGCTGAAGTTATTATTGGTGTTAATGCTGGTTCCTAGATAGACGAAATTATCTACGATTTCAAAGTTATGACTGTAAACAGTGACGTGGGAGCCAGTCGCGAAAGCGATGACTGTTTATTTGTTGACAGGAGATATTTCGTCTTGTCCTCGTTCACTACCGGACCCATTCGCTTCGCTTCTTTATCAAGCCTGGAGAAAGCAGAACTAACGGCATACGCCAGTAAGTTGTACACTCTTATAGATAGAAGGTTGTACCTTCTCTATTCAGTTCTGCAGCTCTTATCATTCTCTCCAGCATCAAATTGAAGAAATCACACGACGAAGAGCCACCTTTTCTCCTTTGGTATCGAACGGCTCGGAGAGTTCCTTCCCAATTCTGACTGCGCTTCTGGTGTTGCCGTCTAAGTTTTGTGCGGATACCAAATTCAGACATAGCGGCTTTAAAATAGACGAAGAGGCTGTGTGGGTCGATACTCTTTTCACGGGTCTTTTCCAAGATTTCTCGCATGGTGAATATCTGGTCAATGGTTGACTTACCAGGTCTGAAGAAACACTGATAAGGTCCAATCAGTTTGTTGACGGTGGGCTTCAGTCTTTCACACAATACGCACGAAAGGGACCTTATAGGCGATATTAAGGAGGCTTATCCTACGCTAATTGGCGCAGACTGTCAGGTCCCCTTTTTAAAGGATTGGGCAGAGCACACTTAAATTCCAATCGTCGGGCATGCATTCGTCCGACCATATTCTGCAAAGTAGCTGATGCATGCACCTTGTCAGCTCCTCGCCGCCATGTTTGAATAGTTCTGCCGGTAGGCCGTCAGCTCCCGCAGCTTTCTTATTTTTTAAGCGGGTGATTGCTATTCGAACTTCTTCATGGTTAGGTAATGGCACGTTTTTTCCATCGTCCTCGGTTGGGACTTGGGGTTCCCATCTCCGGATTCTCCATTTTCCATACCATTCAGCAGGATATTTAAAGTGTTCCCTCCATAAATTCAATACCATATACTCTGGGCATCAGTGGCTAGATCACCTCTTTGTGTCCTACAAGAGTCTGCTCCGGTCTTGAAACCTTCTGTAAGTCGTCATATCTTCTCGTAGAATTTTCGAGCATTACTCTTGTCGGCCCTTTACCCTTTACGAAATCCAATAGTTTCGTTTGCAGCTGTACGTAGGGAGCTTCCAACAGTTCCCGTATACCGAGTTGCTGATAAGTGCTCTCAGAGAGCAGGAGGGCAAATCGAGTAGAAAATCGTTCGGCAGTTCATAGTCTACAAGTCTCTCTTTTAAGTATTTTTTTGATCTGCAATATAAAAAATTAAAACATCCCTTTTCGAAAGGGGGTATGCTTCAATCCTTCTTTATAGGTCTTATGATCGTTGCGGGATTGCTATTTCTGTTTTGATTAAGCCATCTGGAAAAGTGTTGCCTCCATATGCTTTCACAATCAGTGACCAGATCATCTTTCTCTGGTCAGCAAAAACAAATTGGTCCATCCTTCTTGTATAGTATTCCGAATCTTGATTGTTAAAAGTAGTCGTGAAAATCGATAAAAGGATCTCGAAGGGTGCTAAAAATATGTTATACATAAATGTATGTGTGTACTAACCTCTGTAATTTTCCCATATATTTTATATTTCGTTTTAGCTAAATCCACAGGCCAAACAAGGACTGGCACTTTCACTCCTGCTGCACACTTTCATTTAGTCCGCAAAATACCAGACCGTTATTCAACTATTAAAATCGATTGTGAGTATAGTCTTGGTGATAAAGATGTGCTTCACAAGATACCACAAAAGTCTTATTTAGATGCAATTAAAATAAAATTCATACATCAGATGAGATTTCAAAACCTTTGGATCTAACCAAACAAAAAAACTCTATATTTTAATTTATTACAAATATATTATTTGTTGTTTGCTTTCTAACGTTATTTGCTTTTTCTTTTATGAATAGCTTTCTCAGGCGACATGTACATTGGCCATCCCAGTTGGTCGAATGAAATAGCTGTTGATAACTACTTCAAAGTGGAGAACGGCGCTTTGACCGTATATGAACCGGGACTTTATTACGTATACGCTCAGGTGTGCTACAACAATACCCACGACCAGAATGGCTTTGTCATATTCCATGGTCACAAGCCATTTCTTCAATGCTTGAATACAGTACCAACAAATATAATTCATAAGATCCATACCTGCCATACCAGTGGTCTTATATATCTGAGAGAAAATGAGACAATCCATTTACGCGACTTTCACAGTGATCGAAATGTCATTTTAAAGGACGCGAACAATCGGAGTTATTTTGGACTAATAAAAATTTAATACCAAATGGTTATAAAATTAATGTATACGAATATAAGTAAAAATAACTGGAATATATTATTTTGGTGATATGAAGATCTACTGAAATTGTTCTACAACTAACAAAATGTAATATAGAGAATACAAATAAAATATTATATACAATAATATAGATACTATCGATTCGAATATTGTAAAATACCTAGTTTGTAATTAATAGCCACTTCGATGTTATCTAAACAAATGTAAAAACCGGCTAATAATTTGGAAATAAATATCTGATATGGATATTATTTCTTGTCTCACACATTCATATGTGTGAATGTCTTTATACCAAATAATAAAGGAGTTTTGTAAAAGTTTAGTAAAGGCAATGTAATAACTTTATATATCGAATTTTAACAATCGAGCAAATGTCAGAAAAAATATCATAATGTTTTCGAGAATGAATATTTTGATGTTTTTTTTATGAGGAACATTTACTTCATGTCGTAAATAAACTTGAAGAGGTTGACATTCCCTGCCGAGAGGCGGCGGCAACTAGAAATAGTCTAAGCTGCTAGAGAAGAATGTTGAAATGTATTTAAGTTGAGCACTAGGCTTGTTTCAAAACGTGGTCTTTAACCCAAAGCCATAAGAGGCATCTGATGCTGCCCAAACGCCAATCGCATACCACTCAATAGAGCCGTGGATGGGAAGACGCAAACAGATCAGATTATCAGACACCTGATCTGGACCATAAGACGGTAAATTCCATTGCAAACAACACGCACTTTAGCTGTATCACTTTCGTGATCATTTGATAATTGCATTCCTGCAAAAACTCAAATAACACTTGGTGCATGTATATATTCAAAAGAAAAAGTAATTTGGTTTTTAATTTGGCTCTCCTTAACCCCGATTGTGCGAACATAAAAACGTTACATCGTATATAAATATGTGTGTATATATTTGGAATTTAATGCAGAAAGGCAAATTTTATCAAATTAAAAACGTAATTGGATATTTGATCAACGAATAAAAATTCTTCAAGTCACCGCATTAGCCGTTCCTACCAGCACTGAAATGCAGTCGGCCTTCGGCGAATAACATCCACACCTCCAAGTGTTTATGAGTCAAATGAAAGCATAAAAATACGCATTATAAATTCGATTGAGGAGATGCTCTATGAAAATCCCCTAAGCAGTTTTAAAGTTTTAAATTAATTCATTTATATAATTATAAAGAGAACACAACAACAAAAAATAATAAGCCACTGTCTTCGAGGGAAAATATCCTTAAGCCTGTTTTCATGTCACTTGCGTTGCTTGAACAGTGACAACTGTTTTATGCCCCTCCTGAACTTTTGAAATTGTTTGAGTTGTGTTTTTTTTTATGTTTATTTTGATGTAGATATATGTATGTGCATATTGCTTAGCCATTGGCACTCAAGTGGTCGCACGGTGAATTGTAACGGCAGAGGTGGTGCGTAATCGACAAGATGTATGGGATATATTAGAGAAATACAACACTGATTAACTAATAAACGTTCATTTTTCTGTATTTAGATATATTATCATTGTATTGTATTTAGACAAGTAATATGAATTCGGAAAAAAGGCAATTATAAAATCAAATAACATAACTAATAATATAATTATGAACAAAAAGATATTTAGCACGGCCGATTCGACGCCGCGCGACCGCTTGGAGGTATACGCATTTACAGCCCCGTCCCGCTGATGCTGTTGCTTTCGCACTCGCTATAGTATTTAAACATAACTTACAATGCAAATTATTCTTCCGGTCATCATGTACTCTGAAGTCGTATACAGCAAACATGACAGTGCGTCTGCTCTTAAAATTGATGTTATGTTGAATGGTGTCACACAGTGTCTGTTTGGTGTATTGGCATGTGCGATTGCGGACTATCATAAAGCCAAAATTGTATTTTTAGTTATCGTTTAATTTTATAAATCACAACAATCATCAAGGCTGTCCAACATAGATTATTAAATAAATAATTAAAATATTAATAAATCTATGTATGTTTTGTCATTCTAATCATATCCAATTATTAACATTTCATTTTGCGTTAATTTGTCAATTTATTGCAACGTTAACGCCAACAATTTAAATTCTCTTATATAATAAAATACTTTTTAATATACAATAGACAATACAGTTATGCCCATGGCTATGTATCTACACGGGTGTAACAGGTGTCTTCAAAATATAATATATAGTGCACGATGTACATAAAGTCATAACAAAGAAGGTATTGGTATTGGAGTCAATGGTACTCCTTATACTTAAAGTATTGTATATTGCAAGTAATATCCAGCGTGTAAGTATATACTCGTGCTTAGTACGTGTATGTATGTATATCAAAATGGCGTGTAAATTCTTATAATATATGCCACAACTGCGCAGGACAAAAAATAAAGCTTCTTGGAAAGTCAACGGAAAGAGAAGTTATAATCTGAAATTAAAGCTTCTAGAGTTCTCATGATGATGGCGTAGAAATCCTAATCACCAAATTTGTTGTTGTCCATCCCTGATTTCGAGTGTACTCAAATTTCAGTTATTTTAAATGCAGAGAGAAAGAACTACAGAATAACATGACTTGGCGTTTAATTATTATTACGGAATAAAAACTCTTCTAAAAGTTTTCTTACAGTTTGTAACAATTTTAACAATAAACAGTTGATGTTTAGGCCAAAAGTTTAAATCACCCCTCCTTATGGTACCACCCTGGTATTTCTATTTACCACAACGATATCCTTCGTTAAATACCACAAAACATGAATTACGGCTTATCAAATTGACGACGTACGGTACAAACTTAATTTTCTTACTTGGCATTAGTTAGGTAATGCTAAGGTCTCTATAAAGGACGGGTTGGATTTTTGGCCCGACCACCCGACAATAAAAAATTACAGAAAAATAATGTTTCTAATTGCGGCAATGCAGGGAAAAACTCGCCTAGCCTGAACTCAATGCCTATGGGTGATAACAAAATATAATTAACTAGAATCTGTTTGAGTGGCCGCGAAAAGTTAGGAAGAATTAGGAGTAGCCACAAACAAACATATGGTTTTTCAACATGCTGCGAACAGCCAGCGTAGGCTGACCAGAGTTTCAAATAAAAAAATTTAGCCAAATCTCAATTCAAGAAAAACAATAAATTTTTTCAATAATTTGAATATACTTGTACGTATATATATATATATATTGGATATGTCCTAAAGCTTAACTACATTTCTCGATCTGAGAGTTATTTTTTCTCTCACTTGGAAAATTTCTATAAAAAACTGCACAATTCATTGAAATGGCAATTATCGAAAGCCAAGTTACTAAACAAGTTTAGCCGCAGACCCTCGACCCGTATGTCATTGACGTCGCATGGCTCATCGCTACATCGACTGTCGTACTCACAGTCACCATAAATCCTCAAAACCTCCTAATGCCGATTCGTAGGATTTGGTCTCTGTCCATCGAGAGAGGATTTTCAATTGCCTACTCAGTCCAAAATATCATCTCTTGGTAAGAGTATAACGCAGAAGGGATTTCAAGGTTGACTTTGTTTGCTGGTGTCAGGATAGACGAAATTGTATGCGCTTTTACGTTATGACAGTTAACAGAGACGTGGCTGCCGAGTCCCGAATGCCTCGACATATTCGTACTGTGCTCCTTCACCACCAGACTCATTCGCTTCGCTTCTTTATCAAGTCTGTAGAAAGTAGAACTAACGACGCGGCTGTTAAGGCCAAGGATATCAATATCATCGGCAAACGCAAGCGTAATATTAAAAAAAAATCACACAATAAATAAGACGTATGAAATCTCGTTTGGTACCGAGCCACTCGGAGAGGCCCTGACTGCGTTTCTGGTGACGACAACAGGTGTTATGTACAATTTGAAATATTTGGCGGCTACGTCTTATTGGTTGTTAATCCTTATATGAGATGTGAATCTTCGAGACTGCACCTTCGCACTGGGATGCTACTCACCAAACAAACAAATCTTCTCATTATTTTATAAAGATGTAGTTGTAAATGAACCAAATTCCGGCTAACTTTGTAATGTATGCAATAGTTAAAGTTAAAGCTTAGGCATATACTTATGTATGTACGTGTATATATGTATGTAGATGTACTGATGTTGATGGGTGAAAGGCGTTTCAATGAAAAGCGAGGACCTCACGAGTGCTTGAGCTTTCGCAAACCCTCTATGAGAGCTCTCACTCATTGGAAGCACTTGCATGTGTGTGCATACATATGTATTTGATATAAAAACATGCAGCATTATTAAGACAAACACATTCTAGGATGTGAATTGTAAGGATATTGACTATTCGTAACTGCTGACGTAGGCACCATTTTCTGGTAAACACAAAGTTAACAGTGAAAGTGCGTTATCTGTGTGGACTATTGGAGTATTTCGGGTGAGTTAAGTATTCATAGAATATCCTTTATATAAGTGCAAGTGCAAATATCCAATTAGAAAATAAAAACTTGTTAATATGATTAAATCGAGTAATAAGCATAATATAATGTACATAAATATTCATATACATATGTACATATATTATCTGTTGTACTTTCGGTGTAGGCGCAGAGAACTTTTTATTTGTTGTACACTTCATCAGTACATGTGTGTATACGAGTATGAATTTGTGTAATTACAAATTTAGTATATACATGAGTTAGTAGCTGAGAAAAAGTTAAATAGGCAATTATTTGCAAGAGTGCAATTGATATTCATATGTGTTTTGCAAACATCGGAGCCGTTTCCTAATATTTGAATTGTAAAAAGCACAGATTTCATTTTTTATCCATTCATATGTGTGTGTGTGTGTGTGTGTGTGTGTATATCTAAAGTTTCCTAAAATAGTTTCAGCTCAGTTTTTAATATGGGCTTAGGTATGTACGTGTATGTATGTATATACCAAAGTCAACAATGAACTGAGTTCGTATTTTCAAATCAATAGTTATATTTCATTAATTTATCGCTTAAGACCAAAGCTTTTATAGGTTCCCTACGCGATATTATTAAAGCAAAAAAGTTTCAAACGTTTCTCCATGCCCTTCAAAACAGTGCGTCTAGCATTTGAGAGGTAAACAGCAAAAGCACCACCCTGTTGCGGCAAAAGCAGAAATTGTTGCATATTTTCATTAGAGCAGCGGGCAACAAGAGCTCTGAGAAGATGGCGAGAACTAAAAATGAATATTTGATGGTCCTGCTGCAAGACGCAATAAATGCGCATTCATTTGGAGAGCCGAAAACGCCAGAGAGATAATATGTGTCTGTATATATGTATGTATGGGTATATTCTCGCCTACGCATAAGATTAAAACTGGCCACCAAAGGTTAATTAATAAATCCTTGCCGGTAGGGGTTATGTCATAAAGCAAATTAAGGCATTCGCCAAACGATATTGTATCCCCACCGCAACTTCGTACTAGTTCGATTGCTGTAAGACATTTTTTGTAGTAAACTTTTAAATTTAGTAAACTTTTGATTTTTTGTATTTCCTTCAGTGCAAATTCTAGAGTGTATGCACATCCAAGATTTTCCAGTGGAGGCGTAGGGTGTGCGGCGCATCACCAAGCAATGTTAGATAGTATTTTCTAGTACATACACAATCATAAGTCTGTATGTGTAGGACTAAGAATTTATATACATACATATGTACATGCCCAACAGCATAAAAGGATCGTAGGAAAGGAATTTCATTAGTGAAATTCCTTGCAAATGCGGAACGTGCCGACTTCTATGCACGTTTGTATTGTACAATATGACATCTATACATACAAATGTAATATTATATTGTATTGTATATTTGTATATACATACACGTATGTACCTCACCAACAAGGTTTATTTACACGTATGAACAAGTAAAGAAAATTTGCTTTGCAACGAAAAAACACTCTCCTGAGATATTTTGTTGTAAGTTAAAAAGATTTTGAATTTCCTACTAGACGATTTTTTATTAAAAAGCGAAGATTCTACAATTTAGTAGTATGCAGGCCACAAACTTCCGCAATTATTTAGGGAAAGAAAGTATGCAGTCACATTTAAAGAGGACGGCAGGCATAGCAACAAGCCTTGACGGCATTCAAGACCGTGTGACCGATGACAATGTTTCATGTTGTTTGTTGGAGAAATTACTCTATTAATTTGATTAATTTTCGATTTTTCTGCGATAAAAATGATCATTATTTAATTTCAGGTGTATTTGAACCAGATTTATAGGAAGAAAGGAGGAAAAACGTGAAATTGCACAGAAATCATAAAAATAAGTATGGCTTTAGCCGCTTCATTTCTATTTCTGTTGCAATTATTTTGCATCTTACGTGCATCATGGGCCCAACGATCGCCATACTCGCTACAGGCAGCCGTTGAGGAGTTGCACCATAGGGAAGCAGCCAAATATCCACTAAACTCACCACCGTCCCAACGGTACTTTACCGATTCATTAGGTAATAGTGCTGAACAGGATTATGGGAACAATGGTAAGCATTCCGAATTTGTGAGGCCGATTTAGTAAATCCAATTCATTCAGATATGCTTATACATACATACATATGTATGTATGTATATACATATGCATATTGGCATATTTCTCAAAAGCAAATTCATTAAGCACTAAACTACAACAATTTAAGATTCGGCTCGAAAAATATTCCCGTAAAGAAATCAGAACAACAAAGTTAATAAACAAAATAGATTTATTTTAAATAAATAATGAATTTTTTTATGCACTTTTTTCAGATTTGCAATTTCCTTCGGTATTTCGTGAACGCGAAACCCAATTGGGACCCGTAGGGAGCCTTGCTTCTGACCATTCCACATTGACCGATCAGTTCTTACGCGAAATCGAAAATGCACAAGAATTTGAACGCGAAGAGCAGTATAAGGAAGCCTTGCGTAATCTGTGGGAGAAATATCAACAAAAGGAAAATGAAATCAAAGTCGATATGCTCAACGAAAAAAAGCGTATGCGCATGCCTCCGTACTATATGTTAATGCAGAAGAAAAGCTCATACCCTGTGCTTCCCTGGCTACCATATTCTGAACGTAAGAAACGCTTTCCAGTCGCAAAACGTTCAACCAAAGGTTTATCCACTGAGATTAGAAACTTAGGAAAGACAGATGATAAAGTAGCTAGAGATTTGGGTGAGATATTTGGATCACCCCATAATCCCTCTAGTGATATGAAGAAGAAGAAGCGATCAACAAATGAAAAGGCACTGACTTCTTTGAACGATGTTCCCTCTTCAACATTGTCTGCTTTAAATGATACTACTACAAATGCTGCTGTGGCATCAGATGTACACGATCTTCATCAAAATGGTCATGCAAATGGGAACGAAGTTTCCAAGGCCGGACATCAGCAGAAGGAACACAAGCATCGTAAACGCAGCGATCGTCATAGTTCTCACGAGAGCCATGGGGAAGAAGATGAGGGTTCTGAATCTGAAGAACGTGAAGAAGAAGAGGGCGAAGAGGAAGAAGAGGAAGGTAAAGATCATATCGGATTGTCTGCAGGTTTTGAGAACCTTTATAATATATTAGGAATACTTTCCAATACGCTATAGTTATAACATCAACCTGTCAAAACAAGGTAACCCACTTGGCTTGTTGATTTTTTTAAGAACAAGTGCAACACAAAACAAAACAAGTAAACATTACTATGTGCAGAGATAAATTTCATATACCTACTAAATTTAAAAGAAATTCAGGCCTTGGACTAGCGCTGTTTGAGTTTTATTAATTCAGCCCTGGCTTTTGAGATAGCTCAGTCTAAGGGTGGTAGAATCTTCATTCTCACTATACTCGGCATACATATATGTATGTCGTTTTCACATTAAGAATACTACTTTTCTAAAATATTTAATGACTTATTTACTTTTCAATAATTTTTCTATCATTCTAGAATTTGACGACGAAGAGACCGAAATACGCAAAAGGAAACGCGATTTGGTTTTTGAAAAGGAATTACTTCAAAGTGAGCCTGTTCTAGTCAGCCGCTTAAATAACTTGAGGCAAAAAAAATCCATTGATTGGTCGAAATACTTTGGTATAGATCGTAAAAAAAAGGCTGTGAATGGATTGAGGTAAGAGATTTTTCCTGATTAGTTATTTTGCCCAATTAGCTAAATTTAAAAAACCGAGTGGGGGATCACGATCCAAAATAATAAAAAAATATATACATTTTTAATTGCTGTCGTCCGTTGAAAATAAAAGCTTCTCATAAAAATCCAACAACCTTTCGTATAAATAATTTTAAATAACTTATAGCTTAATGGTAGTATACGTCTAATACACGTATGTAAGAACCAATTTACGCACTCATATGACCGATATCTTTCTGGTGAGGAATATTCGGGTTACATATTAATTCGTCTTATAGGATGTTTCGGGTATAGTCACCTATGCGATTTCCACGCCAAATAAGAAGCTAAATTATAAATGACTTGTACTATATTTTTTACTTCACTGCAGCTTCCATTATAAAGATTCTGACGCGAGCGTAGATGACGAGGATTTGAATGCCGAAAAAATTGATAGTATGGAAAAGAAGCTGCAGTCAATTGAGGACTTCATCATCGATGGAACCATCAAGTATACAGGAGCACATGAGGGTAAGCTTTCTTTGAAATTTGCATAAAACCGACGGCGTACATAAAAAAGTGGCCATGTGGCCCAAGTGTACCATATTAGAGTAATAAAGTCGTGCATTGCAAGGTAAATAACGAAAACAAAAATTTTTCAGGGAAATATTATCAAAATTTAAAGTGATGTAGGTGATACTGTAAATGACCGTTGACTTGAGTTCTGTTCGGTGACCTGATGGGCAGTAAGAATTGTTCCTAAATTTTGCAGAATTGCGTTTAGTGAGCCAAAAAAAATTTGCACAGAGAGAGCGCAGTTTTGGCATTTCGTTACTAGCTAAATCTTACTGACATTTCTCACCGAACAGAGCTTTTGTGAAATTTCTTGCTTTAAAGCGGTTTTCTAAAATGAGTGAAATTTTAAACTTTTTAACACGTCATTATCGCGTAGGAATAACCGACCCTGATGAAATACGTCGTCTGAAGGATCATGTACTCTCACGTTTAGCTACCGCTTATAGTTTGGAGAAAATGCGTCGCGCCTTAGAAAAATTGAGACAATTAGTAGATACTGAGAATCATCTACTCCACAACGTAATTGATACTGGTAACAACAACGAAAAGCGATTGTCGGTAAAGAAGCAGCAAGCTGCTTTGCAGGAATTCGAAAACATTGGGTAAGCAAACAGTTTTAAAAGTATAGAAGATTTTAAAGTGCTAAAAAGGAGAGCAAAGTGAGAGAGAAAAAACTTTAAGCCATATCACAATAAAAAATATATATATATATATATGTATGCATGTAGTCACATATGTATATATTACTTAACCTGCAAGAAGGCTTCCGATCATTTGTGCCAACATAGTATGTCAGGAATGCATGATGTCCTATGCCTTGTGCATTTTTGTCGGACAAACCGAACACAGCTGAGCGACAGTATTGATACAATAAGCAAACAATATACCGTACAAGACGCACACAGATCACCATTGACGCCGAAGGAAATCAGATTTGACAAAAATTTTCCCTACATATATGTACACATTCATACAAACATTATTAACATGCAGTCTTTATTATTTGCGGATATTCAACATAAATCATGTGCATGGTTTACATAGCACTCAAAAGAAATAACAATACAACAATAAATTCGTTTTCAAAAATAAGCAAAATATTATAAGAAGTCTTTAATAGTGACGCATCTCCAGCACCCCGAACGCCTACGTCATAATCGCAGCTCCTTTGAAGTATAAAGACATCTAAGTAAAATTAAAAAATAATTTTCGAATCATAATGTTATAAATATTTCAATGCATTTGTACCTCGTAAAGTTTTGTTGAATATTTTTGAGATGTGCTGCTAGTGCAAGATGAGAAGCGTCCATTCTACTTAACCTGCTCCATGAACAGAATTTTTTTGTACAATATGGAGCACCCTTAAATAAAAACAATGTAACGAGTTATGAAAAATGAAGTAGTCAGTTAATCGACAATATATTATTACCACATTTTGTGCAGGACCCTCATCATATGTATATTTTTCACTTCTATCTGCTGCGGAGAAAACGGTCAAAAATGGCGTTCTACTCGAAAATAAGAACATAATATAAAAGGGATAATCCGTTCAACTGCATTCTTCTTCAATTTGTATGTACTCAGAAGAGAGAGATAAACAAAAAAATGTACATATTTGTTAGTGCTGTCCGAAATTGTGTGAGTGTGTTGGTGAACCCATTAGCCCGTTCTTGCAGGGTACATATGCAAAAGTAATGACTTCACTTTGTTTTTGTTCAAATTTAAAAACTTTGCATTGTGTCTTTCAGACTTTAAAATCCTGTCAATAAAAATGTTCAGCGCCATTGTTCTCTTACTCTCTTGTTTTAACTTCTTTAAATTTTTTCTTGCAAAAACTTGCAAACGCTCATGATCGTTCGAAGCAAGTCTTTATTATTCCGTTTTTATGATTAAATAATTTGTATTTTTTACTAATTTTGTAATTTTATATTTTACTATTAAATTAGAATACCGGAGAATGATAAGAAAAAGGAAATTCATTCGAATGCTATGATGAGCACCAGCTCTGGCGGTACAACAAACATTAGAACCGGTTCAAAGGGTAATGATGCACTAGATAAAGTGAAGAAATCCGAAAAGACGCGAAATGGTTTTCCGCGTTACTCAGAATTACCAAATGAATTTGGTGACGTAGACGATGGGAATTTCGTTGCACCCTATGAGACCCTAAATGACGCATATCTTGGCAATAAAAATTATATAATCGGCTCTAACCAATGTCCCTTAATCGAGATGATAGCAGAGCGATGCCGTGAAGTAGTAACTTTAAGTGGTGATGTCCAACAGGAGCTGTTACCAATTTGCGGTGTGCACCAAATTTGCTATTTATGTGTAAGTACATGTTCAAGAACGTATTATTAGCACAGAGAAAAAATATTGTTGTAATTAATCATTGCAGGGTTCTTCGCAAGTGGCTTGTGATTATCAATATATGACTGAAGCTGATGCTATTTGCGGCAATAACAATGATTGTCAAGCTGTCGCGCGTTCGGTATTAATGATAATTCGAGGCACTTTCAGCGAAAAGCTCGGACCGCGAGAGTGTTTAAGGAACTCTTGTCTACATGGTGCTATGAGGGAAATTGGACTGTAGATCGATAAGAGCCAAATATCTTAAATTACTATAGATAAAAGATACTAAAGTGAAATAATCATATGTATAAATTTGTTGGTGTCATGTTTTGTTGCTGTATTTACTATCTTTCAGGTTTGATCGTATGCGATAAATGTATACATACACACATATAAATGCATTAGCAAATTGCATTCATACATATTACTCGAAATAAATACAATAAGAAATAGAAACAAACGAGCTTTTCTTTGGAAATTATTTTTATGTTGTATGAAGAGTTGTATGAATAGTAATTAATAGTAATACATACATGAGTGGTATATTTTTATAGAAATTTTTACTCCTATTGTATTTTTGAGTCTTACTAAAAACTTAACCGATTTACATGATTCTTCTTTCCATCCCTGCAAGAAGGCTTCCGATCATTTGAGCCATCAAATGTCACGAATGAGTGAGGTCATATGCCGTCAGCTCGTAGAACGATTTTCGCATCACTTTCTCGAGACCGATACAATTGCATACGTGTACGTCATTCTCTCTGCGTTTCCTTGCGCATTTTCGTCATCCTTGTTGGACAAACAGAACATAGCTCAGCATTGATGGGAAAATAAATCAGCTTTGATAAAAACTTTCTCTACATATATACATACATACATACCATGACTCAATAATTAAAGGTTGGATAAGTAGTGACAATGGAGTTTTGGCACTGCTGCATTTTGGAAAGTAATAGAAAGGGTGAGAAAGTATGTGCCATAAAAAAAAACAGGGAAAAAGTAGCAAAAAAAATAGTTAAAAGTAAGAGAAATACAAAATAAAATTAAACAATTAATGAAAATTTATAATGTAAATGTTATAATTTGCATAATTTTGTTGATATCCTAATAAAATTAAAGGCTGACATCATTGTTCTGGAAGTGCGATGGACGGGACAAGGACGGAAAAAGGTGGATCCTTTTTAAATATACTACAACGGCCATATAAAGGAGCACAAGATTGGTGTCGGATTTATGGTGGGAGAGGGACTTCGTAGCCGAGACTGGCATTCACTCCGCAGGCTGAACGTCTCTCAACAATCCGCATCAAAACGAAATTCTTCAAAACAACGTTGACTTGCGTCCATGCCACGACGGAAAGGAAGGACGATGTGACAAAGGATGCCGTTAACAAGCGTACTAACCACTACGCTGTGCTTGGCGACTGCAACGTTAGGGTAGTTATTCATATATGTGAAGAAGAACATGTCAAGAACTATCAAAATCGATTTATCTACAATCCTGTACAAGCTGTTGTAATAATATTTTGTCGATTAATTAAGTTCTTAATTTTTCATTGCTTTTTACATTTGTTGTCTGAAACAAGTTGAACTCTCTCAAAAAATTAAGTTAATTCTTTTCATAGATTTGAAGGATTTTATACATACATTTCATAACTGATAACAGCTCGGCTACTGCGGCCATCAATACCACTCAAGCTATATTTATCTGATTTTAGCCGTTTTCCACTAACAAATATATTATTACATACATATGCAAAGAAGAAAATAATTGTTTTGGAACAATGCTCTGCTTCAGCCTTTTTCCTTATTAAAAGCAAAGATAGTCAGCATTTTTCAACCAAAGTATCGATAAAATACTCTAAAATTATATCAATCGATTGTAACGAGTTTCGCTAAATACGTCAAAATGTGCGAACAAAAAATTAATTTATCTTTGATGGAAATATAATATAACAGGTTTGATGAATATTTTTTATTGTATTATTATATTGTGAAGTTTACCCCAAATAACACAACAAAATAGAGGGATTATAAAAAATATATTTATACACTTTTTTTTATAATGTTTTATAACCGTAGAGTCGATTTTCGGCCGACAAAAAAGGTATGTACATGTATGTGAAATCGCAATTAATTTAAAAATATTTTTAAATAATATTTTCGTTTGCAGTAATTTAATAATAAAAAGTCGCATTTAATATTTTTGAATGCCAATATTTTGACAATAAAAAAACGTAACACATTTAGATGTATAGGAATTTTAATGTATACTTTTACGTATGTAAGATTTGTCCAATATTGTGTATCTCACGTTAAACGTGTACGACAACTGTTAACGTTAGGTTAATGCGAACATTAGTAGAATTCGCTAGATCGATGTCAAGAAAATAACAACATAAAAAGTAAACATAGGAAATGTGTATCGTCAGCAGAATAATATAATTATTTTGATATATTTTATTGTAGCGATATTACATAAAATGTCTGCAGCAGATGAAGTTAAAGTGGATATTAGCGGGGACATGAATGTTCCCCATGAGCGACCGAAGTCTAATTTTGATCTTAGCAGGTACATATGTAAACATATAGGAATAGTGGGCTAAATATGATATAAAATTAATTATTTTTTATACTGTAAATTTAGTTTCAGTTTTCAAAAAATACCAAGTCCACTGGAACTTCTACAGATTACTCGAAAATATATACGACCATGGTCAGAATTCGTGAACACGGCTAATTTTAAAACTGCAGCAAGTATGCCACGTCTTACAAGCAGATTTGTACGGAATCTCAGCTATTTCCAAAGCAACTACATATTTATATTTGTAATACTGATGATTTATTGCCTGTAAGCAACTTACTCGTAAATGAAATTAGATCAAACGCCATTTATAATTCCTAACTTTGTTTTAAAGAATTACATCACCATTGATTCTGTTGGTTTTGGCTGCTGCGGCTTATGCCAGTCATAGAATAAATAAAGCTCAAGTGCCCGTTAATATCTTCGGACACCAACTGGGTACAAATCAGCAAATTATGGCGGTAAATTTGGCCTCTATGCCCATATTGTATATAGCAGGTGCTGGTGCTGCATTGTTTTGGACATTGGGTGAGTTATCTGCGGAATTAGAAATTTGCTTTAAGTAACCACCAAATTTTATATAGGAGCTTCCTGCTTTGTAATCTCAATACACGCCGTATTCTATAATATTGATGCAATTGTAACAGAAGAAAATGAGGGCTTTCTCGCAGAAGTTGTTTAATCAAGACCAAAACCCAGTGTCTGACTAATAGATACCCCGATCGACTATATCGAGAAAGAACGTTTTGTATCTTACAAAATAAATATTTATCTACACATTTATTATTTATCCAGTGTACAGAAATTCACTTTTCATACGTTTCTTATTATTATATTATATATACTTTATATATAATATATATATATATACATCATTTTTTCCAACCTTTGAGCTTGCCGAAATTTTTTTAAAAGTTTGTTAAAGCAATAAATTCCTTAGGAAAATACTTCACTAAATTTTATTCCACAAAGTAATATGAAGCTTAAGATTTGCATAATAAAATTATTAAATAAACACAAGCTTAATTAATTTTTATTTTGTATTATGTATTATCTTTATTTATAATGACAAAATAAATGCAAGAATTTGCATAAGTGGTCCGAACTGTTTTCTGTGACCTAAGTTTTTTTATTTTATATTTGTCTTGCTGACATAGTTTAAAAATTCCGAATTAATGATCTGCTTTCCTACTGTTCACGTGGATGCAGCGCTGGATAAAGAAACTGAAGACTTCCCTACACGCTGTGCGTGGAGGTGACGTAAAAGACGATTGCCGCAGATAAAAGTGAATATTGCGATGGGGATAAGTAAACGGAGAGTTTGGAACATATTTAAATATAACCAAAATACCCCAAACAATGCCAATATACCGCCGAATCCCAAGTGAAAGCCTATTGTACTAGGCGCAAATGTAAAGTTTGAGAAGTTAATTCCCAACTTGCTCCAGAAAATTAATAATAATACCAATGGAGTTAAGCACAAACCAGTAAAAACATCCGAAACAAATCGTGGTGGTCGCTTTTCCGGCGGGCGGAACATATGCTCAATTTCTGGGAGCGTACTACGGATTGGTTGCTTTTTCGACGTATCTAAAGTGGAAGTATACATTATTGCAAAAAGTTTTCACATCTTTATATTTAAATATACCTGGTTCATGAGCGAATTTAAGTTCAACATTCGCCACATGCCATTGGAATGAATTCGAAACAGAGGCGTCACCGATAATCAAATGTAATTCATATATACCCGATTTGTATCTAAAATCAGCTCCATGTAATCCTACATCCATATCAAATTTGTAAGCTTTATTACTATCTTGTTCAGCGACGAAAATTATTTCTTCATTCGATTGCACATTAGATAGACGTACGAAGGCCTGCTGAACTGTTATGACCTAAAACAAAGCTTTTAATTATTTTTTTAATTTATTTTTTTATGTTCAAATTTACCTTCGTTGTGCTTTCATCAATGAGCACAGATTTCAGTAAAAGCTTTTGTGTACCATCTGCCTTTAACGTTCCCTTAAGAGTTTGAGGATAAATAATACTTTGCTTTTTGACAGTTGAACTAGAGTCCGAATCAGTCACACCAACTTCCAGTGAATGCACTTTCACACGGCCGAGTACTTTGAATTGCAATTTTTGCGTAAATGTATTATCTACGTTGATTTCTGCAAAATATACTCCCCGCGACGGCTTGTAGGTAGAAAGTTGCGCATTATATACGGTTTTGTCTGATGATTTCGATATTAACTGAACTTTTTCGGCAAGTACAGCATTATCTTTTTTTAAAATAATTTTCCCGTAAACTGTTTTCGGTGAGGGTGTTACAGGTTTTCCCAACAAATCAACGACAACAACATTGAGCACAGGATCATCTGCTTGCAGTTGGCCATTTCCTATTAGTTGAATGCAGATAGGAGCGCTATTTCCCGCTCCACTCAATGTCTTCAAAGCTTCAATTAGTACATGCGCACCTTTTGCTGATTGAACTGAACGCCGGTTAAGAAAATAAGAAGCAAATTTAACAGCTTGTACCGGATTTAGTGGAGTGGGCTTTTTGAAAATATCAGTTACTCGGAATATTCCATTCACAACTAATGCAGTTATACTAAGACCTCCTTCAAATTGCAACATCTTTCCATCAACTTCATCTGCTTGTACAACTGCATCTTCTACACGATCGGCAACAAATGATGCAGCAGTACCTAATTCCCCTGCAACATTGAAAGCATATCCCAAGCTAGTTATGGAGTCGTCTTTCTTTAACAAGCCTTGTAGAGTCTTTGCAATCTTAGTAGTAGTTAGTTCATTAATTTGAACGCCCAGCAGTTTATGGGTAAGAACTCTGTAATAGATTTCTTGGGATGAACTAAGCTCAGTATTGAATACAGCATAAACGCTTCCTAATAAAGCCTCGGGTAATTTGTTTTTACATACAAGATTTTTACTAGAGCCAATATAATAAAAATCCTTTTCATAACCCTAAAATGAAATTAACATGAATATAAATATATTAATTTTCTTGTAAATTTCGTAAGAATATAGTAATAAATATTTTTAATAGTTACATTTAACTTGGACGCTTCATGAAGGGCCTTCAAACTTGAGCATAATTCCGCCGAATAATTTTCATCGTCAATCTTGATATTTAGCGTTGAATAATAAATCGCTTGTAAATCATTGGAACTAATGGCATCCGCGAAAACTTCTCGCAAACGGTTTAGGTCTTTTTCTTCAAGATAACCCGTAACACTGCGGTCCCCCATTATTGTAGAGCTCCATGATAGCACTATCGTGGCGCATATAAATGCTGAAATGATAAAAACATTTTTTCCTGCATGTATGAGCTATTCTTTTTTTGCCGGTTTCAGCGGCCCATATGTGCATATGTATGTATGGCCAAGTAGTTAAGCCACCACGCCTGTCATGCACAATCGATTTTTTCTTAGCAAATGAAAATAATTGACGATTTTATGTAACACAATACATTTGAAAGAACTCACCCAAGTAATACATTGCAGTACTTATTTTACAAAATTTAATTCTAATTAATTTCGTAAAGCAATAAAGGATACCGAAATGAGAACCTCTGATTCGAACGCCGACAATGAAGATATTTGACAGACACGTCAACGGAGTTTATGGGCATTCCAAACTTATGAGTGTGAGAAAACAACTAGCCGTACTCAAATCGATGTCTGTTTCATTTGAGATATTGTAATAGATTGGAAGTGAACAAGAAAGCAAAACCGCAAATTAGTCAAAAAGTAGGGTATTCACAAATATATTGTATAAGTAGTAGTAAAGGCAGGATATTCATATTCACTAGCCTTCATCAGTCTACGCACCCATTGAAATAAAATTTTTATTGTTGCTAACTTAAAAACCATAGCCAAAATAATTTGCGTTTTGCAAATTTGTTATGGTCCTAGTCTGCCAAGCAACTGTCGCCACAAATCTTTTCTCACAGACGAGCGTTGCTTGTGATAACGGTATTTTTGTCGCGTTGTCCCATAAATGCGTGCCAACATATGTCAGGAATGCGTGACGACATATTCCGTCAGCTCGTAGAACGATTTTCGCATCACTTTCTTAATTACTTCATTTTACATCTTCGGCATCTAGGGACGGAAAATTGTTTGTAGAAAAACAGGTACAGCGCTCAACAGAGAAAATCTCTTCCCCACTGTCAAGCACGGTGTTGGAGGCGTATTGATATGGGGATGTGTGACAGCAGGCGGATTTGGAAATTTTGAATTTATTAAATCAACTATGGATAGGTTCGCATATTTAAACATTTAAAATGTAATTAACGACAGAGCGTCGAATAGTTGGGGTTAGACAATGATTATTACTTCCAACAAGACAATGACCCCAAACATACCGCCGAATTTGTTCGCCTGTTGCTCCTTTATAACGTCCCTAAACAGCTCTCAACACCACTACAATCACCTGACCTAAATCCAATAGAAAAATGTTACGTAAAAATGATCTACTGAAGTGAATTGTTTTAAAATAAAAAAAAAATGAACTTTGAAAAAAATGTCTGACTTTTTTGTTTGTCGTATTTAAATGAAGTACTTAAGGAGAGTAGACTAATGACGGCTAGTGTACCTTTTTTTGTAGTGAATATTTTTCAATACCACTTTGGTCACCGGCGCAGCTCCTCATGACTCTTGAGGACAGGACCATATAATATAAATGAAATGAAAATTATTTTTTTTTTCAATATATCGTCAAAATACTATTGGGAGAAGCCAGAGCCTATGTTTCCGTATAATAAAGTTCGTTGCTTATGATAATCCTTGGACATTGTTCAGTTTTCAACAAGTATAAGGAGGTGTAGTTGCTTTTAATCAAAGATTGCTTGCAAATCAAAAAAAAAACAATTTCTGTTTGAATTTATTTTAAGTACAAAAAATCTCCTCACATAAACATATGCACATGCCAACATGCTAAATTTGAAATTTATCCAAATTGCTCGGTTTGTTCCTGTACTGGACGTGTTATAGAGTAGCGTTTTTTAAAATCTTTAGATACGTCACCGTTATTGTTCCACAAAGTTATAGCATTGGTGCTGTACAATGGATAAATATTTATCAAGCTCTCCTTTTCAGCTATGTCTTCCTTGGGCATTTTTTTACAGAACTCATCAAAATACTCTGTGTTTGCTTTCTCGGGTTTAACATTAACTAAACGATCGTTGTAACGAATGTATTCATCGTAGAGTTCCTGCCAAAGAAACTGTTCGTAGCAGCGAGCGCGAGTAGCTGGAAGAAACAACAAAATGCATGCATACATATGCATACATATAAGGTTAATTACAGTTTTCAGAAATGAACATTGATCTTTCACTTGCTTGTTGGTTGTTTCAATTTGGGCGGTTTAAACTTATCTTTCATTTCACTGTGTTGATCTTTCGAGCACATTTTAACGATTTTTCTGTATCAACTCTTTCAATACGATATCAGTAAAATTTTTAAAGCGAACAATTCATTTAGGCATTGAAAATTAACACAAAAATATAAAGCCATAAACAATGAGTCGAGAAAATACAGTTGCTATGAAGTTCATTGGATACCGTAGTAGCAAAATCATGATACAAAAACTTTGAAGGGGGTTTCATATACTGGCATTCCGTCTCACCATTTGACATTGAATAAAGTGATGAAAAACATAAAAATTGTACAATCAGACATTTTTAAAAGAAAACAAAATATTCGAATGGGAAAAGTTTTCTGAATGGGTACAATGAGAGGAGTATGCACTTATTTTTCGGAAAACTTTGTATTTAGAAAAGCCGCATACGATCCCTCGAAAGAAAGAAACTTATTTAGCTCAGTATATTATTAGTATTCATGTATTAGACTTTTTTTTAGCAAAACTTTTTTCATAATTGCTTCAGTTGCAGTTAACTCTTGTAGCTGTTATAAATATTTCGCACAGATTTGAATATTGAAATCTCAAACATATCCTTCATCAGTGGAAAAAGGTCCATAATAGACAATCAATAATATCGAACTTGTTTTTTCCTATATATTTTGATTTCTTACATATATTGAAACACTATTGGTTATTTCATATTGACAACTACATGGTAAGGAATGTCGGTGGCCGCGGTAGCCGCATTGCGTATTGAAATTCGGAAGACTCGAGTTCATATCCCGGTGACACCAACATCCAAAAGTTATGGAAAATTTATGTAAATGAAAAATGAAGTTAAATTTTTTAATTGCGGTCGCCCCACGGCAGGGAATGTCCACCTCTCTACCTGCCATCTTTTTCATAAAAAATTGCAGCTACTAATAAGGGTAATGCGACATTTTTACAATTTTTATTTATTGTCGTTATCGATTAAGTTTTTTAATGCTACAATAGTTTTAGTGCTAAAAATAATTTGTTACGTTTTGGTTTGTGTACACGAGAAAGGCACTTGGAAGATATTTTAAACCCACCTTGGGTTAGGTTATTAAGCTGTTTGCGGACCAACGAATTTTTAGCTTCAATACAAACATCAACGTATGTACGTATCAAAATTCGCGATACTTTTTGAACACACCTCGTATGTACGTCAAAAACAACGTCGTTCCATTCCATACAAAATCATTCCTTCCTAACTCATTTGTTATAAATTTAAAATATAACGCTTTCCAAACAACGTTGCAACAATCACTCCAGTCAAAAATTTGTATTGTACAAGAATGACTGGGTGCAATGAATGAATTAAAGCTGCTTTAAACCTGGCTTTACTATTTATGTACTAGTAGACAAACCAAAAAAAAAGATTGCATATTATCATACGACATATTTTTATTGCATATTTTTATTGTTTTTATGAGATGAATTTTGTAACTAAGGAAAAATAAGTAGTCGTACAATATAAACATAACCTCAACATACGTAACGAATCCCGTAGGAACATACTTTTCCTGTATAACTACAATTATTTCATTACAATTTTGGACTTAGACATTATTATTGATGGAAGTTTACTCACTTTAAATAGAAAAATCTAAATTCCTTATACCCCTCACGAGAGTCGTCAGGATATCCGACTAATATAAGATTTATTTTTGACCTTAATAAAAAGAAAGTTGGGTATGTTGAAAAACAAATTGGGAATATCAACTCTGTGAGATTTAAAGTCATATTACAGTAGGTTACGTTCATAAGCTTGGAGCTCATCCTAAAATAACATATGCATTCCACTTAGCTATCAAACGGTTAGATACGCATACATGTATATGTATTTACATCATGTGAACGTTCTGGAGTTAACTTATTACTTTTGTTATAATTCATTTCTGCAATTGAGGCTACATAAAGCGCTAAATTATGACTCATACCACGATTTTTTCATCCAATTTTTCGGTTTACATTCAGCATTCAGCACTACAAAGGATTTATCATGATTTTGCCGATCTGAACTAGAAAACGCCGTCCACTCCTTACATGAATCTGAAGAATTTGGAAGCATAGAAGCACGTCTGCCAAACTTCGGTGCATTTTTCGTTGCACATTCGATAAAGTTTTTATGATACCCTGTAGATTCTTCGCGATGGCGCGAAGTATGAGGAGAAGGCATTGTATTATTTCGCTGTTTTGCGATCGATACATTAGATTCCCGTCTTGCATCTACTTTGGGTATTGAATTACGTATGGGCGTGCGTTCACGCAATTGATACTGATAGTTGGCTCGACGGTACTCTGGTGTCGTGATGATATCTGAGGTAGGTAGTAATGCTTTGCAAAAATGGTCAGTATTTGGTAAATATGAACTGCATTTTTCACGTGGGGATTGTTTGGGACTCTTGTTAGTCGCAGTCTTTGATATATTTGATGAGTTTGGCAGCCGAAATGTGGAATCAGGTTTGCGTATGACGGGGCGTGCACGTGGGAAATCCAAAAAAGTATTCCGATATTCAGGGTTAAATTCGATTTTACCTTTCAGACGTAAGTATGGTTCCCGGCATTTTCCACGTTCCGGCATGTGTTTGATCTGCGGATCTTGGAAGCTGTCGTAGTATTCCGGCCTATCTTTCGAGAACTGACCATTTGGATACAGATGATCATCGGTTTTAAGTGGTTTCTCTCTTGACACATTTTTTGGTGGGTTACTGAATTTCTCATTATATTCGGGTACATTTCTGCTTCCATAACTCTCTTCTTCAAGCTTTTCAGCGCCAGACATACGTAAATTGTCAGCCTTCTTAATAGGAGCACTCTTTGAATAGTTTTCATAAATTTTAAAACTGTCTTGATACTCAGGTACGCCGCCAAATTTACCTTGTATTTTTAAATTACAAATTTGTGGTATAGACCGTGCTTTCTCTATAGGGAATTCTACGTATTGGCGTTTATATTCAGATGGGGCAGTGTTATATTTCGCTTCAATGCTGAGCTGCTGTAGGTGGCATTTATGAAAATTTCGAGTGGCAAGTTCATGTTTGGGCTTAGTCTCCGACAGATTTCGCCTGGTGGAAATTTCTGTATGTCTCGGTTGAACGTTTTTCTCTATTGGATACTCATCGAGGCGGAAAGCTTCACGTGGTAATATTTTTGTAGTGCGATCTACCATTGGGTGGGAAATATATGACGAACGGTATTCAGGCTCCATTTCAATATCACCATTTATAAATAAGTTTTGAGGTTTTTTAATAGCATAGGCCCGACACCTTGAAGGAGATAAACAAAAAATACATTGCATGTAAAGCAATAAAACAAAAACAAAAATGTTAAAGAGGTTTCTTTTAAAATATCGCTTTGAATGCAAATTTTGAATAAATAATAGTCGCTACGAATACAAAGTTAGAAAACATTTTTCCTGAAACTTGCTATTTTAAAGGCGTAACCTATATTACTTACATATGCATATACAAATGTTTGTTTGTTTGTTTGTTTCCAGTTTATTTCTATAGTTCCTGAAAAGGTTTGAACTGAAAAAAATCTCCGTGCCATGGGCCAGGGACTACTCTATTCGAAAAAAATCATATTTATGGTTCGATCAAAGGGATCATCGACAGATTGACAAAAATTAATAGGATTTGGATATAAGCACAGATCGTGCCTAGGTATGTTCGCCTCGCATTGTTATCATTCTACGGCTGCGGGCTACCAGCTATACTCAAACGTCGAACTTGAGTGAGAATAAGTATAGATCCGAATTGCGCGTTTAGCTTACCTTGAAATATGCCATATTGATATTTTTGTGAAAGACTTAGAGCAGTGAGCCACACTTACAAATACCAAATAGAATAAAAATTGGGCAAAGTTCAGAAAGCCACAACAATGTGTTGTCGGGTCTGATTGTATAAAATAAGAATACTGAAGATCACTGAAGAATAAGTCTGACAAGAGAAGTTGTCTACGCACTTGCAGTTAAAGTTTTTACAAACTATTTGTTGTTGTACACACCTATTGTTTACAGAATTGAATAAACTAAAGTGGCTTTGTTTGCTTGTTCGGCAGGAGAAAAACGGTCATGATAGCTGACTTCCATCCAAGATCTGTTAGTATTAGAAGGAGAATAAATGAGTGAGTAGAATCGGCTATTCCGTCCACCCCACCTGTATGAACACAAGCTGGCCACTTTCTTTCCTTGCTTCATTCATGTGTTGGACCGAATAAATTTCAGGTCGTTGAACCTAAAGTTAAGTTAACCTCAGTTCATGAAAGGTGTAAAGCCGATTATGCGTTACTTTATTCCTTGTTTGTTCATATCACTTTTTTGCACAAAATGGGTTTGTAACTCGAGGTTCCATTCTATATACATAAGTATGTACAAGTGTGTTGTAAACTTTCATACTTCCTTCTTTGCGCCAGCATTTCTTCAAGGTGGAAAAAGCAAAACGAAGGGAGCAAGTTGAGGAATCCGCTAATTATCTGGGAATAAGTTCACCTCACTTCGTAAAGTTATTAGAGAAATTTGAAAAATTCTTTTTATTTTAAGCAACGCAAGTGTCGCTAGATATTTAAGGAAATGAAGTGAAATAGTTCAATTGAGAAATTATATAACATGAGTAAGGTCAAACGTGACATTTAATTTGAATATGCATATGTGCACGTATGTATATGTATGTGTTGATTTCATTGTACGGACGCACATGCTCACACGCCACAGCCTTAAAAACATACATTACGTGTGATACAAAGAATATCAACTGTCAAATATATACATATGTACATATAGTACATATATAAATGCAAATAAAACAACCATTAAACTTTAAAATCATCTGCCTTGATATTTAGTTATACTCGTATTATGGGAACTCACAATTTGCAGTCTTCATGTGAATACCACTGAAACTCCTCCTGGTGCTCAGATGTATTGCGCATGTATCCTTCCAAGTGCAAAGATGTGGATCGCCTTAGTAAAATGGTTTTTACAGTAATATATCTGTTTCGAAATTGCCGCCTATACTCCGTTATATAGCTATTCAATGGAAGCGCTGGATCGTCACTCGACTGCCGGAATTTATTGCTCTTGCTCTGGAAATCTACAAAGGGTGAAAAACCGAAGTACAGGTGGTTGATAGATTTTCACTTCACATATTTAGCATACGTGTGCTTAAGTGTGTATAGATCTTTACATACATATATATATATTTATGAATGACGGTATTTATGCACTCTAATATGTTTTTTGAATGTTTTTATTTTATTTTATTTTACTTTTTTTTTTTGCATGAAAAAATTACCCGTTGGATTGTTCTTTCGTTTAATGATTTTATATTTTCAAACAGATATTCTCATGTGAAAATTTGATGAAATTGCACTTATAATGGTTAAATCGATATATGTATTTATATGGAAATGAATATATAGCCATTTCGTTACCTGTTAAAGCTTCCTCGGATAACAAACGACCTCCATCGTTGTTATTACTGAAAATAAACAAAGTATTTTTGCTTAGTAACCTTTTTAAAACACTGCAGTCAGTTCAAGCAAATATTAGAAAAACCAGTAAAGAGGGTCAAGTTTATTTGCACAGAGGGAGTGTGATAACGCTCTCTAATATTCAACGGTATTTCACATAACGGATGTAAGGAGTGGACGAAATTTTGAATAGAATGTGTACAAAAAATAGAAGAATTTCAAACGATATTTTTGCATATCTTTGGGTTCTTTTTGCATTTTAGATTTTTTCTTTTTAATTGTCGCAAAGTTTCTTCCTCCTTCGGATCTCTTCAATTTTGGGAGCAGAAAGAGGCGCAAGTGACATAATCTGATGAATACGGCGGCCGAGTCATGATCACGGTGTTGGTTTAGATCAAAAAAGGTGAACAGGTAACGACAACGAGGGAAAGAGAGAGAAAATTTAATGAAAACGTAGGAAGCTGAAGAAATTTAAAAATCCACCTTATTTTTGAACTATGGCTTACTTAAGTTTTGTATGATGATCAAAATTATATGAAACCCTGTGGGAGAGTATTTTCGTCGCAGATATATTCCTCGTGTTTAATAGTAATATAAACACATGCGGAGGCATGGCTGATGACAGCATCTGATGAGTCGGCGTTGAGGGCTTTCGAGAGAACGGTTTTGCGTAAGATTTATGGTTCTTTACAGATTGGTAACGGCGATAACCGCGATCTATGCAATGATATATACGGCAACATTGACAAAGTTCAGCAAATCGACAAGTCATGTGGTCCGAATGGATAAGAACGCTCCAGCTTTGGCAATTATTGACGCAGCACTATCCGGTGGAAACAGAGGAAAAGAAAGACCCCATTCCAATGGAATGATCAGGTGGAGAATGGCCTGGCTACACTTATTTCCAATAACTTGGCTGTAATCGCGTAAGCGGTGTCCTCGACAGTAAAGGAGAATAAGCATGTAACACCCTCTTTCACGTGATTTATGAATATGGATCAGTTGAATATTTATGATTAATATTTATTATGTTGTCAATAACACACATACATAAATACATAAGTTATATGATTATTTAGAAGACTTTTAAGCATCGATGATTTCTTCCTCCTTTTCTGGAGCAAATGTTTCAATAAATTCCAATTCCCCCGAAAAAACGAAAACCAGAAATATCGCATACAGAATGAAATTAAAAATTCCAATACTTCTACGGGCAGAGAAGTTCGTTAAAGTTGACCAAACTAAAACCGATATGGTCGCTATGAATTGGAAAACAACACAGTTTTCACCCAAACTACCTTGGGGGACCTTAAATATATATAAGTTTATAAATTACGAATAATATAATAATAAGCATCCTACACGTATGTATATTCAAGTCATACTTACAAATATAGGTGATTCGGAACGAAACGTTTCATATATAAAAACACCACCAAAGGACGAAATGGAATCTAAAATGAAGCGGTTATTATAACTTTTAAGCTTAGCTTTTTTCTAATCAAGTTTTTTTTTTACTAAAAAATGGTCCCCCAAAGCAAGCTGCATAGCCCATTCTCGGATAGCCGTGACGGGCCAAAGCAATAGTTGATACCAAGTCACCAATACTATTCCCCCATGCTTGTAAAGTGCATCCAAGGAATGAGTTACTTCTGTTAGTCACGATACCAATAACTCGCAATATTTCCACTGACTCACTTGCGGAGTAGTAAATTATTAAAATAGAACAAGCAACACCATAAAATGCCAAAGTCTATAAAATGAAAAAAGCAAATTTAATTTCATTGTGAAGGAATTTTGGAGCGGCGATACTAACGTGGTGATAATTTGGCGGAATATCCGTGCGTGTTGTGTACAACATGTAACCAGTAATGGGTATGGTAACTAGTAACGTGTAACAACATAACGGTATGCCGAACAAAAATACATTTGATGCTGGAAGTAAAATAAAAGTATGAAAATTAAAATACAACTTTGCAAAAAGTAATTTTTTGATGGCTTACCAAGTGTATATATTATAATTAACGGTACCCAAGGTATTTGAAACGAGTTCAGGAGTTTTGACCAACCATGTCGGTCGTGCTCATAATCAACAACTGGTATAAACAGTTGCAAGAGGAAAAGCACGGGCGCCGTGATTATAAGATAAACCTTTCCTGCAGTACCACTCTCTACCCATTCTACAGTTTGTATTGGATTTAGCGACTGCAAAAACTGCTTGACAAGGTCTTTATTTGGCTTATTTAATATTGCGTCAAAGGACATTGTTCGTGTTCTATTAATATCTATGGATACTCGTGAGGTGCGATCAAGAATTTCTATGCCAGCCTCTGCCCGTAATTGCTCCAATTTGCTGAGATTAGCAGCTATGTTTAAATACACGTATGACAAAGATATATATGTTAAAGCAGTGTAATCTTAATTTAATTGTATTTTTATGGTTATTGATCGCGATATGATTTCGTTAATGTAACTTTAGCCTTTATGGGTGCTCCATACGCTTTCCAAGCAGGCGAAAGACGCAAACTCTATTTGCGATTATGGACTATTCATTACATTTCGTCATTAGGGGTTCAAGAATTTCCCCGCCGTAAGGCATGGCTGACGTAAGACAGTTGGGTCTTTATACCGGAACGACTCGGATTTTTGTCCGGCCAAGGACTGTCACTCTCACTACATTTGCCAAAGAGTACTTTGGGTAATGTTTTAGCGGCTACAACAATAACAACAGACCTCATCGTAGGCTAATTCACACATTTTAAATTTGTGAGCTATGTAAGCTGATTTCGTCAACATTAATTGTATTCGTTGAGAAATGTCAGTAAGAATTAATCAGTAACGAAATGTCGAAATTGTGGTCTCTCGCTACAAGTTTTACTGAGGTTTAGCCTCAACGAAAGTCGTTTAGTAAAAACTCGTAACAGTTGTTACTGCCCAGCAGCTCGCCGAACACACTAGTTATCCCAATTTATTTACCATCTCATGCAACTAAGAGCAAAGTTCTTGCGCAAATAACAATAGATTACCTGTAGCATACTTTCGATCCTTAAGCTTAGATTGCAACACTACAAAAAACAAAACAAATTAAATAAATAAATAAAAGTAAACGAATAACTTACTATAATCTGAACAGATATACATATATACTTACATTTAACGCTTTGTTTGAGCAAGAACTGCTCAATAAATATTACCATAAGATACAATATATATACCGACATTATCACTGAAACAAGTAGACGATTATATACACACATGTGGATATGTGTACATATGTATGGTACGTATATGCTCAACTGTATCGCCAAGGCGTGAAAATTGGAGAACGAAATACAACGAAAAATTTACTAAACCATTAACATACGTGTAGTTTCCCATATTCTCAAGTCGATGCAGACTAGCATATTCGAAACCTTCAATTCCATTATGCTTATATAATATTATGTCCTTATTAGCTTACATATAGCTTCAGTACGTGTAACTACTCCATCCGAGACGCAGCAATAGTCAACATAAATGATTCCGAAACTCAAAAAGCAGGCATCCCTCAAAACGTTATTCCACTGCAGTTCAAAAGGATAAAAAACGAATATTAATCCAGCGACGAGAAGCATCACATAGACGCCAGCTCCAAATAGATCTGGAAACATGGGTCCACCGCCGCCCAGATTTGAGAAAGTACCAATAAGATCTGGTGAGCCATTTCCAAATGCCAAAAGCGTTACGCCCGCTAAATGCTCGTTTAAACCCAACATTTTCGACACCACTTTTAAAGCAGGACAAAAACTGTGTAAAAAACATAATTAGAGGTTTCATTCAGTACTTGTAACCGCACATAACTAGACGAGTAGATAATTGCGTTGAAGAAATTGCACTCAGAAGTAAGAAGTATGTATGTATGTATGTATGTATGTGTGTATGGGAAAATACGTACAAATTTTCCACGGTGCAACCCAGAACTATGTAGATAAGAATGCATATGGTCATCAATAGAATAGAACATAATATTTGTTCTGTATCATTTTGTGGTTTCAAATCGCAGTAAAGAATTTCAATATAGTTTGCCAAGCTGCCAGTACGATTGCAATTTGTGGATCCTCGTATATAAGCGCATCGCTCACTGTACTCCAACATCTGCACCACACTGCAACTTGGCTTTAATGTTTATTAAATAGAAGAAAATTTGGTTAATATCTCTATTTTACGTAAATTGCTGCCACTTACAAGACTTGAGAACGATGTCAAAAGTCCTTCTGCAGGCATTAATTTGTATTTACAAAAGAATATGTATGTACAAACGCACTTTTGAAAATCACACACCCAAATTCGAATAGAAAATATTAAAATTGATTTTTTTGAGTTTCTGTTTCTTTGATAGAGATTCCGATGATTTAAACCTCATGGTTAAAGAGTAAAATATTCTCTTTATCAAAGTGGATTTATCCACGATTAAAAACATCAACGTTCCCAAATAAGGTTACAAGACGCTGCTGATGTCTTAATCCGTAATAAGGGTTATGTTATAATATAAAAATAGAATATCCTGCCGTTATAAAGTTCTTTGCCAAGCGAGGAAAATCAGTTGCGATGCGTAATGAATGAGATGTCTTTGGTTTGCGCCAACCTTTGTCCGAGAAATATGATGAGTCTTATTTTGAAGATAAAGACGAAAAATTCTTTTATTAGGGTATAAATAAATTGACAGGAAAATCGTAAAATTGTACCCGTTTTGCTGATGAATGTATATTGAAAAGGAAAAAGAATTTAGTTCCTTTATTTCTAGTCCTCATCCCCGAGGGGATTAACATAAGTTTGATAAGTTGACCAAAAAAAAAAAAATAAAAAGTAAAAAAAACTGTTTTTGTATTTATTCGTTATCTTTGCCCTTTTTCATCTGCTCTACATAACTACATAATCGATAGTCTTCAAGTCTTCAAATCGTGCTTTTATCCAGTTCTGTATTAACTGCAATAATTATCTCCTATATTGCCGTTAAGGGCCTTTCTTTTTAATTTTTTTCTTAAGTTTGGGTGCTGGACGTATTTGTTCGATCCCAGGAATCGCAATTAAATTACTCGTTATTTCCGCAGTGTGGGGTGGCGCGTTGTTATTATGAAGAAAGTAGCCCCGCAAACCTCTTTCTTTAGCAGTTACCGTCCGACCCTTTTCCAGTGGAACAACACCTACGATTTTAGATCGCGTGAAGTAAACTGACATCAAAGTAATTGCAAAGGATTTGGTATTTTTAGACAACAAAAATAAATTGAAAGTCACCAACTGAGCGAACTTTACATATATTTAGTATTTGCAGCAATTCTAATCTCATCATATTTTAATATAAAAATGTTCGCATACGTGTACATATGCATATATTGTACCTCTTCGTATTCCGTGTGGCAGTCGCGTTCTCAATTTTTGAACTTTCCATATCCAATATATCGTAAATGGAACGTAGTAAAATTGTTTTCAGCAATACATTTTGTTAACACGTGTTAGGCTCATTCAACATTTGATTTACACACTTTGCTGTATATATGTATGTGAGGCACACGTCACTTGCATAACTGAGGAATTTAAAAAACAAAAGATGCAATAGCATTTTCATTAGTTATACAAGTGTGTCGTTTTCTGAATGAATACCCGTCATTACACCAACATTTTTCCGACTACTTTCACTCGAAAAAAACACCGTTAATATTTTTAGTATTGTAGTTTCTCATTGTAATTACATGCACTTGTAAAATGTAAATATATACTAAAAGTTTTTGAGGAAATATTCAATTCAATTTAAATTTATAGAACGCTATAAACGACCGCATTTACATAAAAGCAAAATAAACTAATCACCCTACATAACCTATTTACGGGCACATTTCTTCTGAAGGAGCAACGCTTGCTCAACGGTTCAACTTCAATTACTAACTAAAGAGCGTTCAAACCACTGCAAACGCGCAATAAAACAAAACTAAGTACTTAATTCAACTGCCACCATAAAATACATACTTATGGCTCGGCAGTAGCTTAAGGGAGTAGGCTTAGGAGAGGGTTTGTATTTGGATTTTTTCATCCAAATCTTTTTTACTTGCTTATGTTTTATAGTCTAATTAATTGCTCTTATCTTTTACGAGAACAATTAATTCATTATTTTTTGGAGGGAATGTTGGGATGTTAGATTCTTAGCCCTGGAGAAAAATATTGCCTGATTTTTATTGGAAAAGTGCACACAACGACGCCATAAAAACATTGCTATCAGAACTTCAAGGATAATTATTTATATCAATATTACGCAGAAATATTCGAAACGCCAATGAGTCAATATCTTAAGGCGCCAATGAGTATAGAAAGTAAAAAATGCTCAGGCCGACTTAGTAATATGTAATTTGGCACTAAACGGCAAGGACCCCACGCAAACGGCTAAGCAAACTTATTTTATGAATTTTACAGACACCATATTCGTGCCGACCAGACCAACATTTTGAAATGCGGTCGCCCCTTTGGCAAGGAGTGCGAATACCATTGAATGAATTTCTAACATTAAAAATAAAATAAATTTTCGTAAAAAAGTCCCAACCATTCCGAGGGGCTTCAAACGTTTCATTAAATGGATATGGCATAGATAAATATTTTAAATTTTTGAACAATTTCCTGGGGTTATTTGATCACCGCCATTGTCTGTTGTCAAAAGGCGTGAATTGCGGAAATTTCTCATTTATGGCGCTTTCGCTTTCTACCTTACTGGATGCATGAAATTTGCCTTTACCCACACGTACACTTCTTTAAATGCTTCTTAATAAAAGAAATCTAACTCTCTTGTAGTGTATGAATGGCAACTAATTTGCTTACACCCTATTTTATTAGGTCAAGGATATTTCGCGCCAACACGTAAACAAAAACAAATGAACGTTCCTAAGCTGACCAGCCGTGCTCTTTTGAATAATATTGTCCTCTATAGCATCGTTTCTACTATACCTTTGAAAAATACTCAAGAAGGGTAGTTTACTTGATTATTGAAGTCACTCACTCCTCACTCCTATCTTTTAATAACTCTTTTCATAATACTTTGAGAGTGTCATCACTTTTTTGGTTTCGTTTGTCATGGCTAAAACTGAATTACGCAGTCCATGGAAGACATGGTCGCTTCAAGAACGATGTAAGAAAACAGAAGCGCATCTTGAAAATCTTTTATTGTTGTTCAGTTCTTTCTCCGAAACTCAAACGACTATTCAGCCAATTACTGTATAGCAGATGTCTTTTAAAGATATTTTTCCTTTCATATCTGTTAAATGAGCGAAAATGCTAATTCTGGTCACCTTATCGTTTAATTATGCAAATTTATTGTTTTATGTAGTTACATTTGATATTCACATCCAAGTACGCATAAAAATATTAGTTGTCAGAATCGAACTAGTTTCCGTTTTTCCAATAACTAGTTCATCTTTCGTCTACGCTGGCTGGGTCATGTTGTCCAGTTGGATAAGAACACTTCATCTTTGAAATTATTTGTTGCAGAACTCGTCGGTGGAAACAGAGAAAGTCCTTGACTTTTTGGCGAATAAAAGAAATGGCTGGCAGCACGCTTCTGTTAAATTGGTTATAATGGCGGAGGCGGTACTTACGCAAAGCAGAAAAGAATAACCTTCTAAACTGTAAATTGTTCAACTATGCCTCAGCTAAATACGAGTTAAATACTAGTTCATTAACGTGAGCTAATTTTGTATATCCCAAAAATTAACATTGAATTTTTCTACATCGAACCTCGAATCTAGAATGGCTACATTGACAACCGTTAGCCGTTCATATATCATGATGATGTAGCGAGTGAGGAAATATTGCGCATTTTGTAAGCTGATCAGAAAACGGAACTCACCCGTGAGGTGCTGGAAATAACAATAACAAAATGCGAATGTTACGGTGGTGAAATTTTTTTTATTATTTCTGTTCCTGTTGAACTTCTAAACAAAAAAGGAGCTAGCATCTTTAGTTTAGTTTACTTTTTCTCTGCAGGGTTATTAATAGGTTTGCTCAATACTCTTCTCACCAAGTATTGGCGACTCCGTCGAAAAATTATCAAAAAAGGAATTAGCTTAGCGTTAGGTCGGTTAATGTTAGAGTTAAAAAATACAAAATAAATGATGAAAAACGCCTACTTTAAACCGTATAGGATCTAAGGGAAAATCACCCTTTCGGCGACCTAACCCCGTTTAGTCAATCCATAGTTCATTCTTTAAATCAAACGTTACAAAAAAAATTTCAATCGGGCTTTGGCCGCAGTTGTCGGGTATAATAAAAATCAATTAAAATACTTAAATATTGGTGACAATGTCATCTTGTGGAAGATATTAAATTGTGTATTATTTAGATGTTGGAAAAACATCAAGACGCAAAACCACAAATTGAAGGAGGAGGTCGGCCGAAAATCTCTTCAGCGGTTACAAAGCATAGCATTATATATTATATATTTTTTAGAATGATTCTTACAAAACTCTTTAAATTAAAATAATATAACACATAGAAGAGCAACCAAGGAGCCAATAGGAGATTTTTTCGCACAAAGAAAATTTGCATACATAATACATACATATATGTACTATGTACGTTAAATTTGAAAACCGTGTTTCAAGGACCCTTTGAGTAAAAGGAGGAATGATCAAAGTTATTAGATATATTCGACAATATTAAAAACACAACATTGGGTGTATGTATTTTTGACTGTAATATATAAAATATTGTATAATATATACATATAATAGATTTTGATTAATAATTTTATTTGGTTAGCTGTTGCAAATGTTTAGCTTATTAATTTTTGTCTCCCCGAAATATTGGGAATATTTGTAAAACAATACAAGGTGTAGCTAAATGACAATGTTAAGTATGTATATACAATATATTGAACTACAGTGCTAACATAGGTATTACAATACAGTTTGAAACTAGTAGGCATTACAGTTTATAAAGTTTCTTATTTATAAAGACTGCAACGGGTTAGTAATGTTTTTATTTTTTTTTGCTTCATATCACCAATAGGTAGACCAAATTATATGATTTGACATAAAAAATATCAAGTTTTCGATAAACCTTCCCAACGATCTGGTACTGTATAAAAATAACGGTCCATTGCATCAATAAAACGTTGCTTATAGCGCTCAGGCGATATAACAGTTGGTAATTTGCCCATGCCTCCTAGTATCCCAGTTTGCTTAACAAAGGACTCAACCTTTTTATCGAAAGTAAATGTGCGTATATAGTCTGGAAAATTAATAATCAATATATTTCCATGTTTATATTATATTATTATTATTATTTTTTGTACCTACCAATTATGCCTAATACCAACATCTTGTTTTCGTGATCTAAGCCTACGAGAAGTGAATAGTCCATAACTTGATTTTTTTCCAAAAAAGTAGAGTCACGATTAATTGCATCTTTAAGAACTGATTTACTGTGCGACAATATGTATAAGGGTTTCGACCAAGACACTGAAAATTAAACCATAATATAATAGACCTTTGTGTAGGAAAAAACGACTGTCTATAGTAATGTCCGATGACTAAAGAAGCAAAGAAAATATATGCACAATGTTTCTGTTGTTTTGTAACTATTTTGTCTCTTCTCAATAGTGAGGAAATTTTAAGACCATTTTGATCATTGACTTTTCAACTTTTTACTGTAACAGACTTCTATTTTTTTCAACCACGACTGTTATACATAGTACTTATCCATTTCGACAAAAAACGACAAAAAGAGAAACTGCAAATAAGTAAAAACTTAAAGTTGACGAAATGTATTGGAGTATTAAGCTACCATGTACACTTTTCATGATGCCGAGCATGATACAATAATTCTGTAAGGTAGTTTTACTTCGCGTTTGCTCAGGAATGTTTGATCTTGCCACTTAACTAACTGCCACTGACTGGGTGGGATAATAAAAACTCCGGTAAACTTGCATCTCTACGCATCCTACCTCCTTAACTTCGTAATATATTTAGCGGTAGCTGAATTCAAAATCGTTTGAAAGTTTAATTGACTTTTAGCGCAATTATGCAATTTTTTTTAATGAATTTGCACTACTCTAAAAACCAACAAATATTAAAAATATTTCCTAATTGCTTACAAAATTTTCTTGAAAGATCTCTAGAATTGTGAGACTGACTTGCACTCAAAGTTGACTTAGCATTTCCACTCATCTCCTCATATTCTTGAATTCGATTTAAATTTTAGTGGCCGTAATGAACAATCATGGAAGGCCTACACACTATCAGGGGTTGGAAAATGCAAAAAATTAAGTGATTTTTGAATGTTCAAAAATTTAAACGAAAAATTTAAATTTCTCTACCTGTTTTTTATTTAAAAATGGTATTTGTTTTAAGAGAAGAGGGTAGCACGAAAAGGTCGAAGGCGAAGAGAGAATGAAACTACCTTTAAATTATTGTGCCATGTTGCCGAGTATTCTACACGATAATTTTGAATGAGTACTCTTTGAATAAAAAATGTGGACATAGAACGTTTGATTACATTCAAACTTGGCTTTTCCATACTTGCCAGATTATGTACAAAATAATACTTACTTTGAACCAAATTTTCATCCAAGAGTACTATTTCACCCTGCTGATCTGTTGGATCCACTAAACGGTTGCGTTCAGATCCTTTTAAATCAAATTTATTTTTTATATCACAATCGTAGAAAAGATTTTCCATAACAAGTAGTGATTTTTCCACCAATGAACTGAAAATGTATTTGTAGATACAAATAATAAGTTATTTAATTATTTATTTTCAATAAAGATTTCGGAAATGAAGGGAAATTCAATTATTAATAACTCGACAATAATATTAAATTCCCTTACTCTTTTCTTTTTATGATAACCTTGAAAACTCCAAAAATTTTCGCTAACAAAGTTGGTTGATTTTGCTGTTGACATTTACTAATATAGTCGAAGTAGTTAGGTGCGAAGTTTTCAAATATGTTAATATCACTTTTCGACATCTCCTTTAAAACAAAACGATCATCTGCAAGAAAAAAAATTAACATATATATACAAAGGTATGTAAACATTTTAATATTTCACAAGTAGGAGCAAGCGCGAAATTTATTGTCAAATTTAACCAAAAAAAAAAACTCGGAGCAAACAGTTATATATCCGTTATTATTGAGGAAGTTCACAAGAATGTTGTATTTGACAAATACGATTTGTTATGACTACAAATGCTAATATTTTTAACCAACCTAAGGTTTTGCAAAATCTCGAGCCAGATTTGCCTCCTCTAGCTTCCCACTGCTCACTGCTGCATAAGGACCGCGCCAGATAATTGCGACTTTTCTCAATTTCCAACTGCAAAGTATTCCTGCTCGATTTATTCGTGTCTGATTGCGTCGGAGCACTCCCATCACTGATTTTGCATACCAACTCCATCTCAGGGCCGCTGCGGCTTTGACATACCTTTAGTTCTTCACATTTTTTGCTTTTTTCAAGCTCTTTGTACAATGATTTTTCCGTTTTTGGAGGTTTTAGCATTTTGGCGCGCATCAAATCAAACTCTTTTGCAAAGTAAATTTTACATGTAAAATGTTTTCCATTATCATGGAATGATAACTCTACATGTGAAGTACTTGCTCTTGATTTAGTTCGTTCTTCTTCAACGCTCGTGTTTACATTTGAAATTTTATCATTTTCCTCTCCTTCTTGTGAGCTGGAATAAAAAATATTAACAATTGCTCAAAACCAAAGTCTTCAATATTACACGTTTAACTACCTTTCTTGCGATTTTCTTTTTAAATGTGGACTAGAGTGGTTGGTAGCATTGGTATTATTTGAATTTTCTGCATTAGCCGATTGTCCTACTACACTGCCACCACTGCTGCTGCTTCCCACGAAATTACAGTCAGCTAAGTTGGCCACTAAACGCTGGTACTCACTTGATGTCAGGCTGTAAGCAATAAGTGAACTTAAGTCTTGATCGTGTACAAGTACCGGAAATGCCCCCAAAGGAAGTGTGTAGTGTTCTTGTGCTGAAAAAGGAGTATGAAGCAAGTTTGATGGTCCAGCGGAAGGCAACAGTTGCGTAAGTATTTTCTTTATGGATTTTTTATCAGTCCCCGTGGAATTCGAAAGAAGTTGCTCCATTGAATACTTCTTTTCCGTCATACAATTTAAATGACTTACTGAATCATTTTCAAACTCATTAGATTTACCATCTATCTGGGAATGGGTATCATCATGTGTTGAAGATATTTCTGGCAATACCGGCGAAGCTTCACTATATTCCGATCGAATATCTTCAGTACAAATAGTACCAGAATCAGCATTGATCTGAGAAGGTTGAGCCAATTGCTGTTTTACAGCCGCCTTTTGTGCCAATGCAATATCTTGCACCCTAGGTCCCCACAAATCAATGCTTTCCGCAAGTACGCGTTTGGACATAAGCAGTGCATCACTTACATCGTACAAACTGACTTTCGGATCTGTGAGCAACGTTTGTACAATTTCAATATGCTGTTTGAAAATAAATTGATCTTTATTTAATGCGGTTTTTAAATTGACCACTATTGCTAATGTGTCGTCTTCGGTAGCAAGATCAGCAATGCGTTCATGTATGCTGGTATACACTTCATGGCCCTTCATAGAAAAATTCTTCATCTCTTCCATATATTTGAAGTGATCTACCACTCTTGGGGCTTTTAATTCGAGTACTAACGGGGGCAAGCCAATATCCCATACTTCGATAGGGGTGTATTGAAATTTCGCTCCAACACCTCGAAATGTAAAATAATGCACATAATCACGATGAAGAGAATGTTGGCATTGCTTGAATTCCTCACAGTTTGGAGCTACCGTCGGAGAACTTCTACCGATGTCAGACCGCTTTTTATAAGCATGTCCATGGAAGCGGAGCTCCAGATATTTAGCAAAAGAAAGGGATTTTGTGTTTTCGGAAAGAGGTACACTAGGTGTCATCTCGTTACAAATTGTGCACCAAGCTGTAAAATAAATACGATTCGGATCGGTTTTCATGTTATCCTCGCTTAGAAACACTTGAACACATCCCATGGAATGCACAAAGCTGTGGATAAATAAAATAAAATTATTCACTATCTAAAACTTATTCATTTTGTATACGAACCGCCGCACATGTCCTAGCATGGGTAAATTGCAAAGTTTGCATATAGAATTCAAACGACAACAGTACCGTTGCAAGAATTGCCCAAGCATAATGTCATGCTGGCCATAAAATTTCATATCCAACAAAGTGGGTGGTGCACAAAAAGAGGATGCAGAATTCGGATTGAAATAAAAACTACAAAACAGAACTGGTAGTCGTTGATGGTTTTCCAAATCCAGCGCGTCCTTAAACAAATTTTCTTCAGCTGCTTTTTGAGGAAGAGTTTGGCTAGCTCGCCTAAACACTATGCATTAAAAATTAGTATTTAGTAAAAGGTAACAATCAAAAATTAATACATATTACAATTTTTTTTCTTCGGATATCGCCCACCAAACGCACGAAATTCTGCCAATAAGTTTTGTATATCACGATTATCCCAAGGCGATGTAATTTTAAGCTTCAAAAAAGGATGTGGAGGTTTTAGCAGCTTTTCGTTTGTACTATTTTTTGTGTGTTCTAAACTTTCATGCCGTTCTAAATGTGGAAAATTTACATCGGACCATAATTTTGAGTAATACAATTCCGCTGGAAAAAGTTTGCGCAATGCGCATTTACGACCTTGTTCTGTCTCCAGATATGGCAAAGGAAAATTGAGAAACGGACTGACGGACAACAAAGTGGAACTGAGCGCAGTGCGAAAGCGATTATCATAGCGAGTTTCTACAGCCAATTCTATAACTGGTCTATTACCGGACATTTTACTAGTTGGGACCTCGGTTGAACGAAGCGGATCTGTAAATTCAGCAACATCTTTTGAGATTGAAATAACTTCTTTGCGCTGAAACTGAATTTTTTCTTCAATTTTACGATCTATTCCAGTATTCTGCCTCAAAATTGGCTCTTCATCATCAGACGACAAATCATCAGGACTTGGTTCTTTGGAGTTAAATATCGACGGCTTTGGTAGAAGTGGATCGGCAAATTCATCCAAAAGGAAGGACATTTCCAAACGCCAGTTGTAACTAAAATATTCATCAAAATTATTCCCACTTGTAAGCCCAGAAAGTAATATTTTAAGACTCACCGCGCATAAATTAAAAACGAAGCAACTTTTTTAACATTGGACAACTCTTTATTAGAGCCTCCTCGCAATAAACAAGTGAAACCGCGTGGATTGTTAAGTTTTTCAAAAAACATCAGTGACTTGTTGCAACCTCTGCCATCACTAAAATTCCGTATGTAGAAAGCATCACAAGTGGCAAGGCGTGGTCGGGCTATATTTGACTCAATAGATGTCACGATGTCGCACTGAAATGTACGTGATATACGCTCCATCACTGAAAGTTTTACGTCTAGAACCAAAGTAATGCCGTGCGATCGTAGTATGTCTTGAGCAATGCCAGCAACATTCTTATGTACCAGCACCACATTTGGCTTGAAACTCATAATACGATCGCAAACTCGTCGCAAATATTCTTTTTCTTGCAATAATACTGTCGCAATACTAACAAACTTCCCTTCAATACGTTCATAGACAATAGGACACTGTAAAAGGAGAATATTGGGATGCTCAACCCGCGTAGCCATATCTTTATGAGCGACATTTTTCGAAAAAACAACTCCTCCTACAATAGTACACTCATTCCGTTTACCTCCCGGTATCTTTTTTATATTCACATAATTACGTATATCCATTAAGTCATTGGTGCAATATTCCGGTTTGAAGTGATTGGCTGCACGACAACAGAGTGACATTAAAACTTTCGACCAACGTAAATCTAAACTAAAGGTGCGCAGCATCTGAGTTAGTAACTGATCTTCGTAATCACAGTAAGATTCCAACAGTTTTGATGTTGTTGTTGTAGAACGCGTTGAATATTCTAATTCCATTTCTTTCATGGAATGGAAGCTGTAAGATGACTCTATTACTTTTGGTGGTTGAGGTTCACCACTTTCATCAAGCTGGGGACTTGTAGCAGCAGGTTTCAAAGTAGACTCTGTAAATCGAGTTAACCCAATATCTTTTCTGAAAATCAAATATTAAGAAAAAATTTAAATGTATTTACCTTACATGTTAAAATTAATTTTACTTACCTAAGTAAATCTACAAATTTGTAATGCAGAGTTTCATCGAACTCATTTTGGTCGGAATCCGGTACTATTGGTTGAAGAAAGCCAGCAGCTAACATTGCGTTTAAAATCGCAATAGCTTGTACCTTATTTGATGATTTATTATGCAAAATCAAATATTCTATCAAATTTGTGCCACAATTCTGTATCGGCATTTGACTCCGCATTTCTTCATGCAGTGTTATTAAAGAATTCGACTGTTGTAGAATGTTCTTTCGATCATCAACAGATAAGCTGTTGCCTATGTGCGTGGCGAAGCGTTCTTCTTGATAACCAACCGATATTTTCCGGTTTAAATTTGCACGTGCGGGAATAGAGTCTACCTTACTATTTTCATTCTTCTCTTCTAATTTCTGAGTAAGATCTTGTTGCAAAGCCTGTAAATCTGCATGCAAATCAACAGCAATATCTGGAGATTTTAAATAGCTAAGTACTATTTTCGAACAATAATTGCAAACTTTAAGGTCACCTGTAATTGAGTAAGGTTAAGATTTAATCAATACAATAAACAAATTTACAAACCCACCAGCACATTTGATAATTTTTCCCGGTACAACTTGATTGCAACACTTGGAACAAAATATCTGTCCGCATAGACGGCAATGATGCTTTCGTCGAAAAGTAGAAAACTTCTGGCCACAATCATAACATTCTTTTGCTTTGGAATCAGGCATCCAAAAACGATGCAACTCAGTGTCTTTATAGTTTCGTAAATCCTGCAAATAATATTATGTACTAAAAAATATTAGTTTCATTAAAAATCTTACGCTGTTTTTTGTGGCCATCAAATTACTCATACGTTTTAATACATTCACCATAGTGCGACCCTCATTGCCTTCAGCCGGCAAATCCAAAACACGTTTATCACATTCATTGTTAATCACATCATCTGCTAAAGTAGAGTTGGCATGTAAATTATTATTAGATGTAGAACTAGTTGCATCATCTGACTCGCTCGCAATATTTGGAGTTTTTGGGACATGAACTGGGGCACCTCCTTCAGTTCCATTGTTAGTGACTTCGTTAACACTATTATAGCTTTGATTATATACATTTTGTATTTTGTTTACAAAACGACCGAGTAAAGATTCAGGTTCTTCCTCTTCGAAGTCTCTGGCGAATTCGGTAAGTTTGGTAGGTGAATGCAGGTGTTGATTCATTTTAAAGATAGTCTTTTCGCTTATATATGTTGTTTTGTATATTACTTTCTATTAAAAATCTACAACGTAGACATGTTGAATTGATCACTCAATGAAGATTCTGGCGCCAAAGAAGCAAGTGCCAAATCACTCCATTTTTGCTCCTATTGGAAATACAAACATTTTAAACATACTTTTTTTTTAGGGAACTAACATACCTGCTCGCTAAGTGTTAAATGCGAATCACCACCATCCGCTTCGGGATCTGGCAATTTGTCTGTTGGAACAAAAATCTGGTCGAATGGCAAAATCTCTTCACGCCACCTATTATCCACAATATCCAATAAACGATATTCGGGTAAGGGCTACAAATACAAAAAAGATAAATTATCTAAAAATCGACATGAAAAAATGAATTTCCATCGCCCATCATATTCCTCGCATTATATCTAAGATATGTAGTATATGTTTTTATTTTATTAATTTTGGTTTATTCAGTTTATAATTAATTATGAGAATATCTGCTGAATATGGGCATCGGCTGTGTGCTAAGAATAATAAAACGGAAAATTTTATAATAAATAGATGAGTAGGTAAAATATGCACCGCCATAAGTGGTATGTTGCTCCTTCTATTGTTTTTTCACATTATTTTAAACAAATTGATGATAATATGTTGGGATGTAGGCGAATTTAGCATTTCGGTGGGGTTTTGGTTGTTGAAAATTACTGTCCTGTGTTTGGCATATGGCTGGCAAACAAATTCACATCAAAGTGTTTCTGAAGTATTGCAAGTTTACACATGATGGATAGAACTTCTGGGAAACTTTAGTCCACAATTAATCAAGAGTATCTTAATCATATTTACACATAACTGCAATGATTATAGGCAAGCAACATAGCAATGATTTCGAAAATCATTAGTTATGCGAAACACTAAGGAAGCAAACTCACCTGACTGTCCATTACTTATTGAATACAGTGTTAGGGCCAAATGGTCCTAAGATAACAATTAATGCAAATATTTACTTTTTGTTTCAAATTCCAAATTATTAAACACAAAAGTTATTAGTCAACTGATTCACCAGTAGGTATTTTCGATACTGATGTAAAGTAGCAATCGATATTTTCCAATTAATATCAATCGATAAAATATATTTCAATAGGGGGTATACCAACATTTGATGATTTAGGAGGCGACACTTTTGTACAATGAACGCCATCAGGTTTTGTGGTTCATAGAATAAAGTTGTTTTGAATCCACACTGTTAAAAAAGAGATTGATTTAAGGCAAAGTTTCTAATAGCCAAACTTTTTATATTACAGCTTTTTATTATGTAACATCTAAGGTATTTATTAGATTCCTAACATCCATGATTCATTTAATAACTCAATAATATCAGTTTTTGCAAATTATCTTCATTATTAAACCCCATACAAAATCCACAATTTAAAAAATTTGTTGTTGAAATAAATCCATTTTGATCAGTTTACATCGTTTTAACTTACGGTAGCCGATTTGTATGAGAATTTTTACAGTAAAGTCGAGGAACAAAGCAGTCAATTACAATTCGCCCTTCATGATAATTTAAGCGAACTTATTCAATTCGTCGTGGTTTTGACAACCGTACAAAAGCTAAAACAAAATATTCTGAGTTCTTACGGCCTATCACTCACCTGTACATGTTTGTCTTTTTACATTCCTTCACCATTTCGTTATCAAAGCAGATTCTGGTCTCTGTTCTGAAGAAATTATTGGTCTTCAATCAAATTTTGAATAAAGATTAATTTCTAAATAGGGAAACAGGTGAGTAGCTAATTAAAAGCATGATAAAGCTATGTCTTTAATATTCATATGTTTAAATTGCGTAACATCACATTTTAGCATTGTTTGATTTGTGAAAAAGAATGCGGCTGATGTGACGCAGGCTTTTAATGTGAAATACACTGGAAATATTTCAAAAGCACATAGAATCAATTTATTATTTGGCTTTAGCAGTAGTCCTATGAATTCCTGTGCTGAAAAAAAGAAGTATCGTCAAACAAACAATTAGCGGAAACACACATTATTAAATAAAAATGCTATCATTTGTGCGAAAGACTCCCTCAGCTGCGAACTTTTTAAGGCGTGCAACTGTGTGCTACACCGGTAACAGAATCGGAGATTCAAATGTGCGATGCTTTAGTAAAATGATCGGAAGAAGTCCCGTTTGCTCTGTACCTTGCTTGAATTTGCGACGGACTAAAGTGATGGCGGCACCTCATATTATTCACCAGCAAGAACACAAATTCAGCGAGGGCAAAGAATACCATGGCTTTAAATGCATCCGTGTAGAGTTGGTTCCGGAATTCGGAATCATGTCATATACATTTCGGCATATCGGAAGTGGTACCGAGTTGTGGTATTTAGATAGAAAGGATTCAAATAATGTATTTTCTGTAAACTTCCGTACCACGCCATTCGATTCATCTGGTTTGCCACACATTCTGGAGCACAGCGTATTATGCGGTTCTAAGAAATATCCCGTGCGGGATCCGTTTTTCAAAATGTTGAATCGATCTATAGCTACTTTCATGAATGCCATGACAGGACCAGACTACACTATGTACCCATTTTCAACTATGAATGAAACAGACTTCAGAAACTTACAAAAAATTTATTTAGATGCAGTATTCAGGTGAGCCGACATGTATATGGCATTAGACAATAAATAAACCCCCTTATTCTAATTTTGTAGACCGAATTTGGAATATTTGGATTTCCTACAGGAAGGTTGGCGTCTAGAGCACTCTAATGTACACGACAAATCTTCCGAATATGTATTGAAAGGCGTAGTTTATAATGAGATGAAAGGAGCATTCTCTGAAAATAGTTCAATATTCTCCCAAAACCTGCTTAATAATTTACTACCAGACCATACATATGGATTTGTATCCGGTGGAAATCCACTTGAAATACCGAAGCTTACGCACAAAAATTTGGTAGATTTTCATTCCAAATATTATCATCCAAGTAATGCACGCATCTACACATACGGAAATTTTGATATACAAAAGACACTTGAATATGTAAACAGTGAATACTTAAGCCAATATGAGCGTATAGATAACTCTTACAGCCGCATACCAAGCCAAATTCGTTGGAAAAAGCCAAGAAATGTACATATATCCAGCCGTTTTGATAATATGGGTGCAGCTTTCGAAAGGCAAAATCAAATAGCGATCGCTTTACTAATGTCAGATGTAACTGACACACAGGAAACCTTTGTACTGCATGTGCTATCTGAATTGCTTGTACGAGGTCCAAACTCTTCATTCTACAAAAGTCTTATCGAACCTAACTTCTCTGGCGGATATAACCAAGCAACTGGGTATGATCCACAAATAAAAGACACATTTTTTTGTGTGGGCTTGCAAGATTTACGAGTTGAAGATTTCGCACGGGTACAAGATCTATTTGATAAGACCATAAATCAAGTAATCTCTGAAGGATTTGATTCTAGCCACGTGGAAAGTGTACTACATAATATCGAGTTGCTACTAAAACACCAGAGTCCACAATTCGGAATGGGTTTGCTATTTAATTCCACACCTTTATGGAATCATGATGGTGATGTGGTTTCCAACCTACGCTTATCAAATATGATTGCGAATTTCCGACATAATCTACTTGAAGATCCAAAATATTTGCAGCGAAAGGTGGAACAATATTTCGCAACCAATACACATCGTCTGACATTGACTATGTCCCCTGATGATCATTACGAAGATAACTTTAGAACAGCTGAGCTGGATTTATTAAAACAAAAAATAATGTCTTTGGATGATATAAAACGTAAAGAAATTTATGAAAACGGCATAAAACTGGAACAGGCGCAAAAAGGCACACCAAACTTGGAATTATTACCATGCTTAAGTTTAACCGATGTGGAAGAAATGCCTAAAATGCCTTCTTTAGAGGTACTACGTATAGATAAAGTGCCGACGCAAGTATGCCAAGTTCATACAAATGACATTTCATATTTGAAATTGCATTTCAACGGTACAAACTTGAGTCACGACGAAGTTATGTTATTGCCACTTTTTTGTAATATCGTTAATGACATGGGGACAATTAATTACGATTTTAGAGAATTTGATAAATTGGTTTTATCAAAAACTGCTGGTATCGATTTTAAATTACATTTTGCAGAAAATATTTATGACAGCAAATCGTACTTACTGGGCGTTTATATGACTACACATGCGCTTAACAAAAATGCGGCTGATATGTTTTCATTATGTACGGAATTACTTACAAAATTTAAGTTGGACGACATTGATCGTTTAGGTATGCTTATCGATAATTATGTGTCCAACATTTCAGTGGGAATAGCCAGCTCGGGACATTTATATGCAATGCAAAGCTGTGCAGGCTTAGTGACAAACGCTGCGAAATTGAAGTCTTTGCTCTCAGGTGTGGAGCATATAGAATTCATGAAAAACTATGTTAAACAAAGTAAGACTGAAGAGATTAGAGAGAAACTTAAAGTTATTGGTCAGAAACTGTTTTTGAAAAACGTCATGCGCTGTTCTCTAAACACCTCCGAAGAATTCTATTCCACTCTTATCAAGAATTATGAAAAATTCCTATCTGATATGCCAGTACAAGCAGAATCGAACAAACAGAGTGATCATAGCATTAGTCTACTTGAACCTAGCCAACAACACTTCGTCATGAATATCCCAGTGAATTATTGTGCCAAGGCATTCTTTGCCGTACCGTATACACATCGGGATCATCCAACACTGCGTGTTATCGCAAAATTAATTTCTGCCAAATATTTGTTGCCAGTAGTAAGAGAACAGAACGGAGCATATGGTGCGGGCGCGAAAATCGGTTCAGATGGTATTTTCTGCTTCTTCAGCTATCGTGATCCAAATTCATCTAAAACTCTTAAAGTATTTAACAATACATACCAGTGGCTGCAGGAAAACATCGCCGAAATAACCGAACAAGCTTTGTTTGAAGCAAAATTGGGTGTATTGCAACAGTTGGATGCCCCTATTGCGCCAGGGAATATGGGTATTGACTTCTTCCTATATGGTGTTTCACAGGAAATGTTCGCGAAATACCGGGCACGCTTGCTATCAACGTCGGTTGACGAATTGAAAAATGTCGTCGAACGTTATTTTAAAAATGAACCTGAGCATTTCGGCAGCTGTTTGCTGGGACCCGAAAATAAGGGTTTAGAAGCGGAGACAAACTTAAAGTGGAAAGTCATTTCCTAATGGTACTGGCTGATTTAATTAAAAATTTAAAGTTAATACGCTTATAGTAGTTGTGGTTAATTAATATACGCGATAAGCATGGAACTAAATCAACGTAAGAGTATGTAATTAACTCCGGTAGGGTATCTAAGTTTTGAGAAACTTAACAACTTTTAATTATGAAATGTGTGTTTCTGACCAATGATAATCTTCGTTTTTCAATTATACAAATATTTCAATGTTCAACTAAATGCTAAAACAATATTTATTCAGTAAATAAAAAATGTAAATTAAAAATTAATTGTTCTCTTTGGATCATTGTTCTTTTCGCAGTTTGGCGCCAATTGGAAATATCAAGTACAGCCAGGTTCTTCTCTATCTGATCCTTCTGCTTCCACTGGCGGGTACAAACCTTTGTTGCCAGGAGATATTTCGCCTTTTCCTCGTTCACTCCCACCTCCATATCCTTCGCTTCCTTATCCAGTCAGGAGAAAGCAGAACTAACGGTGAGTTTGTTGAGGCCAATAATGTCAACATTATCGGCGCACGCCAGCAGCTATACACTCTTATAGAAGACTGTACCTCGCCCATTCAGCTCTGCAGCTTTCCCATTATTTCATCTCAGAAATACAATCAGAGGGGTTGACATTCCCTGTCGAGGAGCGACCGCAATTAGAAAATTTAACTTAATTTTATTAAATATTTAATTCTCGTGTATATAGTAAATGTTTAAAACACTTCATTGGCTGTAGGTTTTGTTTCGCAGATGTTCTTGTTGCTGTAACCATAAAAATATTCCCCAAAATACTTTTTGGGGAATGTTGCGGGATTAAAATCCGAGTCGTTCCGGTATAGAGACCCAACTAACGCGAAAACTATTGGATTTTAGGCGTCTCTTACGACAGGCATGTCTTACCGCGAATAAATTTATGAACCCCTAACCCGCAGAAGGGGCCGTTTCGCTGCTGGCGAGGGCTACCTTTTTTGGATTTGAAAAAAGTTTAACTCAATTGCCAATAAAAAATTTACTAACAAGTCACAAGCTCTATCTCCCAGCTTTAAGTCAGTGTCTGCAGGGCTTAACGCTTATGTAGCATTCCAACAAATGTTATTCTCATGTTTCACTATGCATTTCAACGTCAGGTGCTTTCTCGATGTGATCTTTAATGTAGTGTTCAGACTTCTAATAGCACTCCATTTGTTCGTGGCAAGTTACTTTATGTTTTCCCTATGGGATTGTCCATAAACCATGTGAACATATTTTAGGCCTGCCTTCTTTCACGTATAAATTAACGGCCTTTCCTGTGGAAATGATAAAACTATATAACATGGCTCTCACCCATTCTTCCCGTAAATGTCATCACAAGAAGCTTTGGGTTATTTACAGTCGGAATTTTAAGCACCGAGTTCTACTGGTTCCCAATCTATGAAGAGAACGTTATGTATTTCGTGTAAGAATTGTGTACATACATATACACATATATGTATAAGGTAATAATCAATTCAATATTCAATATCTGATCTTGCCGATTATGATACTCTTCCATATTTTCCGGTTTTACTGCATATTCAACCCAATAACAAAGTCCATCCACTAGTCTAATTAGACGTACGAGTATGTATGCATTAAGTGAGATAAAGGTTTCGTATGTTTTTTCTTGCAGTAAAATATGGCTCTACCTATGGAGTTCTCATCACCACACGATTATTTTAAAGCATCGGTTACTTTCCTTAGAAATCACTCTTGGATCTACAGTAATGCTAACACCCGATTTATAAGGGCCGGGGTATTAGAACAGTTTCCACCAGATTATGTGAACTACTTCCTGAAACTCGAAAATCACAGTTTGAATACTTTTCCATTTTTGAATGAAAGTGAAGGTTTTAGCAAAGGCATTGAACCTTCGCACTTGCAATCATTTCGTTCCACAATATTCCGGCTTATACCAGATGAATTTCATCATAAACAAAGTGATGAAGAATCAATAGACGTGCTTCCGAAATGTCGTTTTCGAAAGATGAGCATAAAGAAGAAGCATGAAATAATGAAGTTGATGGAGATTATTCAATTCATTTGTAGTGATACGTCCTTACTACTAGATTTCGGAGCTGGTTTAGGTTACTTAAGTGAGGCATTGTGTGGTGTTAATAAAAATTGGCGTATTCTTGGATTGGAAGCTGATGCATATCGCGTAGAAGCAGCACGAAAGCGTCTTGGAAAACTAGAGCCTGAAGTGAGCAAACGTGTTGTTTACGTGGAACAGTTCATTGGAATGGACGACGGCGCTGCTATTAGGCATCACATTACATGTAACGAATTAAAAGATGAGACCGATCCGACGCCTAATTGGGCTATTGTAGGTTTACATGCTTGTGCTGATCTTACTGTGGCATCAATAAATCTATTTTTTGAACTGGCGGAAGTTAAACGTTTAGTCATTATGCCTTGTTGTTATCATAAACTCCAACAACGTGTTGATGGCAGCTTCTTACATTTCCCATTAAGTGCCGCGTTAAAAGCCGTAGTCTCGGAAACGGAGTCAGATATTGATAGTTACTTTAATCGGCCGTTTTTGCGTTTGGCCTGTCAAGAAACAAGCGCTCGTTGGCGTTCCTTATCCGAAGAGGATCACATCGCGCATGGAGAGCATATGTTTTGGCGCGCCGTAGCTGACGCCATCATTAATGATGAGACGGAAGAAATAGCTATAACCAAAAATCAACAATTAGGGAAAACTAACAACGAAATTAAAAATTTTTCTGTTTTTCGGAAAAAGTATAAATTGAGACCAAAATCAGCAGATTTGAATTATTCACCCGATGATTACTGGAATGAGGAACATGAAGCCAAATTTAATGATATACTTCAAAGATATGCTGACGTGGGGCCACAGTTGGCTGAGGCATTAACTTGTCTACAAACAACAATGCAGGTTAGTTATTTCCAATGGCATGTCTATTTGTCTTTTTTTATTTGTGAAAAATAGCACTTTGCTCAATCATGATGATGTTTCCAATCATCAAGCAGCAAAAGTCTTGCGATATTATTTTCAAACTTTTTAAATTGTTTTAAAAATAATTTCAAGTGGTGAAACCTTACCACAGTTTCCCGCAAACGCTGTTTATTTAAAGTTTAAATGCTGATATGTTTCAAGGTAATAAACTATAAAGCACTAGTTGTGGGAGTGAGAGAAAGTTTGGGGGAATTATCTATCAAAGCTTTCTTTAAATGAAGACAGAAAGCTATATTATATTCCTAACACTACTCTGAATGTATTTAAAAAAATTAAAACTGGTAAATCTAATAAAAGTCATACTACCGTCGGGAGCACCCAAATTTACATTTACTTGAGGCTGAATCACCACCCAGGCACATCACGAAGGGAATACTCGACTACAAGCCCTCCTTTAAACACCACATATCAGAACCGCTGGACAGTACGGCGCATCAACAGGCTTTAAATGACGTTCATACTAGCTCAATTAGGACTTGACCCGGACACTAACCACCTCTATACATGCCCTTTAAACCCAAGTCATCTGACTCCCCTTTTCCTCGGGTCCGAACCCGTCGAAACAGCTAGATGACCTCGATAACTTAGACTAGTCTCGTCTGCTCATAAATGAGGATAGATATTCGTTACAGCAACAACAAGAAAAAGGTCACCTCAAAATAAAATACATTCAATATCCATTATCTATAGTAATTATGTATATTAATTTACTCGAAATTAACCATAAAATATAATTAATAATTGTTTTCTTTCTCCTAGAAACTCTGCGAGAATATTGTACTTTACGATCGAGTGTGTTACATGAACGAATATGCTGAGGCGCACCCACACATTAAACTTAAGGTCCGTTGCCAGAAAATCTTAAATGAGAAGTTATCACCTCGCTGCTTCGTTTTAATCGCGGAAAAATTATACAATAGCTAGAGTATTAGAAAAAGTAAATACATACGTGTATACATACACATGCAAACCACTGCTCTTTTGTTAATTGATTTATAAGAAACCAAAACATTTAGGATGAGCTAATGTACACAAATTCACACACCACCCAAATACAAACTTAATGCTTTCAAATAGGTTTAAAATACTCAACCAAAAGTGGAAACCTTCGCAACTTTTCTAAGTAAGCTGATAATACAATTAGCTTTATGGTTCCCCAACAAAGGATATATATGCATACATACAGGTATGTATGTAGCATACGCACATGCAAATTAGAATTAAAATGTCTATATTGGCACAGATTCAAGTATGTCTGTATGTAGTACATACATACATACATATGAAAAGGTAATGTTAAATAAATATTGATATTTTAAAGAGCAGATCAACTTCCAAAAACAAAAAGGTTTTTTTTCAAAATGTGAGTATGAAGAGCTTGAGAAGCTAGCCAACAAGGGTAATGCTCGAAAATTCTACGAAAACTTACAGAAGGTCTCAAGACCGCAGTAGAGTCTTGTAGGACACAAAGAGGTGATCTAGTCACTGATGCCCAGAGTATTTTGAATTTATGGATGGAACACTTCTCCAACCTGCTAAATAGTAGTGAAAACGGGAATCCGGAGATGGTGAGCCCGAAACCCCAATCGATGACAATGGAAAAGACGTTCCATTACCTGACCATGAAGAAGTTCGGATAGCAATCGCCCGCTTAAAAACCAATAAAGCGGCGGGAGCTGACGGCCTACCAGCAGAATATTTAAAGCATGTCGGTGAAGAGCTGACAAGGTGCATACTTCAGTCACTTTGTAGAATATGGTCGGACGAAAGCATGCCCGACGATTGGAATTTAAGTGTGCTCCGCCCAATCCACCAAAAAGGGGACTCCACAGTCTGCACCGATTACCGTGGGATAAGCCTCCCCAATATCGCCTATAAGAAGGTCCTGTCGAGCGTACTGTGTGAAAGACTGAAGCCCACCGTCAACAAACTGATTGGACCTTATCAGTGTGGCTTCAGACCTGGCAAGTCAACCATTGACTAGATATTCACCATGCTCAAAGTCTTAGAAAAGACCCGTGAAAAGAAGACCGACACTCACCACCTCTTCGTCGATTTTAGGGCCGCCTTCGACAGTACGAAAAAGAGCTGCCTTTACGCAGCTATGTATGAATTTGGTATCCGTGCAAAACTTATTCGGCTGTGTAAGCTGACGCTAGACAACACCAGAAACGCAGTCAGAATTGGGAAGAATCTCTCCGTTCCGTTCGATGCCAAACGAGGCTTCAGGCAGAGTGACTCTTTGTCGTGTGATTGAATAAAAAGAGTTGCAGAGCCGAATAGAGAAGGTACACGCTTCTATAAGAGTGTACAGCTGCTGGCGTACGCCGATGATATTGACAATATTGGCCTCAACAAACTCACCGTGAGTTTTGCTTTCTCCTGAGGGAAACTTCCACTCCGTTGGAAGGATCAGGTAGAGAAGGACCTGGCACCGGTGGTATTTCCTCGCACATTGGCGCCCGAGAATGTCAACTCCTTCCAGTTTGTTTCTGCTTTGAAAATAACAGCTTCTCGCAAAATTCCATCAGCCGCTCGGAGGTGCAGGAACACAGTAAATATCGGGGGAGCGACTCAGTCGGCTCGCTCGAACTTTGTCTTAGTATGTAATACATAAATATAATGTGTAGACAGACTTTTGTTTGATTTTCCTTGAAGACATCTTTACTTTCATTGATGGGGAGCCTCTTGGACTTAGGAATCAAAAGTGTGTAGCGCTGTTTCTAAATTTCAATATAAGTTTTTCGCTTTTTTTAATTAAATCTGTTACTTACGGCACATTTACAACAACACTGTATATTTGAAAAATCGTATAAAACAATTTCGTAATTCTTGTGAAAAACTTGAATGTTTTGAATTTCATTGATAATATAAATATGTATGTATATATATAATTGACGCTTTGTAACCGCTGAAGCGGTTTCGTGGCTTTTCCAACAAATGGAGGGACCTACAGTTTATACTAAGCCGCCTCCGGGCGGCTGATGCTTTTTCTTATTGAGGAACAGTATTTCCGGTCATAAATACACTCGGAGGGGTTGACATTCCCTGCCGACGGTCGACCGCAATTATAAAAATACTCTTTCTATGAATTTTGGATGTTGCTCAGCCCACGGCTCGAGAACTGGCCATCCGAATGTTATCAGTAAGTCGCTCTCAAGCAAAATTTCACCTGAATTTTTGTATTCCAAAATACTAAATGCTGATGTGGTGGGGCACAGATGGGGATCAAGTGACGGGGTAAGTAATTTTAGCCGTCTTTTGGAGGATATCCTAACCACATTGCTCAATAATTATAATACCAACACAAAATATCAAATATTTGATTAATATTAATGAGAGCAAAATCGAAATCATTTAAAAGTGCAATCGATCCCAGAATGGTACCGGTCCTATTAATTAATATGGATTTATTTATTTATTTTTATTAAAACTTTAATATTTTATTTATTAAATAAAATTTCTTTCACAACCCAGAACCTTAGAAGCGATGGAGGTAAAATTCGGTGCAGGCAAGACGAATTCATAAATGTGAGAGCAGGAGAACAAATACAACAATTACCGATGAATTTTGTTTTTGTTTCCATTATAACAGTTGTCAAAATCGCGGCTTTTGTAGAATTAAATCAATATGTCCGAACAAAACTCAGAAAAGGAGGAAACAAAAAAATTATATTGTAGATCGCCCCGTTCCACATATGTATGTCCACACAAAGCACAATCGACTGCTTCGACAATCTCCTCAAAGCAAGATTCCCAACCAGTAACGAATAGATAAGACAAACGCCCTCGATTAAGGAGCCAAAACCATTTTTACAGAGGGCTCAAAGCTCCTTGAAAAAGCGGTCCATAAATATCTCTACAGGGTAACAATACCACATCAAAAATGGCTATGAAAAGAAACAACCTGAACAAACTTTCGGCTAAATGCAATACTACCGTGGACTGGGTACCCAGACACAGTAACATCCCAAGCTATTTCACGGCAAAGGAACTTATATGGGATGAAAGTTTATCTTTACCACGGCAAAGTATATGCTAACTTGTCCTTTACCAAATATGCAAACATTAGAAGTTTGATTGGGACCTGCATCGTGGCCAGACAGCTATGACCAAAATTGGACGCAAAAAAATCTGTAAATCCAATGATTGAACACTTGACTTCTTTGACAGGCTCGCTAAGCTAGCTTCTGTAAGTATTAGTAATCTCGTTGCTTTTAATATCAGTACACGCAAAATGGCTCAAACATACATATACATATATGTCTGTATGAGAAAGTTGATATAAAAGCCTCATAGCGGTATCAAAACGGGCCTATTGGTCTAAGTGTGTTGATTAATAGCCGTATCAACTTAGCTCAGCAGCGGACCATATTTTTTTTGAAACCTGATTTGAAAATTTTAACTTTTTTAATTAGAAATTCAAATTAAATGTATTCAAATAAACAGCAAAATATAAAAAAATACAAAACACAAATAAATATTTTATTAAATAAAATAGTTGAATTCGCAGCTCCAGTAACTCCACCTTGATAAAATCGTCTTGGATATAAATTTTTATTTTTTTCTAATTCAATTTCTGATAGGCTTATGAGTTTCGTAAATATATAACAACGGCTTGCCATATTGAAAAAATTTAGAACCATTTTTTTTTAAGTAATTTTAGTTTAATTGATAAATTATGCGTGAATTCATATATATTATTTTTATATTATATATTAGATCGATTGCTTTACAAGGTCCTGAGGAAAAATTTCTTGATGTTGAGAAAATTTTTTTTAATGGTAATTAATAGAAATCTTAAACTTACAGTACCCTGCAAGAACGGGCTGATTGGTTCATCAAAACACACACGATTTCGGGCAGCACTAACATATATGCACATTTTTTTTGTTTATCTTGTGTTCGGCTTGTCTGACAAGAATGACAAAAATGAACGAGGAAAGGAAGAGAGAATGACGTTACGAATGTAAACATCACGTTTGTCATATCGGCCTTAAGAAAGTGATAGGAAAATCGTTCTACGAGCTGACGGGTTATGTCGTCATGCATTCCTGACATATGTTGGCTCAAATGATCGAAAGCCTTTTTGGAACTCACCATTTGTTTCGAGTGGAACAGCACAGTAAAGTAATGCCATCGCCACTCATTTCACGTACTTGAGAACCTCTCCCGGTCTTTAGTTACTTTTGTTATTAATTTAAATAAAACTCTCTAAGATTTTGTTTTGCAAATCACTTTTGATCATTTTATTTCCTGTACAAGTAGTTACATTTACTATAATGATTCATTTCATATTTTTACTTTGGGGATCGGCTTGCCAACGCGACACCGACAAACATTTTAGCAGCTGTTTAAAACTGCTTCATATGGTTGTTACCTTAATTATTTTATTTATACATATTTATACAATATTCAATTACTCGCACAATAATGCTTTCAAATGCTTACATAGAAATTTATTGATACAAATGCTTGTACCCATGCAAGTACATGGCTCTTATAAATAATTTACTTCAAAAGAAAAATCGTGGCTATCAATTGCTAATATAAAATAATAAAACTGCAGACATATAGACAAATGACTTAAAGTCTTCGAGGAAACACATGACCTCCTCTACGTACCACGCGCTCTTACTTATTCAACTATTTTAGTTTCGACGAAAAAAGTATACATTTTACTCCATGTACATCCATAAGTATGTATAATATTTTAATATATTTTATTTGGATTATGTTGGTAAATATGTAATAAATATATTAAGTTAATTTATATAATCATTGGCATAATATTTTACAAATAGTTGCAATAGCACACTGGAATATGTATTTACTTAAATGTTGTTCATTGCCTTCGTGTAAATTAAAATTTATCCAGCCCTTTTATAAATTTTAATTCCACACGAGTGTGTAAGTATGTACAAAGCCAAAGCTATTGTGTTGAGATTGTGTGTATTTATGTAAAAAGAATAAATAAATAGTTTTAAATAAAAATTTTATTTATTTATTTTTTTTTTTTTTTTTTTGATAATTTGTTTCAACAATTCAGAGAGGCTACTTTAATCTTCGTTTCACTTTAATACCATTAAACAAATGTCAAATGTGTGCACTTTTAGCAAATAGTCCATCACCACAAGAATGATGGAAATTGACCTCAGTTTTCCTGTAAAGTCCTTTTTATAAACTAACAATTGTTCATGGGTGGGAAATGTTTCGATTTTCGAAAATGAAAAGTGCAGTGTCAGTGTGTCAGAAGACATGCTTTTTATTAAATAATCATTACTGTAAAGCTCATACAAATTAAGAAATTGTAACCAATCGCGATTTAAATCTTAAAAATGATTGCAATCAACGTTGATTCAAATCTAGATTTTTACAATTTTTTCGACGTCTCATGAAAATAAACTTAACAATATTCTGTGCCCATATTTTTCAAAGAAATATTATACAATATTTAAATATTTATTATCCTATTTCCTTTTCACTACCCACTCTCGCAAAACATACATATATGATTCATACATATGTTCTTTGGTGAGATAGGCCTTATCACATTTTCCAATAGCTAATTGAAATATAAACAGATACAACAAGCATTGCAATGAATTTGAAAGATCGAGCTCAGATTAGATGATGAAAGATGCTAAAACAAACAACTTCACTTCCATCAGTTCGCCTTGAGTAATTGTGTAAGCTATAATTATTAACGATATTATTATATTGTACAACTGGTCGCTGCCACAAAACCACGGGTGGACGCTGTCTGCTTAATAGTGTGATGCAGTTTACTTTCGTTCCTCAACGCTATGTGCCACTGTCAGCTGGTTAATAACATTATTAATCTCATCGCTGAAATTGAAGATAAAATGGATTTTACTCTATTGAAATATTATTTTCATAACCAAATAGGAATGACATCTAGAGAGAAATAAATATAGAAACTCAATACTTGGCAGTATAGTAATGTATACGCGTATGTATATGCATATCATGGTCAGATGGGTTTACGTACATATTGCGACAGCGATAATAGTTCCTGAAACCAGTATGCATGCAAGACATCATTGTGGGTGATTGAATCTGATTTGGTTTATCCATATTGTTTAGTTCACCGTATAACTGTTTATTACCACCGATATGCCGCACGGTCATGTCATTCAGATTATTAGCAGCGTCGTTGTCCGCTTGTTGGTTTTGTTGCTCATATGGTGAATATGGTTCAAATACAGAACCTTCTTCGGCTCGTTTTCCATAACGTGATCCCAAAAAGAAACGATCGTTGCGTGGTACCACACTCAGTCTGCGCGTTTTTGAGGAACTAAAGGCTGTGCCGTCACTGGATCGGCCATAACGGCTGCCCACGAAAAACGAAGGTCGTTTGTGTAGTGTGAGTTGTTCTGCAAATAAAAATATAATCTTTTACTACAAAGACGGACAATAAACTACCCTCCATCTCATATAACCGACTTTTTATTTTGATTTCTCCAATGTCGAAATAGTGAAAATGACAAACACAAACTCACAAACCTTATTTGAACGGCCAAAAATACCGTTTTGCAGAATCAAACAAAAAGTACTAAACAAAGCTTTCTCGGCACTTTGTGAAGTCACTGATCTAAATTCTTAAAGCAAATCAATGTTTAGCGAAAAATGTTCTAGCTGTTCGAAAACAGCAATTTCCAAATTTCTGCCCGTTGTAGATGGCTATTTCTTTAATAAAGGAAATAAATCAAGCAAAAGTTATGTAGATTCCATTAAAGTTTAGACTAACTAATGTCTTTTACTGCTGGTTGAAATATAAAATATATGTAGTGTTTCAAAAAGTGGTAAAATTTAACGAGAATCGTTTTTTATTTAAATAGAAAGTCTACTAAGAAGAATTCTTCCATTTAAATGGAAGCTGAGGCAAAATGTATTAAAAGTGCAGAAGAAATCATTATTAAAATCGTCGAACCACTTGCAAACACTTTTGTTGGAACGCACCATAGCCATTCTTGTCTACTGCATCGCCAGAGAGTTGTTCATCCCTGCTACCACTACTACTAAGCACCGGTTCGATTAGGAAGTTCAGCAGACCAATGATTGTCAACAAGAAAATGATGCCTCTTTGACGAACTGCTTGTGTCATATTGGTTAATCGGTTACTTCGTGAGCCTTCTGTATTTGCTTTCTGTATTTTTCGGCACTGAAATAAAAAGAATATAATGAAAAAGCAATATAAATATTTAAGGATATGTCAGTGTAGCATAAATACAAGTGTTTGCGATTTGAAAACAATGCAAACGCAATAATAATAAAATTTAAAAAGGTAAGAGTTGAATAGCAATAAAGATGATCGGATTTGAAATCGAGGCCTGCGGTAGTCAACAAAACTCTTATAGAGATGAGATGAGTGAAAGAATGTATTGATAAAAAACAACACCCGCAGGCAGCTTGTACTGTTAGCTGTATTGCAAGACTTTCAGTTACTCACGAACACATTTTCTCTCAATATAACGCCAACGCTTTCAGCTGCGTAAAAAAAGAAATGTACAGCCAAGCAGTTAGCATGACATACTGCCATTCGGAGGGCCAGGAAAAAGTGGCTTGAACATTACCTCCTTTTTAGAGCTTAGTAATTTGATTAGGTTTGCATAATTTTTTCCTACGAAAGCTTGCGGTTATCAATGATACATAAATCTAAGTGCTATATTTTTTCGATAAGTCAGAAATTCTCTTATTTACTTTGAATTTGCGGATAAACCGAATGCATTAAACTTGTTATAAGCTGTGGGAGAGTTCAAGGGGCCGTGATTTTTTCGCTCGCTTACTTATAAAATTCTAAATGTTTGGTTATAAACAATATAAAGGGGCCATAGTATGTGACCAGTTTTCCCTTAATCAGGTTTTACTGTATTTATCTAAACCTGAAATTGAAACTACATAAAAACTCTCACAGTTTCCTTTCGACTGTTATGGACTTTCAATTGATATACCCGATTTATCAGGATTTTGTGCACATTTATTTTTCTTAAATCCAAATTCATTCTTGCTTTTGATAACCAGCGGAGATCGGAGATTGAAAGCCACCGTCTTTTTTGTATTGAAGGAGTACCACTGTGACGGCCAGTGCTCAATAGCTCGGTCGCGCATGTGACAAACGTCCATTAGCAGCAATTATGGCTACGCTAATTTTATTGCCGATACCGCAAAGGCGTTTTCAAGACTTTTATTTTTTACTTCATGCTCAGCATGCATACATATGTACGTATGTATGTATGAATGTGTCTGTATGTTGTTCTGTCGTACGTGCTATGCCCTTTTCGATGCTATTGATCATAAAATGTGCAGCATGCTCCAGGTGTCCAGGTGTCTCTCGCTATCATCTTCGTATGTATATGCCTGAGCATTTCCGGTTGAAAAAAGTGGCACACCTCGCACAGACAACCAGCATTGTTGTCATTAATGGAGCAATTATGGCTGATGTAATTTAATTACCACCCAAGTGCAGTGCCATCAAACCACAAACAAAAAGTCCATTAGAGCAGTGAAAATGTAAATATTGCACTGTGCATTATATTGATGATGATGTATGTATATAAGAGAGAGCTAAATATAGGTATGTAAAAATAAAAATGTTTATGAAATATTTTCTATTTTTGGCAGGCATCCATCTTTTGCGAAAGGAAAAAAAAATTTCCCAACTGGTTTGAGGTAGGTCGATTTAGTCTCTAAACAATAAGGGTTAAGTTAGTTGAGGGTACCTGGGGGCTTAACCAATTTTTTTTTATTAGATTAAATAATTGCACTCAAGTTGAGAACGAGTCCGTCGCGAAAAAAAATATTTGCTTCATTATTTATATATGTACATAGTAATATATACATCTTTTTCTTCTTCTTAATTGCCTACGGTCGAATTAACTATAGCGTGCTAACCGTTTCTTCTCTTCACAAATTGGCGTCACTTTAAAACACCAAGAAAAGCCACGACCTTCCCCTGCTGACTTTGTCAACGAAGTAGTGATCTTCCTCTTCCATTGGGTACTACATCAAGTACTTTCAAAGCTATCTTCAGCAATGACCAGGAATGATGAGTAACTTGTAGAGTTTGGTTTTTGATTGCAGAGAGAGTACATTACTTCTCATTCGCCTACGATCCTTCCCAATTCTGGCATATGTGGGCAAGCAAATTCTGCGTACTACATACATATTTCTAGACTGGCAGTATACCGTTGTTCCTACTGGTAGCCGCAGGAGCCGATTTGTTAACATTGTTTTAACATTCGGATGACCAGGGTTAATTTTTATAATTTCGGTCGCCCCTCGACAAGAAATGTCAAACCCTCCTAGTGGATATCTGACATAAAATAAAAGCTCCTCATAAAAATCATTTGATCATTTGACCGTTTGAGGGCAGCTTGCAATAAAATGTAGTTTTTTCCACAAATTAGAGGAGAAGTGCGGCCGAAAATTTCTTCAGCAATTACAAAGCGCCATTACATATATTCATATGTATGTATATATATATATATATATTTATATATTGGTTCCAAATTCAAAGTTATGGTCTTCAAAGATGGTATGGGAATCAAGACGCGAAATCGCTGGCTGCTTGTCTGAAGACATGAGATATTTCGTTTTGTTCTCGTTCCCGTCTTAAGAAAGGAGAACTAACTGCAAATTTGTTAAGGCCAATGATGTCAACCTTATGCCGAGGATACGCCAAAAGTCGTAAGCTCTTCGAGAAGATTTTAGCTGTCACTATATTTGAAACCTGTTTAGGATCGAGCTACTCTATCCTCCCTAATTCTGGTGTTACTCAGTGTCCATTTAGAATTTTGCAGAGATACGGAGAACAGACATATCTACGAAAAGACATCTCATTTTCATACTGTAGAAGGCCGCCGTAAAATCGAAAAGAGATAGTGTGCGGTCGTTGAATATCTTGTCCGATTCGTTGAGGGTGGGCCAGATAGCACCTCATATAGGATATTGATGCAGACTCCCTTCTTATGAATTCAACAAAGCACAATTGTCGGAAATGCCTACGGTTTTTATCTGAGACAAAAAATCAAAAAAAAAAAAAAAAGAAGAAGAAGAAGAAGAAAATTACACCTCTTTTGTTTTCTTAAAGTTGATGACATGTAACATACATACTTACATATGTGCGTGTATGTATGTTCTCGTAACATTTTCAGAGTAGGTATGAAAAGTAAAACAGAAGTAAAGAAACGAATTGTTTGTTGGTCAAACTCCCCACTCTCATTCTATTTTACCATACTTAATTTCAAAAGACAAAATAAAATTTCAAAAGAAAACCTTGATGATTAGGACTCTGTTGCGTTAAAAACACATTTACGCTTTTATAAAATTTTTGAATTAAGTTAATTACATAGAAATAGTGACGTTAACAAAGCGACAAATAATTGCTACATATGCATCAGCGTGTACATTTTAATATATACATAGATTCTTTATGGACATATTGTACATACCCACACATGTACGAGTTACACGTATGCATATCAACGCTTATTATACACCACGGAATTCTAAATCAGGCGACCGCTCCAACCCAGTGGATTGCAGTTTGTGCTGCTACACGAATAGTTATGGTTGGATTCCTGACCGCCTGTTCGCACAAAACTAGAGCAAAGGGAAACTATGCCGAGGCTCGCTCAAGTGGTTATGAGGGACATTGTATATATATATATACCCTAAAGTTAAGCCCTGTCGAAGGCAAAACGATACTCACTTTTGGCAAATCAGTTATACCAGAGGTGCTGAAAAGCTGACTGCTCCTTTACTATAAAGTACACAACATCTCTGGTTTAATGTCGCCACTGTTCTGCTAGTTTTTGACTGATATGTATCTAGTCACTAACTAATTAGCTTCTATTTATCAGCCGCATCACACAGTTGTTGAAGCCCTTTTCTCCATGGACATTGGAGAAGCTACTTATTTTTGCATTCATGTGTGGTAGGAACCATTTTGTGAATAACCCTGGCCGCTCAGGGGAGTGCCCTTTGACCCTTTAGCATGCAATTCTACTTGTCAAACTCTAACGCACCGAAACAAGTCAGAGACAAAGCGTTAAGTTAACCACGTAAAATACGTACTGCACAATCGGACAATTGTGTGAAAGTCAAGAAGCAGGCGTAACATAATAGCCATTTGTAGCTATAAATTGTGTTTGTGTGTAAATATTCATATGTATGAATGTGTGTGGTGCAGAGGAATTTGGCACCTGGGAAATCGTTTGTTTATCACATATTGCTAGTGACCTGTTTTTGTGTATTTTTTCCAAATATTGAGCGAAAATACATAGGGTCCTGGCAATGAAAGGATGTGCACATGAAAGCTGATAAAACAAGCAGAATGACAGAATGGTGTCAAATTGTGGTCGAACGCTTCTTTTGCTTGGGTGTTAGTTATTTCCGTTTGTCAGAGTATTTTTGTGGTTTTATTTTAACAAAATCAACAGAAGAAAGTTCGTAGGTCAAAACTTTTGTCTCTATTTATAGTCAGTGATTGAGTTGAAAAGTATCCAGGATAATGCCACATGTGCCACATGGGCCACATGGGCCACAAGTGGCTCTTTATTACCTGCAAAAATTGTTATGCATTTGCAAGACACTTAAGTTGCTTTCAAAGAAAGATGGATGGGATGACGATATCTTAGGTATCTGAATTTTATAATGCCATGACTTCCTTTAATTGAGGACTTCAGATTTTATTCTTTTCCCCTGCTTCCACCATAGGTTACGTTATCGAAAACATTTCGAAATGGACGACATGACATGACCCAGCTGGATAAATGATTATGTCAATGTCATAACATTTGAGATTTACTTAAATTAGCTGCATAATTATGATTTAAAAAATTTGTCATTCGGTTCGATTCAAACTGTAACCATTTTTACTCAACTTGCTTTGGTCTTAAAACGAATTTAAATTTCTTTTCATTATAACTGCACACAGCGCTGCTAACAAATATCTAAGCTGCTTTTAATATCCTCCTACGTATTGTCGTTTTGACCACTAATTTGTGACAGCCGGAGAGAGTGAAAGTAAAGTCTGAATAATTATCAGCAAAATACTCATGGGCGTTAATTGTTTTTGGTAAATATAATAAATTCTAATAGCAAGCATCCCTTAGTGACGTTCAGTCAATACAATAAAATCACTAAATTCCAATTAGCAAA